GTAGATGTAGTTTTGTAACATTAACTGATTTGCCTAGTGTAATAATCAAAGTGTGTATTAACAGTGTCCAGTATTCACACGTGAACTCAACTCCCGAATGAGTATTGGTGATTTATAGAAAGATATCGGTACAGAGTATCCCCATATACATTGACTATTAGGGTGTTATAAGATTAATTGATTGGCACTAGTAGTTAAAGTGCTTCAGTAGAATTCATAGTGTATATTAACAGTGTTTAGTATTCACACGGGAACTGGAGACCAGAATGAGTATCAGTGATTCATAGGAAGATATCGATACAGAGTAATCCCATATTCATTGACTATTATGGTGTTATAACGTTAATTGATTGGCACGAGTAGTTATAGTGCTTCAGCAGTAGTCATAGTGTGTATTAACAGTGTTCAGTATTTACACGTGAACTGGAGACTAGAATGAGTATCAGTGATTATCGATACAGAGTATTCCCATATACATTGACTATTATGGTGTTATAGCATTAACAGATTGGCATTAGTAATAATAGTACAGTCAATATGGTACAACGAAAATGGGACTTCTGCGCATGTTAAAATTTTTCGTCAAAACTCAACTTTTGTTCAAGTTGATACGATTGTCTTTCGAACTAGAGACTTACCTCATTCGAAAGATCATAAAAGACTTTATCTATGCTGAAAATCTTAGATCCAAACATAGTAGAATACGCCGTCAGTCCGCATTTGATTTTTTGAAGTGAGTTTCGTAGATCGTCAGATTTCTCCGACTGATATCGGGTTATCTCAAATTGGTTCGTTTATAAATACAAATTTCTTTACCGTTGTAAGGCGCATGCGCAAAATTGATTTATAAACGTGATTGGTTGATGGTTTTTCTCCTGAGCATGCGTGAAGTCTGATGAACACTTATGACGAAGACCGGAGCAAACATTACTAGCTCTCAAACGAAATTCCAAGATTCAGATCATTTCGCCGTGTTTGCTAAGCGTGTATACGTGAATGATAAGCTGTCTTGAGTAGATCAGGTACCTGTTTTAGACACAACATTGATTTAGCTTGACATTGATGTGCACATTGGCACTTTTGAGCATGTTAATACAAGTTTTTACACGCTTAGCACGAGACGTGTTTTCGGAAAATCTGTTATCTGATTCACTCGATTATCGTATGGATATGTATTTCTGCTGACATTTCAACACCACATCACATAGAATTACGATGCAGAATGATAATAAAACACAAAACAACTACTAAATTCCACTTGTTATTTCACAGGAGGTAAAATTGCACACTGCCTAGATTCTTTGTAAGGGTCATCAGACATCGGATTGGCCGCCATATTTGAAATGAAAATATCACTAAATAGAGGTCTGCGCATGTGTCAACATTTCGACTGAGTATGTCACAATTTGCTGTGATCAACAATTACAATAAGAACCAGACAGAATATGAACCAGAGCGACAATATAGGAGCCTAAGATACCAGCATACCAGCACAATATCATTATAGAGTGTAACATTATACCGTGATCATTATGATGGCATATCGTTCAATGATTGACATATTGGAGTTATTATAGTGTGGTACAATAAACCTTGATCACTTGCACAGAAGGCCAGATTGAGTAGTTGATTATATGTTATATAGAAGGATTGTGCTGAGTTTAGTCGTTGAGCAAAACAAAGCCTTCATTGTACCGGAGCGACGATAAGAGTTACCGTTACCAGCAAACATTAGAATATCGCTAATATTATTACAGGGTGTCCCAGTATACATTGACTGATTATTATCATTGAATCAGCAACATTCTGTCTGATATATGCACATTTTTATGGGTCATTATGTCCAAATGAGATATTATAACTGAAAACTTACCACTAAGTAGTATCTATGCATTCATAGCATAGGGAAGTTGTTAGAACAATATTTTAAGTATGTAACCGTTATAGGTTAATGTTAGTTCATGAGTTATTAGAATATAGTTAAGTGTTAGGACTTGTAGAACGAAGAGTTAGTGAGTTAGCTAATTCAGATGAAAACACAGTGTTTCCACAGCCAGTAGGTAGTATAGGGATTCGCTGTGAGCCAGGACAAAGAGTTAGTGAGTTAGTTAATTCAGATGAAGACACCGTGTTTCCACAGCCAGTAGATAGTATAGGCTATCACTGTAGTTGTTAGGATCACTCAGTTGATTTAGTGGTACCACAAGGTTAAGTAAGGATCTCAGATAGTTTGGGTAACCAGCGTCACAGACAAGTAGAAATAGTGAGTAACCATTACTTGTCGTTATTTGGTTTCATAAATAACCGCTTTGAGAGTTCGTGGTATAACCACCCTTTTACTGTACATGTAATATATATGTATATGTTACTTTAACATTGTTTCAAAATATATTTCCATATTAAAACTACTTATATTTGTGAGTAATTACAAATATGTGCCGTGGTGAAACTCAATATGCAAAATAAGTCCAGAGGGTCTTGATTGTGCTATCCTATGGCGTTCATTCATTTTACGAGAGCTTAATAAAATGCGAACATCCAAGCATCAAACAAACATTCTATTTTCACACATGTTCGGTAATATAACGTATCATGACTTCCGAAAATGACAAGCCAGTATGAAAATTTTTGGGAACAGTTCGTTTAAATTTCTTGTATAAATGTACTTATTGTTGATGGGACGGATAAGCTGATGTAGTAACATTGGAGTTCGTTTACTACCATTTGGAAGGCACATGAGGGTCCCATTCATCAGGTAACACTCATATGTCGAAGTTAAGTTCTTGCCTTTTTTAACACGTAACAAGTAGTGTTGTCACGATTAATCGATACATCGCGATATACATCGCCAAAGCTGATTCTGGCGATGCATCGATGTCTGAAACAAAAATCTGTGTTTTTAAAAAAATTTCATTGCTAAAAATCACCCTTTCATATCTTATTTTGACGCAAATCTCTTACCTTTCTCATGTCTTATTTCATTTTCCGATGTTTTGTGATATTCTTTCACTTTAAAACTGTTTTAGCTAGTCAAAATGAACCATTAATCTAAAACAATTTACTTTACTTTCATTTCACCGTTACTAGAAGTTCCCGGATGTACCATCGTACTCTTATTAATTTGTTCTTTTCGGTATTTTAGTGCATTAGTGTTAGGTATTTCAGTGCTTTTTTCTCGGATTTTTTTTCGATGTGCATCGATGTTTACTACTGAAAATTGCCGATGCATCGATGTACGATTATGGTACATCGCGACAACACAGGTAACAAGAAGTAGATCTAGAGTGCTCACCATAAAGAATTACAAAAGCTATGGAAATTACATGCTGTCGCACATGTAATAAATTCTTACCTCAGTGTATTCAGCGCTCTATTTTCTCCGTCCTAGTAAGTCCAGATATAGTAATTTCGAATCCCTAATGACAAATAAGAACTTAAAAATTTGAAGTGGAATTCACATGTTAATGCCGACTCTCCAAATGTTGAGGTGATTTTCGAGCCGGATTACGCGGCAATGTGGATAATGGCTCCAAGTTACTCGAGTCTCTAGCTTACAGCTAGACGAAACTTCATTGATTTCGTATGTACTGTGCTACACGCACCTACACGCACCTAGAACTCATTTTTAATAAATTTTATAAATATTTTTAAGAATATTAATCATATTTAGGATGAAGCGTTGCTTGTCTGGATTTAGATATTTCAAAATTTCATTTCGGAGTTTGACACATGGTGAAATTTTCTCGCTGTAGCTAAAAATGGCTTCCGGTTCTGGATGTGAATAACATTTGAAATTATTCTCGCTTAAAGAAATCAAATATAACAATAGATTCAGACGGGGATGTGAGCTGATGTTCTTCAAATCTATACATAAAGGTATATTTCATATTATTATGCCATATTTACTGTGCGTGTGACACAATGATTTACAATATTTATAATACTAAGGCAGCTCAATCTTCCTCCTCAAAGCCGGAATATAGAGAAGGCTTTGGACCGAAGTACGCTCCAAGAATGCAACATGACACGTGTCAGCATGGGCTTTTCAACTCGAATTGAAAGCCCATGGTGTCAGCTTTCAAAATGCCGTTCTGCCACTTTGAAATAGTGTTGTCGCGATGTGCCATAATCGTACATCGATGCATCGGCAATTTTCAGTAGTAAACATCGATGCACATCGCGATGTACATCGAGAAAAAGTCCGAGAAAAGTGCACTGAAATACCGAACACTATTGCGCTAAAATACTGAACAGAACAAATTAATAAGAGTATGCTGGTACATCCGGGAACTTCTAGTAACGATGAAATGAAAGTAAAGTGAATTTTTTTAGATTAATGGTTCATTTCAACTAGCTAAAACAGTTTTAAAGCGAAAGAATATCAGAAAACATTGGAAAATGAAATAAGACATGAGAAAGGTAAGCGATTTGCGTCAAAATAAGATAAGAAAGGGTGATATTTAGCAAATTAATTTTTTTTTAAAAACATCGATGTTTTGTTTCAGACATCGATGCATCGCCAGAATCAGCTTTGGCGATGTATATCGCGATGTATCGATTAATCGCGACAACACTACTTTGAAATCTGTCACGAGTAAATAAGGTTACCTGATGTTGCATTCTGGGACTCAATCCTCCTTGGATCACAAACATGGCGATTCATGAAAACATTTGTTCGATTTGGTAGGAATTTATCCATCATTTGCAGGTATGAAGCTTTGGATTCATTTATTGTGAGTGGGAATTATTTTTCTACCGCTTGGTATAGTTTGAGACACAAAACTTAGAATTTAGATCATCATTGTGACAACTTTTGAGGGTTGAGATTTATTTTTGCACCCCACTTTCTAGCCTAAACTTACTCAATTTTCTGAATCCTAGCCTATTTTTCGAAAAATTTCTAAATTTCGGGTGTGCTACATTTTTAAGGTATTTTAGATACTTCTACGGAATGTAGGTGACCACTCACTGAGTAAAGATAGTTATGGTATCAAACTTACCTCGGAACTAATTTTTATTGAGTTTGCCGCTGAAAAACTTGAATAGTTTGTTGAAATCACGTTACCTTCGAGGTACTACGATAATGGCGTCAAGCACGTTACTTTTCGAGAAAGAACGATAACTGCGCATGAGCGGCAGATCAATTCAAAATATTTACTCCCTATTTGAAAAGAGGTTGTATCTGATATTTATTTACTGTGGTATAAATCAATATATTTTTACGACTCAAAATGAGAAAAAACATTTTGCATAAGAAAAAAAATGCACAACGTTTCGTTTGAAGTATTTGATCATTTGAAATATTGTCATATTTTTGTGCATTAAATTGTATGCAACGGTCAAATGGAACAGCCGACTAATTGAGGAAGTTCTGAATTGGAATTTTACATGGACTGACACCGTGGCATTTCTTTAGCTAAATTTTAATATTCCGATCTAAAATGAACGGTTATCTTGCGATTAAATATTTAGGGACACTGTGTCTTCTGATTGGAATATCATCTGGAGACAGATCTTCTGAATTTAGCCCGCAGAACTCTATTGTGTTTGGACCGGGACTTGACCCAAACTTTGTTGTCCCTGCAAGATTTTTTTTCATTCAACTTGTTGACAGAAATGGAGAAAAGTAAGTGATTTGTTTTACTTTATCATCTTTTTTATTCTTGATCTTATAGAGTAGATGTCAGTACACATTAGTTTACATGTATGTCACCTGTCATCTCAGTCCCATATCTGTCATCTCAGTCTACATATCTGTCATCTCAGTACCCCATTTGTTATCGCATCCTACGACCCCTTTAGATTGTGCACAATCTAAAGGGGTCGTAGGATGCGATAACCCCATTTGTAGAGACCCTTTCTGTTGCAAGACTAATGCCTGGCGTAACCGTGTTATTCAGTGTTTTTAAGTAGCGCAAGGATCCTGCCATGACCGTGGTAGTGTTATCGTGAAAGCCTGGTATAACCTTGACAATGCTGTGATATTTTGCAACGCCTGCCATACCGTGGTAGTGTAATCCTGTAAGCCTGGCGCGACCGTAACCTTTATATGACATTAATGACCTTCATGTATCGCCCGTTGCTGTTAGTATTTTTTATGGATAAACCTTACCACGTTCATGACAGGCTTTAACATTCTCACGGTTTTGACAGGCCTTTCAATCATTATGACGGTCATATAATATATACGGCAATATAATATAGCATTGTCACGGTAGGCCTTACAAGCATTGTCACGGTCATATCAGGCCTTACCATTACCACGGTCATGACGGCCTTGCAACCATTGTCACGGTCATACGGGGCTTTAACATTACCACGGTCATGCCAGGCCTTGCAATATAATATAGCATTCTCACGGTCATATCAGGCTTTAACATTACCACGGTCATGACAGGCCTTGCAACCACAGTCCCGGTCATATGGGGCTGTATTACATACCTAGCGAAGCATTTGTATGGAAGTCAATGGGAAAGTTAGCGAGCTATATCCACCGATATTGCCCGATTACCCCGATATAGCCCGCTTACCTCGTTTTGATATTAGATTTCTCTAATAACCATGATAATATCATGACGTCACGTCATTGATACAAAGTAACCATGGGAACAAAGGCATGTAATACATCAGTTATGTCACTATGACGTGAAATATGCCTTCGTTCTTGCCCAAATATAGAGCCTCCCAAGGTCGGCCTATATTGGGAGAACTCAGGCATATTTCACGTCATAGTGACATAACCTCTAAATATTACCACGGTCATGACAGGCCTTGCAATATAATAAAGCGTTGTCACAGTTATACCAGGCTTACACAATAACACGGTCATGGCAGGATCCTTGCGCTACTTAAAAACACTGAATAACATGGTGACGGTTACGCCAGGCAATAGATCTTGCAATAGTCTTGCAATAGATAGCATGTGCATTTGTACCCCATCATACAGGGTGTCCAAAAAACAGGACCGAAGAAAAGTTGAATTAAAGTGGTGAACATAAATAATGAATAACGCTATGAAAAAGACATTCTGTCACATTATGTCATAAATTCTTACCTCAGTGAATTGAGTGCTCTACTTTCTCCATTCCGTAACGTACAAATATAGTGGAATTTGTGTCCATAATGACAAATAGGAACTTAAAAATTTGAAGTGATACTCACATGTTAAGGTGCCATGATACTTAACAGGAAATGACGAAACAGGAAGTGACAAAAATTCTACAGTTTTAGACATATTTTGAACAAAGATAAAAGAGTTCTCTTTTATAGACCTCCAGTCAATTTAACTATTTCCACATATCATTCATGACCAGGATCACAATGTGCATGTGATGGTCTCAGCACCTATATATCATCACAGCATAACATCATGACATTGGAAATGTTTTAAATTATCATTAATACTTAACATTTTCTGAGTTATAACAATCACATAATGATCATTTTGTTCTTGTACAAAAATGAGTGATGTAGGCATAATAAATTAAGTGTACTGAGAATAACATGCAACTCTAATTTAAAGGGATATTCCTTGCCAGACCAACTTTCCTTAATATAGTAGCTATAACCATATACTTTCCATGCTGAGTAAAACACAGGAAAATGTTTTGATTTGGTCAATATTGATCACTTAGAAATGTAGCGCTCAACTCCAATAGGCTGCCATCTTTTAATATTTCACTCAGGAAGTGATGTCATAGACTCTTAACTTTGCATATAGTATTGGTTAAGGAGTTATTCAGAATTGCAAAACCAGTTGAATATTCTTTTCAATATTGTCTATGATTTTCTAGTCCTTCTGAATAGAACAATAACGTCATTTCGAAGGGCAATATTGAAATATAGTGAAATATTAGACCGAGGGCGGAAGGACCAAGGTCCACTATTTCACTACATTCCCTGCAGAAATGACGTTATTAATATTATTACCACCGTTAATGACCAGGACTGAAACAGCAAGAAAATCTTACGCACTGAACGATATCTAATTTCCCGGGGAAAATTGGTGGTCGTTAAATGCATTCTCGACCGGTCTGGAATGCTATATTGACCGCCACTATGACGTCACATATTGCTCAGGTCGATATAGTAAAATGAATGCCTTCTAAACTAGCACAAACCCCTAGAGCTGGCCCGGCAAGGTGGTCATAATATCTGTTCTTTTATTCTAAGTCGACAAGCATTGAAAATATTTTTGAACAGAAAGAAATGCACCATTCAAAAGTTTGTGTGAGACCCCCCCCCCACACAGGCATGGGTGGGGAATTTGACAAAAAAATTTGGCCTGTCTAATTCCTTACCCCGGGGCCAAATAAATATGTGTCAATTTTCCTACCCTTAAAGCAATAAATCTGGTCAAATATTCGCGACCCCCGGGTCCTTCCACCATTTGAAATCTATTTTTAAACATTAGATTTCCTAAGTAGACTAATGCTCGTGAATTACACGTGCAGTACTTTGTTTATGTCAATATTTTAATTAGAGACACAGTATATGGTCATAAGATTCTTGCGGAAAGTCCACTACACATACTACAATTAATTTATGAATGAAAAGTTCGCTTACGATTTACATATAACCAATAGAGAAGCAGCTTTTTAAATGATGCAATTACCTGCGAAATTAAAAGCCAATGAGAATACAGTCCATTTTATGACGTTTTCGCAAACTGCCTGAAAGATTTGACAAAAATGATCTGAGAGGGACATGGTTTTACCCTTGGTTTGTATCTGTTCAACAAAAGTAGAGAACATACCTGTATGAACGATCATTTTTTGTGGAATGGGCAGGCGGATTGTTGCGGCTTGTTGATTTTTTGATGGGTACAAATCGGGAACAAATCCACATCGTAGTAATTTTCGAAAGGTCTCTTGTAATTTATAATTTATGCAATGACGTAATGGTTTTTTACTTTAATAGGCTACCTCCCTCCGTTTTATTCATCTATATCAAATTAAATTAAATTAAAATTTGTTCGAAAGTAAAATTTTTCAAAAATTGATTTTAAATTAAAGTTATCATCTATATTAAATCAATAAAATTATGACGAGCTTATAAATATAAGTAGAACGCGGAAGTGCATTTTTCCGAAGGGAGGGCGAAAACAAGCTTGACAAACCAATAATTAAGACACTGCTCAGTATTCTAGAATTCCTCTCTTCCCCACCCACGGGAAGACAGTCTTCGTCAAATTCCTACCCTTGGGGGCAATATTGTGTATCAAATTCCTTACCCTCCCCTCGTGGGGGGATCTCACGCAAACTTTTGAATGGTGCATAAGGATATATAAAATGCGGATATACCTTAATTTTGAGATCTCTTTGAAGTATGACTTATTGTTACCATGGCAAATGATTTTTAGAATATTTCTAGAAATTTTTTAAACTAGAACACTTCCAGAGAACAAACATGTCAAAAATATGGGTAGGCTTACTCAATTTTTATATTATACTTATGTACTATTGTATTATAATTTCAGATTCATGAGATAAATCAGATTTTGGATGTTTTGTTCATTATGGTTTGCTACACCATGGGATTGCCTTTTTCTAATTTCCAGTGTAACATACACATTAAATGATATCAAGTTACCCTATGATAACCACTGATATTTTCAGCATGACAGAATCCATTGGTGAAAAACCATTTAAAGTTGAGATGTCAGTGGCCAGTGGTGACTACGTAAGAATCTGGACGCAAGTTTTAGACAGGCATGATGGTAGTTACATTGTCCGCTTCAAGATGTGGAAGTCCCTTGCCTACCTAACCATCACCATAACATACAATGGCCAACATGTTGGCGAATCACCATTTTATCTCAAAGGTAAATGTTCAAATCATTTCAGAGCCATTATCTGGTTTTTGTACAGATCACTCTATTCATTTACTATCCATTTACCCCTATTTATTTGTATTTGTGAAGATGACTTGAATACTAGTATACAGATTTTTTTTCATATTTAGTGGAAAGATGTATATTGCTAAATAGTTTTACGTAAAAATCTTTTAAAAATAGTGAGAATTTTTTGCGAAAAATCTTGTTTTTCATTTCGAACCAAGGTAATGAATATTTTTGATTGAAATTTTGTTACTCTATTCCCAACATCTATCTATTTCATATAGATTTCATTGACTCCCAGGGGCTTATAAAGGGGTCGGGTATAAAGGGGTCGGGAAAACAGGAATTTGAGTTAATTTTGAAATCTTTCAGAAGTAAAGCTTTATTATACTCAAATCAAAGCCAGTTTAATGTAGATTCCAAATATCGTGTCATTTTCCTGATTTTGGTTCATTTCAAAATGTCCACCTTTAAGGTATTGCTATATCATACAAATAATAGGAATTTTAAAGTAAGTCATAATCAACCTTAATTAATCATCCATAAAAATGTAGGTAACATAACATTTTTGGTTCTTCGCAATGTTATGCTTACCTAACACAGTGGGAATTTCAAAAGTTAGTAGGATTTTAATTTTAAAGGCTAGACTCCGCAATCTCCCAGGATAAAATACATTAAAGATATAATGTTTATTTCTCTCACTGAAAATTGCTATGTAATTCTCGAAATCGTTGTTCCCTCTTCAAAAGAGAAGATGCGAAAGTCTTTCCTTATAAGGGCAAAATATTTCCCATGATGCAGTTCGCGGAGGAACAAATTTATACTTCCTTATTTTCCCTCATAGGTTTAACATGGGGATTTTCACACCTATTTTTCAAACGATATATTTGTTCATTTTTCTGTACGAGAGTTCAGAAAGAATTATTAGAAACGATTGATCTCTCATTAATCTTAATATAACAACTATTTTTTTCATTGTATTAATTCATAGCGTGGTGAAAACGATGATTGAAAAGTGAGAAAATATTCCGGAAGAGAAGGTCACGTGATCAGTAGACTAGTCGCCATATTGGAAAAAACAATTCAATTCGACTTTCAATACTTTCATGCCAATCTTACCACACTACAAACTGCGACATCGATGCAACAACTGAATAAAAGTATTCATCTTCAAATTACATTATAGAGTTACGTTGAAAACCCACAAACAACTGAGCAGTAGACCAAAGAAGACGCATCGCTATTATCTAGGTCAATCTGTTCAGTGGTCCGAAAGCAAATCTATAGTACTCGTTTCCGAATTTTGTTGTTCATTGTACAATCTTTTATTGATTAAACTCAGTATACTGACCATTAAAGCTATGACAAAGAAGAATACTTACGATGGTGTCATTGTTTTATTTAGCGTGCGGGTTTTAAAAACAAAATTGAGTAATTAGTTTGATTTAGAACTTTCGTGTCACGCAAATAGCTACGCGAAATGCATAGTGGGAAAATATTGACCAATCAAATTTTGTCCTTTTTGAGTGCTTTTTCAGTGCATATTTGTGAACGTTCTGATTCAAAGAGCGAACCGCGAAAAGGAGAATTAATAACTATTATTTTTTAATGGTGACAGTTGTTACTTAATGTGGTGGAAATGGTGTTTTCTTTAGCTTCAGAATCAGGTCCTGTTCATGTCATGCCCTTAACTCATTTAAAACAAGGATCATTCACTAATTCTTCACATTATTTGTTAATCTAAAAAGTGCAGAAAACAGAAGCAATTATTTTGTGGCATGATATATCTATTTTTTTCACCCTCCACATAAACTGAGAGACTCTAATTTGGTCATATTTATCACTAAATAAATAAGCAACTATTAGCAACAAAATACAACCAGCAGTATAAACCAAACTTCAACTAATTAATTTTCATAAATGGAAAAGAAAACCCATATATTGAAAGTTCAACTTTTACTGATCAGTACTTTACCAGTAGAAATGAGCTAACTGGTTGTTAATTCATAGTACTGGTAAGTGATTCTTGTTTCACTCAGTTCAGACTCTCAGAAATTATAGAAATCATTGAGGCAAGCATTTACAATCATCAAAAGTCACCAACCTCTTTAAAACACCAGAAAACTAAAATGAAGTTGATTTGTAATAATAATGTTCAATGAATATGCAGATATATGATTCTCATTAAATCATTCTTTATTGTTTTACATTGCACTGACCCATATAGCTCAGACTTCCCCTGCACAATCATGCATGATATGTATGGGTCAGTACATGTAGTTTCAATACTGTAGAATGACAGATGATTTCTTATTTCTTGGTTAGAGGTTTCTGTTTCCTTTCATGCAGGCCTTCAGAAAGCATAGTCTCACACAGTCTGATTTACTGGAGACCAATCTTGTATCAATGTTTAGGTTCTGCCATCCACTGCAGTAAGCCCAACAGGCCCGCAGGCATCTCTTGTTCCTGAAAGACATCAAAATTAAGTTCATTATGTGACATGTGTGGTTGTTAAGATGAACGACTAGCTACCAAAAATGCTAAAATTGTAAGAGAAATTTGGAATTGCTAAGAAAACTAAATAAATCTCTTCTATAATCTAATTCTTTCCTAAATCTTACTCCAAAGTTAAGATATAAGGCAGCCATTTTGGATTAGGAACCAGCTTCTTACGGACTGTGATCTGACTGTGTTTCTATGGAACCTGTTAAGGGGATGGGATTCAATTCAAACATTCATGAATGCTATTGCTAGACCTGATTAGCCATGCTGGGATTTTGCTCTTTGAAGTGATGTTCATGCCTGACTGTCCAAAATGATGACATTATTTAAAATGCCCATCATTTTTCACCATTTCATTTAAACTACGACATTTGGGCTGTAACTTGAATGTTTTTTTTGGTTCATATTTGACATGGTTATGTGTTATAGATGTTGTTTTTGCCTAAAAGAAACACTACAATTGCACACTGCACTACAGTTTTTCTAGCACAGAATGTGAACATTGTTTTTCTCTCAAACTAATTATTGAAAACATTCTGTAAAAAACATTGTCCTTTAACCTACGTTCACACCAACGGTGCTTTGATGGCACTTTAAAGCAGCTTGTAAAGCGGCACCAAAGCGCAACAAAGCCCGATTAAAGCGTCGGGGTCGTAATAGGTCATAGAAAAGCTCAGAGTAAAGCGGAATATTCGGCAAGAGCGCCAAAAAAGTTTAAACTGTTGTTAAAATTTTGGACGCTCTGTTACAAATTGATTAAAGCGCCGAGAGTGTATCAAAGCTTAACAAACCGTTACAAAGCTCAGCAAAGCTTGACCCAAAGCATAGGAAAGCTTAACAGCATGGTTCAAAGCAGGGACCCCAGCCTCTTCATGGTCTGTTACCACTTGACACACTTCATTAAGATGTCTCAAGCTTTGCTACGATCTGGCATGAAGATATGACACAAGGTCAGATGCTTTCATCAATATCTGACACTCTTTGTTACGCTTTCATGAAGGACTCTCAAGCTTTCCAACGAATTGAGACAGTTTAATCAACGATTGAAACGCTTTGTTAGGCTTTGTTACGCTTTGTTACGCTTGACAAGCTTCCTCGCGCTCTCTCATGCTCTTTCACGCCGTGGGACAAACATCATGTCTTCTAAGGTAGGTCATGCTCTCTTGTTGTTCTGCCATCGTGTTCTCGAGTCAAAGATGTAATGGTTTTATGGATCTACCGCATAATTATATAGTCATTGGATCAAAATCGGCATGAAATCGGCGATCTCGACACTTTCCAATGCGTGACATAACAGAGCGTAACAATGCACAACAGAGCTTTGCAATTGTATCAGAGCCTGATTTAAAGTGTCATAATCACATCAAAGCATAATAAGCCTTATCAAAGCGTGATTTCAAGCGTAGCAAAGCCTGGTCGAAGTGGGATCAAAGCGTGAGGAATCGTAACAAGTCGAGAAATCAGAGCGTATCAGAGCGTAACATTACTTAGGAGATCGTGATATTTTTGGAAAAGTAAACAAAAATGATGGTGCTTTGCTCGCCGATTTAAAGCGTGGCATTCGCCGTTGGTGTGAACATAGCTTTATGTAATACTCACTGATTTAATGCGAAAATTATTTATATATATTTTATATTATTGTTTTTGTGAATAGTTTTTTGGTGCAATTATTTTTTGTTCCATTTCATTCCAAACATGATACCGAGAACAAAAGAAGTGTCTGATGTGTTTTCTAAAACAATACTAGTATACCAATTCTTTGAAAAACATACAGTACATGTAGTTTAGTTCGAGAGATTTGTGACTCAGTTTTGAATGGATTGCTTTATTAGGCTAACATACATAGTTCAAGTTTGTATATACTGGTACAGATAATTAAAGGCAGAATCAGATCTATGGGGGTGACAAAATTACATGCAACATGTATAATTGACCTACCAATCTATTCCTTACAATATCAAATACAATATATCCTAAAAGCTTCACAATATGTTATAAATTGGTGAAGTTATTAATGATTCAAAGTGCAAAAATGGGTGGAGAATGTTTAAATTCTCCCAAATAATTACCCAAATGCGAGTAAGTAGTCACCAGTTTCACCACCAGGTGGCTGATTCGGGTCAATTAACATGGCAGGTATATAAGAAAGTTCCCTTAAACTTGAATATTATCAATTTAAGTGGCTCAATTTTCATATTACCCTTATGTGTCTGATACTTATACTAATGAAAATATGTCCAGTAAAGCAAAATATTATCTGTCCACTAAATGAAAAGATATTTCATTTTTTGTGATTTTATAGCATGGGGTCTATGGGGAATCTCCCCGAGCTAGAAGTCACATTTTCAAAGAAAATTAATTTTTCAAAGTTGATAAACACTTTTTAAAACCACATTTCTAGATGTAATTTTACATGTAGCTTTCAAATATGATATTACTTTGACTGAATTTTGAATTTTTAATGACGTAAATCAAGATTATTTCTATTCGCATCTGGGTTATTGGTAACCATTCTTATAGAAAATAATACATTATTGTAAAAATCTTAGTTTTCCTTGAATAAAGTTTGCACTTTTGTGATTTTTAGAGAATAGACATGACAAGGAATGACATGGGCCAAAAATATTCTAAAATTGAGACAATTTTTTGTTTAGCCTGCTTGCTATATCTGATTCTCTCTTTAAGTGAACTATTCATTAGTCAAAGGTGACCTTTTGTTGATGTTTGAATATGAAGAATAACTTACTCTGGACAGGAGATCCCTCCTCTTGATATGTACCTGTCATAAAGAGACATCATTTGGTTAACATATCTCTATAATCAGTTCCATAGCAGTGATATTTATTGGAATTGTGTAAATGTTGCCCTTTGTGATTTCTAAATATACAAATGTTTTGATTCTTGACGATAAAATTATTCTAAGAACAATTGAAAGTGAGGTCTTGTTTATGACCTTATAATAAATATATAGTAAGGTCTGGTATTTTTGTCTTAAGATTACCAAAACGTCAGACTCAATTAATCTTACATCAGCACCATGGTGAAGAATAAGCTTTGATGGTTTATACTTACTCAAAATCACTGTCTAGCATGTTTGCTTGACTGTATCCTACTAGCATCAGATTGAACAGAATAACAAATGCTGAAATTGGAAAGGAAATCAAAAACTCCAAGTATAAAATGTGTCAAAATATAAAAGAACACTACATTTGTAGCAAAATGAATTCTAAAGAGTAACGGAAATGCTAAAACAACTGAAAAGATAAATTTATTTATTAAAACGCATAAAAGGATTTGGTATGAACTGAAAAAATATATTTAATCTGCTAATAATCCCCGAGAGAATGATAAGCTAAGTTCATTATTTGACATGCAAAAATGTACTGGTATTTAATTCATAATAATACTATTTTTATCGCACATGAGAATTGCTGTGATGTTATCATCTTGTGCCAGTACATGTATTTTGAATTTGAAATGCCTGTTAAAAATTCTGATGACTAGACTCCACTGAAAGCTGTCCCACCAAATTTTTCATGAAGAGCAAAAGTAAACTTACCATATAAGGCTCTGCTGAGCTGAACATGTGAAATCATTGTTCTTGATGGTTCTTTATTAAAAATCAACTTTTTGTTCCTTTAATTTATTCTCGTCTCTGAAGAATCTGATATATTTTCTATGAGTTTAGAATAAATATATTCTGAAATTGTATTTGAAGTATGTTTCAAGTTGATATTCTAGGATATTCTAGTTCTGTATAAATGGAAAGTTCAGTGTTTTCTTTCTATGTTCCAGTTCTGTTCTTCAAGTTCCAATGTTTTCACTTTCTACTAACAATGATTTGTCGATCTGGTCATGGATACTTCTCAGCCAGCATCTTTTATTGTTGTTCTTTACAATAAAGTAAATTATTTAACAAATCAGAAATCTGTATTTATCCATGTCATCATATACATAATTCATACGTCATCAGCATTACATTTTAAAGCATGTAGGCAAGAAATGGGAAGAATTAATTGGGAAAGCATAAATCTGATAATATTACATAATACCATTAATATCACATAATGTCGAGATGGGCATTTCCTTTTTTGAGAAATCATCTGAATACATGTACATGTAATTAAAACTTTTGTGCGAAGGAGTTTGCTTGTGTCATATCTCTGCCAAGTAGAAGTTGCGTCATTCCTCCTTTTTAAGTTGTAAAGGGAAATATACAAAAGTTGCAAAGCTACTCATAGTGTTTTTGTAGGACAAATGTAAAATGTGAAAGAAATGAAGTGAGAAATTCAGGATTTTAGAGTGTAGAATATCGCTACTCTGGTCTTAAATGTTGTCCTTTGTGGAGATATTTAGTTTCTGGCATACGAGTCAAATGATTTTTGTATGTCATCAGATACCCTTGTCTGGAATCTCATACTGACTTTGTCCATTTCATTGCATTCAAAGAATCTTTATTTATGATCTGTAATTATTGATCAGATATATGGTACAAGTACAAGAACACTGCCAATAACATAGTTTCCTTGGTAATTCCTCTGATTTTCATTGTTATTCAGTCCAAACAATTCTTACTATACACTCTAGCATGTCACCTTGAATGTCATTGTTTCGTCATTTTTTGGCAAAACATTGATTGAAAATGTAATTGTGGAGTCTTATTGTTTTTGGCATTCATTCATTTCATGCCTTGCTTATATGACCATTTCTCACGCTATTGTTTCAAAACATTGTCACTATGACATCTTAGTGAATCGTGTTATGAAATATATCTCATGTAACTTATTTTAGATTCATGAAAAGACAATTAAGAGAGTAATATTTTGTTCATTGAGATTTGTTACGCAATATTACATGTACATGTATTTGATTATTTTGTTTTCTAAATGAAGTTATACATGGAGCTATTAGTAAATACGTAAATAGGATTTCCGTCCATGTGTATTAGACATACATCTGACGTCAACATTCATGAGAGACCATTTGATTCATTAGTGTTTATAGTAGGTGGAAGGAAGCGTCTGAGTTGACGATTATGTAAAAAAGCAACTCAAGGCTGGCAGATTTCTCAGGAGAACCACAGGATAGATGTATGTCCTGTTTTTACATAACATTTATTTTTATTTTCAGGAAATGTTTACCACGAGCAGTGCTTCTGCCCAGTTCCAGATTTCAAAGAATGGTATTCAACAATGAAATGTCAGAAGTCCTACAAACAAATCAAAAATGACCTCTCCATATTCTCCAATATTGACATGGATATTGTTTCCAAGGAGGCAGTTGAGAGGTTCAACCAAAGAGGGAGCCACAGTCTTGTTCATTATGCAATTATAAATAATAAGGTACATCCATTTATCTATGGGTTTATGGGTAACTGGTCAACTCGTACCAAAGACAACTCGTACCCAAGTATATATTTTGTTTTGAATCAAGCATTGGACTGGGAATGTGAATAGATATACATATTATACTTGTAACATACTGTTCAGAATAGTTTAAAGTTTGAAGAAGAATTTTCGGAAAAATTGATTTAATTTTGTGACATTTTGAGCTGAGTGTCAATTTATATTGACTATTATTTTATATTGGTCACAGATTCAGCATGTCCGAGTGAAGAGACATATGTTTATTCCACATATTCATAATATCATTTTTCAAAATATTGTATGTTTATGAGTGTTTGGAACAAGTGTCAGATCTAATGTTGTAATTATATTTATTTACTGTGTTTGACAAAATAATGTTTAGAACAAGCGCTTCAAGCACTTCTTTTATTTAATAAAAAAATGCTTTACTGATCCATTGAGAAAAAATGTCTTCTAAATTCCAAAAAATATCGAGGCTTATTTGATTCACATTATAACATGAAAGCATTACAAACTAAATTTTCTCCCTAATATGCACCCATAATACTGAAAATAATCTTGGGTATGAGTTGTCTTGGGTACCAGTTGTCTTGGGTACCAGTTGTCTTGGGTACCAGTTGTCTTGGGTACGAGTTGACTAGGAAGCGGTTTATGTACTATGATGATGAGCCTATGGAATCACTTACTCATCCATATGTCCTTCCATCACCATTTTTTGGACCAATGAAAACTGCCTATCATTAAATCTAATCCTCATATCCCTATTGATTTTAAAACCTGAAACAGCTTAAACTGATAATAGTAACACTATTGTGATAATTCCTGATGAAACTTGAATTCTTCGCTATTTCTGAAATGCAAATTTAGCTGCCATTCTGCAACTGTATAAAAAGTTCTAATCTTGCCATTTTTTAATAGGGTTGAAATGTACCAGCCCCACATTTAACAGCCTCACATGTATAAGAAAAACTGATACATGATGAAACATTTTTTTCTAGGTGTATAGAAAAACCTATGGGGAGCATGTTGGATTCAAAATGTTTAGTGACGCCACACTGTTATCTCTAGTGCGAAAGGTAAGTTTCCCTCTTGTTTTGGGTCATTAATATGAGAAATATCTATGGAATTAACTGAACATTATTATTACAGTGGGTTATAGAGTGGAAAGCAGTGAAATCAGCAAGGAATGAAATAACAGGCATATATTCACCAGACTAAATTGTGTAAGATCATATACAGGTTAGCCTTGCCCAAGTCAGTTTTTTTTTTACGCTGTCAGGGGTATCGCGAAACCTTATTGATTGACAAGATCGTGTGGACACAAAGTGTTACTTCAGGCTGATTGACCAATCAAAACGTTTTCAGGTTTACCCAAATAAAAATAAAAAACTACCCGTCTACGACTTGAAATTCAATGATCTGTTTGAGTATTTCTTCGGTGTTACAATATATTATGTAATTAAATGTACATTGGAATGTAAGCACCCATTAATAGAAATTAAATCATGCGATCAAATGTTGATTTAAAACTGGATTTGCGATGAAAATGGATGAAGACCTAAGTCCGTGTAGTTGTTGATCCAATTCATTGGTTGATCTGAATCTCGGACAAGTAGCTATGTTCGACAATTTCAGCGATCGTTTCAACGTTTCTTGTTGAAATCTTCTCACCTCTCGGTATCCCATCGATACTCCAACATCCACTAAACTCTGATTGATATTTATCTGATGAAATATTTGTATTTTCATGATGCATTCAATGCATTTGCTGGAGGATTTGTTTGTGAAAAAGTGTACTTGTCTTGACCGTGCATAATAATGAGCTAACACTGCAGGGCCGTGGTTGATTGGTCAAATTTACCGACATAAACATTGAGTCAGATAAGCACGTGGCTTAGAAATCAAGATAAGTAAGAGACTAACTTGGGCAAGGCTATACACTATACAGGTGTATATTTTAGATTCATCCATTCCTTTTGGGAAAACTATATACTGAAGGCACTGAATGATAATTAAGTTAAAGAGACTGAAATTGATGGGGCAATTAACCAATCATCATACATTTTCCATGTTGACCTCCATAAATGCAATCATTTTAAGGACAATGTTTTTTTTACATGTACATGACTCCAATGCTATTGAATAAATCTTACCCATTGCTACCGAATATCCATAAGGCCATTGAATATACCTTCTGTCCATTGCATATGCCTTCCCAGTCCAATTGAATACCCTTAAGGCCATTGAATAAATCTTGTCAAGGGCCATTGATCTTTCCGAGGCCATTGAATATACCTTCTAAGGCCATTGAATAAATCTTTCCTATGGCCATTGAATGTAATCTCTCCAGGCCATTGTAAATACCCTTTGGAAACAGTATTAGATGTAATATATATATATGTTAGCCGACTAGTGATGAAAGAGAATTGATTGGAACATTTTGATGTTTCTGAAATATACATGCTTCTGGTCAACTGCATGCACATAATTCATTTTAGGTTAAACTACCTGATGTGGAGTTTTTTATAAATCTTGGAGACTGGCCTTTGGAAAAGCGTAAAATATCAGAAAACCCTATACCAATCTTTTCTTGGTGTGGGTCATCATCTTCTCGAGATATTGTTCACCCAACATGGGATCTTGGGAAATCAATCATGGAAACAATGGGGAGGTTGGAACCTGTTGATTTCACCATACTTAATCTATGCCTGAGATATCTCTCTGTCCATGTCTATCCTCCCTTTGCTTTAAACTAATTTCTGACACTTTTGATGTTTACTTTTTTCATGAACAGAACAAAACATGATGACATGCACAAAACATGACTAAATGTCACTCCCTACACGAACAGAACATCACTTCATGTTACTTATAACATGTACAGAACATGACTACATGTCACTCCCTACACGAACAGAACATCACTTCATGTTACTTATAACATGTACAGAACATGACTACATGTCACTCCCTACACGAACAGAACATCACTTCATGTTACTTATAACATGTACAGAACATGACTACATGTCACTCCCTACACGAACAGAACATCACTTCATGTTACTTATAACATGTACAGAACATGACTACATGTCACTCCCTACACGAACAGAACATCACTTCATGTTACTTATAACATGTACAGAACATGACTACATGTCACTCCCTACATGAACAGAACATCACTTCATGTTACTCATAACATGTACAGAACATGACTAAATGTCACTCCCTACACGAACAGAACATCACTTCATGTTACTCATAACATGTACAGAACATGACTAAATGTCACTCCCTACACGAACAGAACATCACTTCATGTTACTCATAACATGTACAGAACATGCCTACATGTCACTCAAAATTTGTATTGAGCTTAACTACATGTCACTAAATATATACAAAATATGACTACATGTCACTCACTAAATGTACAAAACATGATTTTATGTCATTCCCTATACTTGTATGTACAAACATGACTAAATGTCACTAAATATACTGAACATGACTTCCACATACAAAACATGACTGCATGTCACTCACTACAAAATGTGACTAAATGCCACTTACTACATGAATAAAACATGACTGAATGTCAATCACTACATATCCTGGACATGACTACATACCACTCACTATCACTCACTATATGTACAAAATATGACTGAATATCACTCACTACATATACTGGACATGACTACATACCACTCACTATCACTCACTATATGTACAAAATATGACTGAATATCACTCACTACATATACTGGACATGACTACATACCACTCACTATCACTCACTATATGTACAAAATATGACTGAATGTCACTCACTACAAATACTGAACATGACTACATACCACTCACTAAAAATGTGACTAAATGCCACTTACTACATGTATAAAATATGACTGAATGTCACTCACTACAAATACTGAACATGACTACATACCACTCACTAAAAATGTGACTAAATGCCACTTACTACATGTATAAAATATGAATGAATATCACTCACTACATATACTGGACATGACTACATACCACTCACTATCACTCACTATATGTACAAAATATGACTGAATGTCACTCACTACAAATACTGAACATGACTACATACCACTCACTAAAAATGTGACTAAATGCCACTTACCACATGTACAAAACATGACTGAATGTCACTCACTACATATACTGAACATGACTGAATGTCACTCACTATGTGTATAAAACATGACTGAATGTCACTCACTATATGTACAAATAGCAATAAATATATATTAAATAGCAGATGACAATAAATTCTTGAATTTTCATAGTAATAGCAAAAGTATGGATTTGTATGTACAGGGTGTTCACTAAGTGATGACACTAGGTCTCCTATTTCTACAGTTTTTAACCAATCTTTCTTGATTTTGCACACATTATCTGGCATGTAATAATGAGTGCACATACCAAATTTCATGTCTCAAGACCAAAAATAGTTAATTTTATCATATACATTTTGATTTGGTAACATGGTCCTTGACACAACACATATTACGTCTAATTTAACATTAATGAAGAAATATTTAATCCTGAGCATATCACTTCTGCAAATGATACAATATTTATATCCGGCACTCCATGTCCATGCCCAGTGGATATAATATCCCTTTAAAAGTAATTTGTTTCTGCTTTTATGCATTTTTGTTGTTTAGCCACCCTTTCTTGGAAAACATTTGTTTGGCCAATCTTATTTGATTTTATTCCAATCTGGCTGCCCTTATACGATTTTCTCATCAGAATGAAACTGCTGACTCTTTATGAGTCCAATAACATGGAAATGTAGTTCAATCTGAATTTCATTTGGTAAATGATTAGCAAGGTCTACATTTTTATATCATAGACAACTCTGCATTCTTTCCAATCTTTATGGACTACTTTGAAGTACAGGGTATAACACGCATGTTGCTTGTTGCAGCAAGTTTCCCATTTCCACTAAACCTGTTTTCCGAATCCGATGACGTTTTCAACTTTGGCAGACTTTCCAACTTAGACTCATGGAGACCACAGACATCCCGGAGATCTTCTGAACTAGGACTATAATGATGTCATACTATGAATGAACCATACTATGCATGTAACCACTATACAGGACATATTTTGAATAACCAACTGGCATAAATTTAATTGAGAATGCATAGCTCAAAATGATGTAAAACCCCATCATATTATACATTATTTCATCAAAATTGAGTAGAATTGATGTCTGTGTCAACACACCAGTCACCAAGTTACTATGGCAACCATTATTTCATTATTTAGAGGTCACGAGCTTTAAAACTTTTCAAATTAACTCACAATTAAGACATGCTGACAATTTAAGCAAGATTCCTTAAAATTTGACAAAATTAGAGACCTAGTGTCATTACTTAGTGAACACCCTGTATATGTGACCAGAGATATAAGGCATAGATTTAGCTCATAGTTATTTGTAGACTTTGTTGTTTTTAGTTGTTGCTCTTTTTGTCTTGATGAAGGATACCTTATTCCTTTTATTTTTCCTTAAACATTTTCTTCCTTTCTCATCTTATACTTTATGTTGATGTTTGAAATTTGAATAACAGCTATAAAGAGTGACAATTGAAAAATAACTGAATAGGGTGGCAATAGTATAGAAAATAACTAAATGGGGTGGCAATTGAAAAATAAGTGTATAGGGTGGCATTTAAAAAAACAAAACTGTACGGGGTGGCAATTGAATAACATTGACGACATGACCTCCTCCTCTTTGCTTGATAATTCAGCCCAGTATTTCTTAGGAATAATGAATTGCCTCTCTGTATTCCACTTTACAGAGAAAGAGACTTTCAGAACTTCTAGCAAATGAAATCAATAAATACAGTTCACTTGTTAAAGTTGTTTTATATGCAATAAGTAATCTAAATCGATGATTCATAATTTGATTTTATATATTTCATTCCTTTAATTATTATTAAATAAGCAAGCAAGCAATCAAGTCCAAAAGTTTCAAATTCTGAAATCTGTTCCATTCCATGCCAATCCTAGCTATAAAACGTAGACATGACCTATTGCACTAAGAAGAGAGGAACAAACAAGAAATAAACTAAACAAAAATTATTTACTATTTGCAGTTTTTATAAAAAATAGTGCTGAATATGCGTGACAATAGAAAGTTTAGCCGGAGGATTGATTCATTTTAGATTTATTATTTAATACTTAGTTTAGAGAAAGTCATAACCTTATACATTTTATTCCATTCCTTGTAGTTGCTCTCTCAGTGTTCTGCAAAACTAAACAGACAATGACCTCTATGATATCTTCTTTGTGGGTAATTTTAGGTAGAAATCCCTGACATTGAATTATTCGTAAATCTGGGCGATTGGCCACTAGAGAAACGCAGTGAAGCAAATAATCCCCTCCCGATATTTTCTTGGTGCGGCTCTGAAGGATCGAAGGACATTATCATGCCAACTTATGATGTCACAGAATCCACATTAGAGACCATGGGCAGGTATGAATGTAAAATGGGTGGTCATATTTTATTGACAGATGTCAGGGTGGTCATGTTTTGATGAGAAATGTCAGGGTGGTCATATTTTAATTTAAAATGTCAGGGTGGTCATGTTTTAATATGAAATGTCAGGGTGGTCATGTTTTAATATGAAATGTCAGGGTGGTCATGTTTTAATGTAAAATGTCAGGGTGGTCATGTTTATGTAAAATGTCAGGGTGGTCATGTTTTAATATGGAATGTCAGGGTGGTCATGTTTTAATGTAAAATGTCAGGGTGGTCATGTTTTAATGTAAAATGTCAGGGTGGTCATGTTTTAATATGAAATGTCAGGGTGGTCATATTTTAATGTGAAATGTCAGGGTGGTCATGTTTTAATATGGAATGTCAGGGTGGTCATGTTTTAATGTAAAATGTCAGGGTGGTCATATTTTAATTTAAAATGTCAGGGTGGTCATGTTTTAATATGAAATGTCAGGGTGGTCATGTTTTAATGTAAAATGTCAGGGTGGTCATGTTTTAAGGGGAAATGTCAGGGTGGTCATGTTTTAACAATAAAAGAAAATGGATTATTTTGGAAAATGTCATAGGGGTCATTTATTTCAGTGCATTCTGCAAGGAAAATTTTAAAAAACCCTAAATTATGCAAAAATGTTGAGGATATAGCTGTCTGTTCAAGGAGAAAAAGTAGAATAGTCATGATCATGGATATATTTAAGGCAATGTTAGATGTGCAGCTGATTTCAGATAGGAATAATAAATGAGGACTTGGGCATGAGCAATGGTCAACATTAAATGGCTGTATGTTTAGAGATGGCTTAGTGCTCTTGCTTTGTTTCATGGATATGAAAACAGATCCATATCAGTTATCTACTTTTTGTCATTACAATCATTAATTGACAAGACAAATAGGATTTTTTATATATGAAACATCATGGAATCTTAAAAATTAAATTTACACATTTCTATTTGAATGCATGGTGTCCCAGAAGTCATGAGACTATATATATAAATATATAAAGAATATATAAATGTAAACTGACAAAATGTTGCAGACATCACAGTAGATCCCAATACTAGAATAATAAATATATGTGTGTTTAAATTCAGGTTAGATGGCAAACCTATTAGTTTTAAGAGATTTTTGTGTTATTCATTTTGTCATCATAATATTTTACTCACTCTCCAAAGCATTCATATCATGTCTTGAAGGTCAAAGTACGTAATGTGGAGTTCATTTTAAACCTCGGAGATTGGCCTTTGGATAAAGTCAACTCTGGAAAGTCTCCAGTGCCAATCTTTTCATGGTGTGGATCTGATGACACTCATGATATTGTCATGCCAACCTATGATGTCATGGAATCTGTACTTGAAATGTTAAACAGGTGACTTTGAATGTTTATGGCATGGTGATGTAGGAGACTGGCGCAAAATTGAAACTCTTGCTTACATTGACCCAATGGCATATAATGCAGCAAGTTGATATTAACAATATTTCAACGGTGATCCGGAACAAATCATCAAAATCTAGTAATAATGTTTAGCAATGCTTCGGTTTGCATGGCATAATGTTAGTGTATATTGCAGCTATCAAGTGGAATCATATGCATAGTGCATTCATTTAAACTAATCAAGCTTTGGAGAAATTGTCAGTTATCATTTTTTATTAATCAACCATGAACACTAATATTGGAAATATACCTAGTCACTAATCTGCTTGAAATGACAAGGTGTCAGCAGCAGCCACGATGGGAAGAACTTTATAACAATTTTAAACATTATGGGTCATCTTGTATGAAAAATGGGATCCAAGTTTGGAACAAAGGTCCAAGTTGTCACATTGGCAGATTTTCAATAAGATTGAGTTATAGTAGCAGTAGCAGCAGCTGTGTTAGTGTAAACCAGTTAACCTGTTTTACTGGATTTGTGTACAAATTAAAACAGTGAACATTCAATTTTAGAATGTGGCAATTGTCTTAATTTCTGATGGTGATTCCTCTTGCACCACATGAAAACATGACCACCATTATACTCCAGGTCTTAAACATGGCCACAATTACACTCCAGGTCTTAAACATGACCACCATTCTACTCCAAGTCTTAAACATGACCACCATTATACTCCAAGTCTTAAACATGACAGCCATTATACTCCAGGTCTTAAATATGACCACCATTATACCCCAGGTCTTAAACATGACAACCATTATACTCCAGGTCTTAAATATGACCACCATTATACTCCAGGTCTTAAACATGACCAACATTATACTCCAAGTCTAAAACATGACCACCATTCTACTCCAGGTCTTAAACATGACCACCATTATACTCCAAGTCTTAAAACATGACAACCATTCTACTCCAAGTCTTAAACATGACCACCATTATACTCCAAGTCTTAAACATGACAACCATTATACTCCAGGTCTTAAACATGACAACCATTATACTCCAGGTCTTAAATATGACCACCATTATACTCCAGGTCTTAAACATGACCAACATTACACTCCAAGTCTTAAACATGACCACCATTATACTCCAGGTCTTACACATGACCACCATTATACTCCAGGTCTTAAACATGACCACCATTATATTTCAGGTCTTAAACATGACCAGCATTATACTCCAGGTCTTAAACATGACCAGCATTATACTCCAGGTCTTAAACTTGACCACCATTATACTCCAGGTCTTAAACATGACCAGCATTATACTCCAGGTCTTAAACATGACCACCATTATACTCCAGGTCTTAAACATTACCAGCATAATACTCCAGGTCTTAAACATGACCACCATTCTACTTCAGGTCTTAAACGTGACCACCATTCTACTCCAGGTCTTAAACATGACCACCATTATACTCCAGGTCTTAAACATGACCACCATTCTACTCCAGGTCTTAAACATGACCACCATTCTACTCCAGGTCTTAAACATGACCACCATTATACTCCAGGTCTTAAACATGACCAGCATTATACTCCAGGTCTTAAACATGACCACCATTCTATTCCAGGTCTTAAACATGACCACCATTCTACTCCAGGTCTTAAACATGACCACCATTCTACTCCACGTCTTAAACATGACCACCATTATACTCCAGGTTTTAAACATGACCACCATTATACTCCAGGTCTTAAACATGACCACCATTATACTCCAGGTTTTAAACATGACCACCATTATACTCCAGGTCTTAAACATGACCACCATTATACTCCACGTCTTAAACATGACCACCATTATACTCCAAGTCTTAAACATGACCACCATTATACTCCAGGTCTTAAACATGACCACCATTATACTCCAGGTCTTAAACGTGACCACCATTATACTCCAGGTCTTAAACATGACCACCATTATACTCCAAGTCTTAAACATGACCACCATTCTACTCCAGGTCTTAAACATGACCACCATTATACTCCAAGTCTTAAACATGACCACATGTGGTGTGCAAAGTGGTGTTCAGAATTTTAGAATTTCATGTTGGATTACGGTACTCACAGCATGACCATTGTGACATTTCAGCAGAATAAGCATGACCATTGTGACATTTCAACAGAATAAGCATGACCATTGTGACATTTCAACAGAATAAGCATGACCATTGTGACATTTCAACAGAATAAGCATGACCATTGTGACATTTCAGCAGAATAAGCATGACCATTGTGACATTTCAAAAGAATAAGCATGACCATTGTGACATTTCAACAGAATAAGCATGACCATTGTGACATTTTAACAGAATAAGCATGACCATTGTGACATTTCAACAGAATAAGCATGACCATTGGGACATTTCAACAGAATAAGCTTGATCATTGTGACATTTCTAAAGAATAACCATGAGCATTGTGACATTTTAACATAATAAACATAACCATTGTGACATTTTAACAGAATAAGCATGACCATTGTGACATTTCAACAGAATAAGCTTGATCATTGTGACATTTCTAAAGAATAACCATGACCATGATCATTGTGACATTTCAGCAGAATAAGCATGATCATTGTGACATTTCAAAAGAATAACCATGACCATTGTGACATTTCAACAGAATAAGGATGATCATTGTGACATTTCAGCTGAATAAGCATGATCATTGTGACATTTTAGCAGAATAAGCATGACCACTGTAACATTTCAGCAGAATAAGCATGACCGTTGTGACATTTTAACATAATAAGCATGACTCATATGACATTTCAACATAATAAGCATGACTATTGTGACATTTCAGCACAATAAGGATGACCATTGTGACATTTCAACAGAATATGCATGACCATTGTGACATTTCGACAGAATAAGCATGACCTTTGTGACAGTTTAACTGAAAAAGCATGACTCATATGACATTTCAACATAATAAGCATGACTATTATGACATTTCAGCAGAATAAGCATGACCACTGTGACATTTCAGCAGAATAAGCATGACCATTGTGACATTTCAGCAGAATAAGCATGACCATTGTGACATTTCAGCAGAATAAGCATGACCATTGTGACATTTCAGCAGAATAAGCGTGACCATTGTGACATTTCAGCAGAGTAAGCATGACTATTGTGACATTTCAACAGAATAAGCATGACCATTGTGACATTTCAACAGAGTAAGCATGACCATTGTGATATTTCAGCAGAATAAGGATGACCATTGTGACATTTCAACAGAATAAGCATGACCATTGTGACATTTTAACAGAATAAGCATGACCATTGTGACATTTCAGCAGAATAAGCATGACCATTGTGACAAATCAACAGAATAAGCATGACCATTGTGACATTTTAACAGAATAAGCATGGCTATTGAGACATGTCAATAGAATAAGCATGACCATTGTGACATTTCAGCAGAATAAGGATGACCATTGTGATATATCAGCAGAGTAAGCATGACCATTGTGACATTTTAATAGAATAAGCTTGACCATTATGACATTTCAGCAGAATAAGCATGACCATTGTGACATTTCAACAGAATAAGCTTGACCATTATGACATTTCAGCAGAATAAGCATGACCATTATGACATTTCAGCAGAATAAGCATGACCATTGTGACATTTCAACAGAATAAGTGTGACCATTGTGACATTTCAGCAGAATAAGGATGACCAATGTGACATTTCAGTAGAATAAGGATGACCAATGTGACATTTCAGCAGAATAAGCATGGCCATTGTGATATTTCAATAGAATACGCATGACCATTGAGACATATCAACAGAATAAGCATGACCATTAAGACATATCAACAGAATAAGAATGACCATTGAGACATATCAACAGAATAAGCGTGACCATTATGACATTTCAGCAGAATAAGCATGACCATTGTGACATTTCAGCAGAATAAGCATGACCATTGTGACATTTCAACAGAATAAGCATGACTATTGTGACATATTAACAGAATAAGCATGACCATTGTGACATTTTAACAGAATAAGCAGGGCTATTGAGACATGTCAATAGAATAAGCATGACCATTGTGACATTTCAGCAGAATACGCATGACCATTGTGACATTTCAGCAGAATAAGGATGGCCATTGTGACATTTTAGCAGAATAAGCATGACCATTGTGACATTTCAATAGAATAATCATGACCATTATGACATTTCAGCAGAATAAGCATGACCATTATGACATTTCAGCAGAATAAGCATGACCTTTGTGACATTTCAACAGAATAAGCGTGACCATGATGACATTTCAGCAGAATAAGCATGACCATTGTGACATTTCAGCAGAATAAGCATGACCTTTGTGACATTTCAACAGAATAATCATGACCATATGACATTTCAGCAGAATAAGCATGACCATTGTGACATTTCAACAGAGTAAGCGTGAATATTGTGACATTTCAGCAGAATAAGGATGACCATTGTGACATTTTAGCAGAATAAATGTGACCATTGTGACATTTCAGCAGAAGAAGCATGACCGTTGTGACATTTTAACAGAATAAGCATGGCTATTGAGACATGTCAATAGAATAAGCATGACCATTGTGACATTTCAATAGAATAAGCATGACCATTGAGACATATCAACAGAATAAGCATGACCATTATGACATTTCATCAGAATAAGCATGACCATTGTGACATTTCAACAGAATAAGCATGACCATTGTGACATTTCAACAGAATAAGCATGACCATTGTGACATTTCAACAGAATAAGCATGACCATTGTGACATTTCAGCAGAATAAGCATGACCATTGTGACATTTCAGCAGAATGAGGATGACCATTGTTACATCTCAGCAGAATAAGCATGGCCATTGTGACATATCAACAGAATAAGCATGACCATTGAGACATATCAACAGAATAAGCATGACCATTGAGACATATCAACAGAATAAGCATGACCATTGAGACATATAAACAGAATAAGCATGGCCATTGTGACATTTCAACAGAATAAGCATGACCATTGTGACATTTTAACAGAATAAGCATGAATATTGTGATATTTTAACAGAATAAGCATGACCATTGTGACATTTCAGCAAAATAAGCATGACCATTGTGACATTTCAGCAAAATAAGCATGACCATTGTGACATTTTAACAGAATAAGCATGAACATTGTGATATTTTAACAGAATAAGCATGACCATTGTGACATTTCAGCAGAATAAGCATGACCATTGTGACATTTCAGCAGAATAAGCATGACCATTGTGACATTTCAATAGAATAAGCATGACCATTGTGACATTTTAGCAGAATTAGCATGACCATTGTGACATTTCAACAGAATAAGCGTGACCATTGTGACATTTCAGCAGAGTAAGCATGACTATTGTGACATTTCAACAGAATAAGCATGACCATTGTGACATTTCAGCAGAATAAGCATGACCATTGTGACATTTCAGCAGAATAAGCATGACTGTTGTGACATTTTAAAAAACAAGCAAAACAAAAATCATTACTGCAGCTGTTATTTCTATTTACTAATTTAACAGTTATACTTGATTTGAGATATTTATATATAGTTCCTAATGTGATGCTTCTTACTAAACATAGGTGTGATCACATTGAATCACTAGAAATGCCAACCTACCAAGCTTCCGAGGAAGATCTACAAAAGTCTTGTAGGTACGAGAACCTTGTCTAGATTACAATTAATAGGAACACCTCGAATTTTCATAAATTATTGAAATATATTTATTCGTAGACCTTTTGGGACATTTTAGGATTTATTTGGCATTATTAATATTATATCATCTCTGGGATTTTGCAATTTAACTATGCGGGTGATCTTCCTTTAAGATTTGAAAAAGATCTACATGATACATTTTATTTGTAGATTTTGATGTATTACAGTGAAAGTCAAGGTGGTCACATTTATACTGTACATTACACCCTATGCAGACAGAGCCTGTGGGAAATATTGGGTGCGGCGCAAATGAGCGGAGGGTGCGGAGCTAACGGTCATTTTTGAATTTAAAATTGGGATATTTCTGAAACTAAGCCGTTTTGGGACTTCAAATATACCAAGATATGTGTATTTGACACCAAATATAAATAAAATTGTGAAAATAGTAATGCAATTCATTTTATAGCGACGCAGTATGCCTTAAACATTTCCCAGACCTATATATTTTGAGACTATCCTTTTAATACTGCGTCCCCAGCATTCATAAAAAATGGTGTTCAAGATACACTACCCATGCAAATTATTTTTGCATCTTGGAAGCCAGGCAGTATCTGTGTGATTTTATAAAAATTCGGAAATGTTCTTCAGATATGAGCCCCTCTAAATATTGGGTGCGGAGCTACGTTTATGGAGCTGCTCCGCACCCAATATTTAGAGGGGCTCATATCTGAAAAACATTTCTGAATTTTTATAAAATCACACAGATACTGCCTGGCTTCCAAGGTGCAAAAATAATTTGTATAGATAGTGCACCTTGAACACCATTTTTTATGAATGCTGGGGACTCAGTATTAAAAGGATAATTTCAAAATATATAGGTCTGGGAAAGGTTTAAGGCACACTGCGTCGCTATAGAATGAATTGCGCTACTATTTTCACAATTGTATTGATATTTGGTGTCAAATACACATATCTTGGTATATTTGAAGTCCCAAAACGGCTTAGTTTCAGAAATATCCCAAATTTAAATTCAAAAATAACCGTTAGCTCCGCACCCTCCGCTCATTTGCTCCGCACCCAATATTTCCCACAGGCTCTGTCTGCATAGGGTGCATTAGAATGTTGTGGAATTAGCATATGCCTTTACTTTTGACATACTTATTTCCTGAATGGAATCATAGTTTGTCTCTTATGCTTTGTGCTCCTCAAACTCTATTTCTTGATTGGGTTCATGATTTGATGATGATTTCTTTCTGTCTGGTTCATACATTTTCTTCTTATATTTAGTCATTATTTTATCATTTTTTTTTTTTTTTTTTTTTTTTTTCTTTTTTTTTTTTAAAATATTTATTCACATTTAGTAAACACTTACAATTACATATAGTATGCATTTCATTACATTTAATTCATATATACCCATATATACCTCAATGCAGATTCATTTTAAATGATTGATTTTTTTTTGATTTTTTTATTTAATATTATTGCTATTAATCTCCTTTTATTATTATTATCTTTTTATTAGAAGCATACCACATATAATCTTTATATTCTCATTCATCCATGTATCCATCCATTCATTCATTCATTCACTCACTCACTCAATCAATCAATCACCCACTCATTTTCATTCATTTACTCATTTATTCAACATCATTCATCTGGGTTGCATTTAAATTATCTCACACAAAAATACTAATTCAAAACATTTTATTATAAAAGTTAGACCAAACTTCATTTTTATTCACATTTTTAGTTTCTACATATAATTTGAAGTGCTCAATAAACTGATAATATGATGGCTCTAAGTTTTCAAGAAAACTGGTATATAAAGTATGTTTCATTATTAATATAGCTGCATTAAAAATGATATAACCATCATCCTTTGGTTTATGTCCGTACAAAATGTCATTCTCTGTTATTTTTATCTTATATCCAGCTTTTTCCATATATTTACTAAATCTAGTCCATATTTCATTATTTTTCTCACATTCCCACAGCATGTGTTTGATCGTATGTCTCATATTACAATTTGGGCATTTGTTCGATTCTTTTATGTTCATCTTTTGTAATTTCTCATTACATATTAAGATATTATGTAACACTTTATATTGAAAAATCCATAATCTTGTTTCATCGACTACTTTTCTTGGAAGTAAAAATATATCCTTAATTTGTTCCTCATTAAAAGTTTCCTCTAATTTCTTATTTTATCATGGGGGGGGGGGGGCAAATGATGGCTATTGTATTATTTGGTGTTTACTTGCTTGCTGTAGTGATTTCACTACTGTGCTGCACTGATATACTGTTATATCATTCAAGGACTCATGGAATTATTTCATGATTTCAGTGGAATATTTTGAGGGCATCTATGTCTTTCTACTCTGTTTTCAATGTTTATGATAAGGTTAACTGTGCACTTATGTCACGTACTCTTGCATCAAGCCCCCTCTTCTATAACAGAGTGAGATGGAGCAGGGGTGAACAGTGACTTGATGCATGACTCTATAAGATTTATATGTGGTGTCTGCATGTCGGGGATGTTGCTGTTTAATGCTTTACAATAACACTTTATGTTGTACATGTACTTAAAACGAAAGGGACTTTGACCAAATATATGTGTTGCAGAGTAATAAAGGGTGTCCAGAAAGTCTCTATACAATTATAATGTTCTAATAATCTGTTTAAAGTGTAAAGAGATTTTAAGGACACTCTGTATATTTGGCTTTGCAACCTTTAAAATAGATTAATGTTGAAAATTGTTGCTTTTTTTGTCCTTGTTACAGTCTACCTGCAACTTTTGATATTTCACTTCATTCTCTATCAATATGCTCATTGTCTATGTATATATGTATGTAAGAGGTTATTTTACCATTGTAAATCCTCTCTTCCTATTCTTTAGCCACCTAGCTATTGTAAAAACTTTTCTCTTGGTGTAATGACTGAATTCTGTAAACATAATATACAATGGTTGCTTTATATATCCAACATCGCTTTTGTAATTTCCACTCTTTTATATTTGACTAAACATTAGAATTGACATTTAATATTGATGAAAGTTTTAAGGATAAAATATTACCTGATGAAAGTTTGTAATTTGTAACAATTTCAAGCCCAATGTTATAAAAATATGAAAAACTATGTTTTCAGGGTGACATTGGACTTGCTATCAGTTCAGGCGAACACAGGACCTGACTGGGCCAATAAGACTGAAATTGCCTTCTGGCGGGGACGGGACAGCCGCAAGGAGCGACTAGAGCTTGTCCGCATGTCACACAAATACCCAGACCTCATTGATGCAAGACTAACAAACATGTTTTTCTTTAAACATGAAGAGGATTTAGGAGAACTTCAGAAGCATATTTCTTTCTTTGATTTCTTTAAGGTATAGTACTATTTCATTCATTCTTTAAGTGTTAGGGTATATTCTTAGCAATGCTCTCATCAATTAGCCAGATGAGAATGTTAATTCAGTCCATATAGACTAATAAATAAGTATAGCAGGATAAATTAGAAGTAAATATTGCTACATTATTTCTCTTCATTTATTTATAAAGGATGGAATTCAAATATCTGTACAGTTCTTATAGGTAGCGATCTGAGGCACTTCGATCAGGGTGTTGTCGGGACAATTTCTCTTGTGACTTAGGTTATGTATTTAGGTCTATCTCAACAGATTTTACTGGTCTTATGCGCCGCAAATGGTGCGAAAGATGTTAAAATTGCATTTCCGACCCTAAAATTCAGATTTCTGGGGGGTACATTATTATTTAGCTATAAAACAAAAACTAAACAACCAATGCTTCTTTCTTTTGGTGTTTCTGTTAAGAGTAATTATATTTAAAATCCATATGTAAAAAATTGAAGAATTTTAACTTAATTTATAAAAACAACATTTTTTCACCCTAGAATCATCGAATTTAGGGGGGTCGAGAGACACTGGTCGGAATTGATATTTTAATTTCTCAATCAATCTTTGTTTAATATTAATGAAACTTTCCTGAAAAAAGCACCAACATGTCCCCAGCATATTACCCATAAAGAAAAAACTCAAACTCTGATGTTTTTATCTATTAGAGTCAATTTACCTCTCCCCTCTTTCCCTTATAAAAGGGGTGTGGCCATTAATACATGTGGATTTAAACAGTAGCATGATGTCACATTAAATGAATACATGTACATATCATGTATTTTATCAAATATATTACCATAAAATATTTTCACTTAGGTGTATACATATAGTACATACCTGTGAATTATTTATAATACAATATTTATTCTATGTAGGCTCGAGATATAAGAATATTAAAAATCTGAAGTTGAATATTATCTAAGACACAGTTCACGACTCAGTCATAATATTAATTTTACTCATTGTATGAATTTCTGTCATCACAAATGTAGTTTTTATTCACCAGAATATATTTGATCCACAAAGCTTTGTATTTCATAAACTTCCTCTTCATTTTGATCTTCTAAAGTATCATCTAATACGATAACATCTACCTGGGGTAAAATTTTATCTGGATTTGACAACCATTGAAATCCAAATGGCCATCTTTCATCCTCCATCCATGTGACACAGGGTAGGGAATTGATGGGTAGGGGATGTGGGCAAGATTCCATATGTGTGCTTGATTTTTTTTTTAATCATTTTTATTTCAAGTTCATATATTATAACATTTAATTTCATACAATGAAAATTCAACAAGGTTAATCAATTTAACATTTGTGTTGAACTTCGCAGTAAATATACCATACACTTATATGCAATACAAATTTGTTACAATTATTCGTAACTATTCATATATAAACAAAAAGGAAAAAGTACAATTAAAGCTGATATTGGAATGCTTTACAAAAAAGGTGTGCAGTGGTGTAAATTATGGGATGGTGTAATATACATGTTAGTCAATCTTGGTTGCTTGTAGGAATTTTAAAGTTGCTTTCAGCAGAAGTGTATTATCTTCATTACTAAGTTCACTGTTACCATGCAAGAGCATATTTACTTTGCTAACAGAGTTAGCATCTAAGAATTTTTCTAAACAACCAATAATATGGAGATCTATAAGTAGTTGGATTCTATCATTTACAAATTGAGGGCATTTGAGGAAAAAATGAGTAGGGGTTTCATTTTCATGACCACAGTTACAGGCTGGTGAGTCAATGTTTGTAAAGTGATGAGCAAATAATTGACTTTTTAGAAATAGGTCCACTTTTAACCTGTTAAATATAATTTCAGTTTTTCTAGTGATATCAAGTGATGCTATTATATTTATACATTTTTCATTCCCGAAATGCTTTCTAAGTTTGCCTTTAAAAGTTGATATTCTATTACAATTTCTTAAATCATTAGGCAGACCATTCCATTCTTCAATCGCAGCAAAATATGTAGTTTTTCTAAATGAAATGCTGATATTAAGAGGCACAATATACTCTCTGACAGCCCTTAGAATTCTATTTGGTTCATGTAAGTATTTATTAAATAATTCAGTGACATATGAAGCTGATAAATTGATTCTACTTTTAAATAGAAATGAGCAAAGATGGCTTCTTCTTCTCTCAGACAAAGTAATCCAATTTAATGACTTCAAGACCTTATAGGTGCTTGAACCATGCAGAGCACCGGAAATTAGACAAGCTGCATTATAATGCAGTCTTTCAAGTTTGCTGGTAGCTATATTTGGAGCACTATTGTAAATTATATCAGCATAATCAATTTTACTTAGAATAAAAGAATTATATATGGTTTCCAAATGATTCGAACGAAGAATGTGAGTTAATTGTTTAAATGGATTTAAGATTGTCTGTAATTCCTTGGTGAGCTCATTAACATGTTCCTTGAAATTAAGCTTTTGATCTAAAATAACACCAAGGTGTTTGATAACTGGCCCTTGCCAGATACTGCTGTAATGAATCTTTACATGGGGGTAGGAGGCTTATGTCAGTGCCTTCATAGCTTGTTATCACACTTGGAGCAGGTTTTGGTTGGAATTTGATCTCGAATAAGGTATATCTCAGCTCATTTATATTTGAACACTTTTTGTTTCCATACATTTGGCAAGTAAACTTCTCAGCACATTTAGCAGTTTGATCATTAATGACCCCTCCAATGGTGCCGAAACCTTTTTGAAATTCTACAGATCTCATAAGTAATTTTAGCGGGGGGGGACACTTTCCCCCTTCTCACAAAGGCACTGAAGGAATCACATCCAGTGAATGAATGGAAGGCTGGTAAAGCATTACAAATTTACAAATGTCTGAACTGAGTGCATTTCCTACTTCCTTTACATTAAAGGAGCAACAAGGACTGTAGAGAGAAAATTCGAATTTTTTTCTTTTTTCTGAGCTATCAGGTCAATATTTGGCTTAACATCTTCTTTGACATACCTATTTTCTGAAAATGTATGGATAAACTCTCAATTTAGAAGTGTAAATTCAGTTCAAAGCTTCTATATTTGATTTTTAAGATTCACCACGTTTCAAGAGGAATATCAGCTGAAATTATATTCATCCAGGGAGTTTCTTTATAGATAATAAAAATATATGTTAGACTTGATGAAATATCCAAACTTAAATATATTTTGACACTGGTCGATGATCGTTGAATTACCCCCCTGCACTAATTGTTGCACCTTTAATAAGTCATATGTGGTCTGCACTACCAGTGTCGAAAATTAATGGAGTTTGAATATGATTGGAAAGTGCACAAGAAGTACAAAAACATCGTTATCTGGGGATCGCACAACTATAGTTTTTTCTGTATTTTCAGGTTCATTTCATGTTAATTGCATGGAGTATAATTTTTGTATCTGTCTCTTTGTGGGAAGATCTCAGACTAGGTTCAACTCTATGTGTAACAGTAGTTCTATCACTGGTGCACTGTACATATCTCACCACATGAATCTGTCTTTCTTTGAGTTTAGGAGCATTTTTATCTTTTTCCAATTGTTAGGAATCCTGGTATTGGGTCCTTTTATTATTAGCTTTTTGGAGACACGCCTGTGTATTCTTTCTGGTTCTTTAATTGAATCTTTCTTATAGGAAGCATCTGAAGGATCCTCTCTGCCAATAATCCAAATGTTTTGGGTCGCTCAGGAAGTATATGGAACAATGCATTGCCATCATAGACTATAATTGTTTTTTCTGGTTTGGGTCCATGTCCAATATTATATGTTTCCAGATCATGTAATAATTTTGACTTTTCTGTTTTAACCAGGAGCCCATCAGGTGTTCCAAGAGCCAAGGGTATTGGACTCAGGGGATATTCCAATATTCGCTTTAGACTGATACTATGCTGCTCTGATAACATGACTAACTGGCCAAATATATTGCGCTCAGCTCTAATCTCAATCAGTTAGTTTCCAGAGCTTTTCACCTTTTTGACTCCAGCATTGAATTCAGATGTTTTCAGTTTCATTCTCTTATGGGGTCATGAAAACTTTTTCCCTTCTGCACAAATTGGTCTTGAATATATTGCTTAAAGGCTTGTGTGCCCTTGGATGCTGCATTTAAGAGATCATCTGCTAAATTAGAGGGTGTTGGCATTCCAGATGATATACAGTATAAATGATCATTGTCCTCAATTTGGAATGGATTGAGAAAGCCATCAATTGAATCAATCAAATTAATTAATAATAGAACATCAGACAGTAATAAGCCTTGAATAGCTTACTATTCTCCCTTATTGTTTTGCTACATGTTCCCTGCAAATAATGAATAGCAATTTATAATTGCAATAAGATAATCAGTTTATTAATTAAAGTTAAATATAAAGGTATTTTGTATAAAGTAAAACCTGTGTACAGTGAACATCTATAGAGCCACAAAAAATGTGTTCACTATTGGTAGATTTCAATACAGAAAGACAATTTGTATTGGAATCAAGGTATGTGCTGAAAATAGGGTGTTCATTTTACATAGGTGTTCACTAGAGAAAGGTGTTCACTAACACAGGTCCCACTGAATTAGGCTTATGTCATTTTAAAGACATTCACTAGCTACAAGTAAAACAAGGCATTAACATGACAAAATGTCACCACCTAGTTGAAACAAGGTAAAAAATATCTTTTTGACCTTGAGGAGGTCACTAAAGGTCAAATCTATTTTGACCTTTAGAATGACATTTAATGATCAAATCTATATTCTTAAATCTTAAGAAGGTCATTGAAGGTCAAATCTCAAACCTTAAGTCAGATTTGAACTTCCGATAACTTATAGATGATTTTGAAAAAAGGTTAATTTGAAGCAAGTTGAAAAAAGACCTTTTCTGACCTTGAAAAGGTCATTGAAGGTCAAATCTTAAATATAAAGTCGGATTTGAACATCTGAAAACATGTAGATGATTTTGAAAACAATTGAAGTCAGTCTATACAGTATTTGTTAATTATTGGAAATTGTAAGAATTTGTTACAGATTGCCAATTGCCAACCACCAACCACAAACCGCCGACCACTGACCACCGTCAAAAAAGAACAGAGACCTTAACAATATGTCACCACTTTTTGTTGGTGACATAAAAATTATATCCTGATATGAACCATCCTAAGCAGGTGTCCAGAATCTGTACCTCCTTCTTCCCCCTGCTATTACAAATTTGGATGTGCTGATTTAACTGAATCACATGATCTAATTATGCACAATGACTTATACATGATTTCTGTCGCAGTGTTGCGACAGCCAATCAGATTGCGAGTTCTTAATCGGGGAAATGGTAACTGCTTATCGCAGGGTGTAAAAAGAAAGAATATGTTCTGGATTTTGAAGCCCTGTGATCAGAGGATGGATATGAACATGAAGTATTTATTTTTAGATGAACATGCCAATATGGTCTCGCCCTTGTAAAAAGGGAAAGAGGGGAGAGGTAAATTGACCCCTATAGGCAAAAAACATGTTAGAGTTTGAGTTTTTTCTTTATGGTAATGTGTTGGGGACATGTTGGTGCTACTTTTAGGAAAGTTCCATTAATATTAAACTGAGATTGATTGAGAAATTAAAAAATCAATACCAATCAGTGTCTCTCGACCCCCCTAAATTCGATGATTTTAGGGTGAAAAAATGTTGTTGTTTTTAAAATAAGTTAAAATTCTTCAATTTTTTACATATGGATTTTAAATATAATTACTCTTAACAGAAACACCAAAAGAAAGAAGCATTGGTTGTTTAGTTTTTGTTTTATAGCTAAATAATAATGTACCCCCAAGAAATCTGAATTTTAGGGTCGAAAATGCAATTTTAACATCTTTCGCACCATTTGCGGTGCATAAGACCAGTAAAATCTGTTGAGATAGACCTAAATACATAACCTAAGTCACAAGAGAAATTGTCCCGACAACACCCTGATCGAAGTGCCTCAGATCGCTACCTATTAGGACATGTGACCTCCATCATTCTTCTTCCCCCACTGCCCTATATCTTGGGTTTTTAACAAAGTTATCACTTCAATGACATCCATGTAGAAATTTTATCATTTTTTCAGCGTAAATATCAAATAAATATAGATGGAACTGTAGCTGCATACCGGATGCCATATCTTTTAGCTGGAAATTCAGTTGTCTTAAAACAAGACTCAGAATATTATGAACATTTCTACAAAGCCCTTAAACCATATGTCCACTACATTCCAATAAAAGCTGATCTCAGTGACCTAGTAGAGCAGATTCAATGGGCAAAGGACCATGATGAGGAGGTAGGGACATCTATTGGTAGCTTCCTGAACTATCCTTTATATTCTAACACTTGTGAATGTTTGCTCTTAAAATACACGGTACTATGAACTTTTAATCGGCAATTGTTTATTTAAGATATAAATACCAGAATACTAAGCTTAGATCGATCAAATCTGGATCTCCAGATCACATCTGTATTGGAAATGTTGTTTGATCAATTTGTCTGTTAGAAAAACAAAAGATTCAAATCAATATCTCATACAGTTTACAAGAGAAATGTCTGTCATCCATTCCTCGCATGTAGACCATCTGCCTCTATATGGTCCACTTTCACAGTTTCTCATGTATTTCTATGTTTGCTTTGCTTTGTAGGCTCAACAAATAGGTAAAAATGGTCAAGAGTTTGTGAGGAAGAACCTCATGTCAAACAATGTGTTTTGTTACTATGCAGCATTATTTAAGGTAAATGGCACTAATGTACTATTTAACTTGGTATATTTGCCTCTCAAAATTATACTCTAGTTTTGTTCATGAATAAATGCCACAATGGCTGAATATAAAGTCTCCATGGGTAATTAAATAGAAGTCATGACAGGACTAGAAAGTTTTCTGAACATGAAACAAAATTTATTCTATTCATCAATGGAGTATTCCTTTTACCATTGCTCTTTCAGATTCAGTGACCAACATTAACTTTCACTGTTCTAGTCTCTGTCTATTTTGCATAATGGTCATTGTTGAGAATAAAAAACATGTCAGTGTTGATATAAAATTCTGTTAATCTGATGCTCATCATCTGTGACATCATTCATATATTACCAAGTCAACAACAAAACAGTTTATTTTTTGTAACACAACATATTATGTTACAATTCAAACCTATATTTGAGAAGTTGGAAAAATTGATATCACTCAAAAAAGCTGCACCAAATCACACTACGGTAATTGTAAATTAGTTATAGATTCCTCATGAAAATGTGTAGAATCTTTCATTTGATTTATAACCATTTCATTTCAGGAATATGCCAAGAAATTAGTGAGCACTCCCAAGGTAAGGGAGGGAATGGAACTAGTGGAACAGCCTACTGAGGATTCAGAATGCAATTGTAAAAGAAAAAAGGTAAATAAGTAACTTTGGGAAGAGTATGTACGTGTATTGGAGACATCATGAATCTGACAGTTTATAATCCTAACATATGAATCTCAAATTGTAATAAATCATGTACCTTATTTTTGTGGGCCTCATTGCGGTTTTCAGAAGAATAGATGAATAAGTAGTACTACTGTATAGAAGTGTAACAAAATTAAAGGATCGTCATTTCTGAGAGAGATGATTACATTTTAATGTTTTTACATTAAGATATGTTGTTTGTTACAACTAATATATATCAGTTGCAGTACATATGTAGATGGATTTAATTAAATAGAACACAGATATGTCTTTAAAGAAAGGCAATTGCCATTATAAATTGACTAAACTGCCATAATATCTAAATTCTCATCTAAAAGAGCCTTCAACAAGATTTCAAATCTTAAGCAAGGGATCTATGTTAAGAAATAGACCAACAATATTAAAGGAAAATATTTCTTTCAGAAGCAAGCAGAGAAAAGGGATGAACTATGATGACATGACCTTCTAGAAGAAATCCATCATCTTCCTGCCACACTATAAACTCATTATTGATGAGCTAACATCACACAACGAAATGTGACATCACAAAATTAAATAGCACATTACTGTATGACAGGGAACAATTACATATCATTGGACAGTACTGTAGCGTAATGATTTGTGGGACACTAGAAAAATAGAACATTTGGACACAGAGGGGAAACATAGAATAAATGTATGAGAAATGGATATCACCATAACTTTGTATAACTATCACCATGTGGACATCACCATGTAGTTCACAATGTATATACAGGATGGGCCAAAAAAATGATAATGATTTAATTGGCAGCCACTTAAAAACACAGAGACGTACATAAAACCACTTATGTGGAACAAAACTTACATTAATTCTTAGACATCTCAGAAAATTTGAGATAAATCATGCCAATAATAAATGAGTTATAACACTCAATCAGTAACATTTTTTTGCCCTCCCTGTACATTCATGAGAAAATCTAAGTGTTACCTAATTTCAGTGGTGGGGAGAGTATTCATGATTGCATATTAATAACACAGTATGCATGTAATTGCAATTATATTAATCACAATTGTGTGACAATTGTCTGAATGTGCAATGATCACATTTAGAAGAAGATGGGACCAATGTGGATGCCTTGAGGCATGGCCTCACTTCAGGTCCCAGAATCTATGGAGCACTGCACCATGAAATGGGAAGTGAATGGAAGAATCTCATAAAATACATTTTTTATATTATACATGTTTTTGATAAGATTTTCATAGTGTGGTCATGATATTTTTGTGAATCTTGTTTGAAGAGTCTGAAGACTGTTATTTTTGTAATCAGTTGATAGAATTGCCTCTGATCTAAAATTATAAAGTATAATTTGATACATTATTGACACTTTCATCCAGTTGTGTCACATGTTCTCTTACAGAATCAAAAGAATTTTGAAGTAAAATATGGCCATTTATAAAATTGGCTAAAAAGAATGATTCTCAAAAGAGGTTATTGACGCCAAAGGAGGCAGTTGGAAATATAGATTTATATCATATAAAGTTCAACTCTTGTAATCAAATAAAGATTCAATGTAAGAGGTATTTTATTTTATAAATGATCAAAAGCTTTAATTTGGCCCTTCCATTACCAAGGAGAGTTGTTCACTAGAAATACAAATAGCATTTCTGCCCATATGTAATAGACCTAGTCTCATGGTACTGCTACCAACTGCAGTAAAATTTGTTCATAAATATTAAACAGTGAAATGTGAAAAGTGAGAACCTGGAGTCTGCACAGGGCAGCAATTATTCCATTAAACTATATTCAGTAGTATTAAGATTTAATGATGGATGTTTATACAATAATATAGACCTTTCCAATGGCATCTATCTTGCCAGTATATATCATAACTTCTTTGATGTACCAAAAGGTGGTGGAACTCATGGCTGCCTGACTGCCAACCACTTTTCACACTTGCATACTGGCAACCACTTTTCACACTTGCATACTGGCAACCACTTTTCACACTTGCATACTGGCAACCACTTTTCACACTTGCATACTGGCAGTCATGTTTTCAACCACAGTTGTGAACTCTGGTCACTTAATCACTAATTTGTTATATTACTGTACATATTTTAGTACTTACGTGTCATCTAATGACAGCTTACACTCAGTAAAAGATAAGCATGTATAAAAGTTTAATAATTATGTACTGGCATAATATATAGACATAATATCACTAATAAATTATCATAATTTAAAACAAAATTAGCTCTAGTTGGATATGCGTTTGTTGTTGCAGTGAAGTCTAAGGAATTGAAACTAAGTTATCTGACTGCATCCAGCATGCATATACAAAAACAATATATTTATACAAAACAACTGTTTATTCAATATTCATTACTAAATATGTGATCTACATATTAGCATAAACAGAAACAAATGGAAAAATCAAAATTTGAATCTCATCAGTCTGCCATAGAGTAAACATATACGATCGTATCATGTATATGTACTTGCCTCTCTTTCCCTGGTGTGTGCTGATGAATATTCTTGAAAATAGCAGACCAACAGAGCAAATTCAGTGAAATGGTCCACATTCTAAAATACTATAAATGCATATTCTTAAGATACATGTAGCTGGTGTTTTAAATATTTTAATGTGTTATATCTTAAAGCTTACAATCATGTATTAACATCAAAAAGCAAAATCTGGATTTAAGATGTGCAAAAAATTACTAATATGTAAATATTCTGTAAAAATATTGAAATGTGAATGTGGAGATATGCAAATGGGCTTGTTTATATCAGAATGGAATGAATATAAAATATGATCTTTAAAAAAATCTTCTATTCTGCACACTTTGTAATTTGGAGCTAAGAGTTGTTAACTACATTTCCGTAAAGTATAAAAACTTAATATAATGTTCAAGTCATTTGGCATGCAATTAATAAGGTTTGGCCAGATGATGATTGTTTCATTAGTCTCAAACCTCTTACTTCCTCCATTCATCATACATTGTACTTAGCTAGAGGTTTAGGGGCACCAGGGCCTGATGCAAGACTTAATTTCATTTGCATAAATAGTAACATTTTTAAAAGTCCTCCACGTTGAATGATGTAATATATCATACACTGCATTCACCATAGAAACCTTATTGGATATGTCACACATGTTACACACCTCTTTAATATTGAATGAACTGCTTGATATGATTCACTATTTTCACTAAAATATGGGTGAAATGATATTTAAAATATCCATGACTCCTTCATTGTGTTAAATTGCATTCCTGTCCTCCAGTTTTACTCTATTTTCGATAGTCACAACTGCTTTAAAAAATAAAACCAAAACTTATTCAAAACTGGCTCTTTCAGGAATTCCTTGCTTTTTACAAGTGTACCTACTCTACATGTATTTTGTGTATTAAAACCATGATGAGATTTGCTTGAAGGCACCGTATTATTATGAGCTAAAATAATGCATGTGTTCATAATTAAACTGTGTCAATGTCCCAAACCCTACATATATACAGTGCTCCTGCCAACATTCTCCCTCACTTTGGGTGGAGAACATTTTCCTTGAAATGGCCGACTAGATTACCAGCGGGTTTGTAGTTTGCTACCACCACACATCTGCCATCTTTACTTAGTGCTTTCCCGATCCCAAGCTCTTTGCTTCCTTTCCATACAACTTGTGTGAAATGGCCTGCAAACATGAAGATTCTTAGTAACAATATTAGACTGAAAATATTCTCACTGAACCATAGTGCCATCTATTCTCATTTACAGAGTTCATTGATGACTTCAACTATTGATCTTTTGATTTTCATTAAAATCTTTTAAAACGGTTATACTCTACCACTGTATGTATTTGATGTTGACATTGTTTGTTTGTTTGTTTGTATGTTTACAGTCATCATATACTGACCTGCACTCTGAGATTGAGCCTCAATGTTGTAGTTGTATTTTGTATTTTCACTGTACCAGTTTTCTGTCACCTCCTCTCCTGAAATATATTATTAGAAACATTCTATTATGAAAGAACACACATTTGTTCTATTATCTGTAGCATTCTCATATGATTTCTCTCTCTCTCCCTCTCTCTACATTACAATAATGCATTTATCACCTGAAAACCTGTATCATCATTTTCAATAGAAATAGTTAGAGTCTTACACATCAAGTACCTGTATAATCAGCCCCTCCACGACTTGACATTTTTGATGCAAGATTTTCTCCTATTTGTTCCCCTTTGAAGAGGCCTTTATTGTGCTGAAAGCTCCCAGTAGAAGCTAAATGTTCAGCATACTTCTGGGCAAATGACGACAATCTGCTGTTTAATTTCAATGCTGGAACTTTGTGCTTTTTTCTATAGGTGTTGTGGGCTTTTAGGGCATTTTTCTGGAACTTCCCCAAGTCTTTGGGTCTGCTTGACTGAAAGAACAGATTATATATCTTTAACCATACCTCAGCTTATCACACCTTATCAAAGACATGCCTCATGGCAATATGGTCATACCTGTTTCAAAGCACTATATTTTTCAACGGTTATTTTGTAAGATAAGGATGGGGTAGAGACAGGAGAGTCCCATATCAAAAATACAAGTCACTGCAGACTGGCAAGTAAATTGTTAGGTGTTGGTCTGATTTTAGGATTTTAATAGTTAAAATATTAAATGTTCAGTGGTTCAGATGCCAATGTATGCAATATATGAATCATGCCTGTTTGGCGTTTGGCCCTGGGGTTTCCTCTAACACTAAATGGTTTTATTCTATGAACACATATACAGTAAAACTTGTAAACTGGAACATCTCTAATTGGAACACCTCAAAAGTGGAACACTATTTTGAGATACCAAAGGTGTTTAACTTACACAGGTTTAACTGTTATTTAATATTTGTGTATTTATTTTCTGAAATTAACAATTTTTAAGAATATTCTGAAAACAGTTATTAACTAATTATAATGATCAAACATTATTTCCATAGTAGTATTTATTTTAGATTTGGTGTTGTTAGGAACATAAATTGATTTGCTCATTGAACTTATTGCTTGCATTTTGTTATCCCTGTGTGTTAATTCTAACTTTAAGAAATTTGCAGCATAAGAACCTTACAAAGGGAAATCAATCCCTCCCATAGCATATCCTCTACCAGTCTACCTACCCCTTTAGTGTCATACTTTGCAGAGCTATTTCCCATTCTGCTGAAATAATCACAATATTTTCATATGGTACTTATGTAAGTATTTATATTCCAGAATTTTCCTCCAAAAATGTTCCACTATTCTGATAGTAATATTTAGTTTCAATATTTAGCTCAAAATATGATCAATCATTCCAAAGCATTCCAATTATGAGCTTGGTCTATGAAAACACTCAAATTCTGGCTTTAATATCCTGGTAATCAAATAATCAAAAAATGACACTGTCACTTATCATCATCCTCCTACTCAGTTTATCTGCAGCACATATTGCCTAAATTAGCATAAATCAACAACAGTGTTCTCATTTTGGAGAATAGCTATTATATGTTTCATCTATAGGATCTGCCCTTAGGGTAATCAACCTTAATATGAATATGCATATAGGCATTCCAGACCTGTGTGACCCTAAACATGAATTGTTATTTTGCTTTGAATTCTTCAGTAATTTGTGTCTTTACAATGTCTGATCTCTGAAGTCACTATGTTTGGGCTGACATGGCCATTGTGCTTTTCCATGTATCTATGATTGTTATTTTCTCATCTGAACTTTGTCTTGAATTGTTTTTATTCCACACTATTTGGCCAGAGGCTATCATGTAGTCTACATGAGCAGACAATACAATTAGAGGGCAGCAAATGAAGATTATGACTCTTGCAATGTCACTGTAATTAGCAGGAGGATGGGATGGTATCAACCATATGTAGGTAGTGCAATCAAACTAATTGGTTGAACATGGACAAGCAAATATATGTGCACAATCAAATATATGGTATTTACAATACATATATGGTATGTATAGTGAAACATATTGGTGTGCACAATCAAATAAATGGTATGTACAGTCAAGTTTGTTGTGTACATTCAAATATATGTTGAAGCTTAATGAAATATAGGTGTGCACAATGAAATATAGGTGTGCACTGTGCACAATGCAATATAGGTGTACACAATGAAATATAGATGTACACAATGAAATATAGGTGTGCACAATAGAATATATGTAGCCAAATATTTGATTTGCATAATCAAAATATTGAGAAAACATCAAATGTGGCAATAGATTGGGTGTGACAATGAATGCAGCAGAGTCTCACATCAGCACATCAACAAAAATAAGTTGGTCCCTTAAATGTACAACAGTTTGGTTATGGAAACAAGTATATTGTTGTTGTCATTTTGAACATCAGCCAAATGCATAAAACAACATTAGCTAAAATTGCTCCTGTATTATGCATAATTGCAAACAGTTGCCATGACATAAATACAGTTAACTTTAAAATTTCTGTCATAAAAATGAAGTAATGTTAATTATATTGTTGTTGTGGTAATTTTACAGCACAAATATTTTAGAAAAGTCACGGTTAAGTGTGTTTCTACTTGAAGCAAAAATAGCATATTTTAGATAGATTTGACCAAACCAAACAGCACCCTTATAATCATGATATTCAAAGTCACCACAAAACTATTTTTCCACAAAATTAGAATGTAGGCTGAACCTTTAAATGTTTTATGTTCTCTGGAATTTCTATGTAAAATGTGAGTCATATCCACTCCATCATGTTTTATCATCACCCTCTTTTATCTAGAATACATAAATCATCTCCCATCTTTTTTGTTAAAGTGACACCAAAGAACATGAGGAAAAAGCAGGACTAAATAGTCATATGCTTTTATCAGGAGTTAATCAGAATATGCATGGACTTTTGACAATATTATGCTAAAAGCTCTACTCCTGTTCATCCATTTCAAGTAGTGTGTAGTAGTTTCATTTGACACTTGACCATGAATATAACATGAAAACAGACTGAATTGTTGTTTCACAGCATACCACTGTTTATGAGTGTAAACATGCTGAGCCATTTATGAGCATTTTACTTTCAGATTTAAGATAAAAACTTTCTATAAAGTCAGAACTGAAATATTACAGCAATGTTTTTTTAGATGTTTTTCATATTTCTTCAATGTTTATTGTTAGAACATTAATACCTGCATTGTGGCATGGACTTCTTACCAATTAGAGTTTTAAAATAATAATAAATCAAGTATGTTCAGTAACCATAGTAATATTTCAGATGAAATGTAGAAGAAGTTGCTATGGTTACATCATGCATTTATCAGGAATTAAGTCCAGATAATGAAATGATACACCTGTAGATACACAGTTACTCATCCAGATTATATGCTCACACCTCATTTCATTGAAGAACACAGAAGACAGTATGCATTTTCTGGGAAAAAATCTCTGCAAGAAACTTAATATAATGATAGCTCATAGTAAATGTAATGAGACCATAGCACCAGTTTTTAAACAATCAAATTACATCACAATTCTCAGAATTCTGAAAACTTGAACCATTCAAAATCTGTATGAGCAGTTTTTTCTGGAATTGCAATCAAGTATAAGAAGCAAGGGGCAACACAAACAAACCTTTTGGTTTGGTTACAAATCATAGAACAATGGTGAAATCGGTATATTAGAATAGTATCTACATATGAATGGTCCATCCAGATACAGGGTGACCCAAAAAAATGCAACCCTCCATTTCTTCTATATTTTTCTTAAATGGAGGTAAATTGCTCTGAGATTTGGCACACAAGGACTTCATTCAATGTGGGATCCTCTGGCAAAGTTTCAATAAGCATAGTCTTATATTGATAGAGGTTGTTTCAAAATATGCTCCAGATGTCGTCAATTTCGCTGAAAACAAACTTGCAATGTTCAAGGAAAACTGTTCATAACATGGATGCATTCTTCCCCATGGGTATGGCTCAAATTTTACAGCCATTGCTTGTTGGAGTTCTGCAATTGTGGAAGGGTTATTTTCATACACATTATCCTTTAGATAACCCCATATATAGAAGTCAGGGGCATTGAGATCAAGACTGTGGGATGACCATTGGTTCTCTGTCCTAGGAGAGATAATCTTCTCATAGAAATGACTAGTGAGCCAGGCTATGCTATCATTAGAAGTGTGAGGAGTAGCTCCATCCTTCTAGAACCACTGTTCTTGTCTATTGAAGCCTCTATGCCTTTGAAGCACTTCATCTGGAATTTGTGATCCCAGAACACATTATTTCTTGAGTTTACATGTTCAGAAAGAGGGGAATGTGATTCATCTGAAAACCTAACATTGGAAATAGACGACATTTGGAGCATATTTTGGAATGACCATAACTCTATCAATATAAGACTATGGTTATTGAAACTTTGCCAGAGGATCCCACATTGAATGAAGTCTTTGTGTGCCAAATTTCAGAGCAATTAACCTCCATTTAACAAAAATATTGAAGAAATGGAGGGTTGCATTTTTTTGGGTCACCCTGTACTTCCTAAACTATTTTATGATATGGGCAGTATGGACTTCTATTCCAATAACAGGGCAAATATACAGGCTTTCCATGTTTCTGTCTTTATTGCACTTAATACTTGCAGCAAAGCTATTCTGGTCACAGGACCCATGTCTAAATCTCATCATGTATTCAAATCGTTTATGAACTGATTGATCATTTACATTATTTTCATTTCTAGCACTTCTTCACAATTTGGTATATTAACTACTTGACTGTTTACTTTATTCCTTGCTTATTCCACCCTCTTCCTCTCACTATTTCAAAATGTGTGAAATCTTTACCATACATGAAGCAATTACTGTAATGTTGTGTTGGAGGGCAAGATGAACTAACAATTTACAACATGATACTATAATTTAGATACCATGGATAATTGGATATATATGTCTGTCCTGCATGTAGCCAAGTTGTAGGGGGGGGGGGGGGGGGGTCACCATTAAAATGTATCTTCAAAATATCTTGATTTTTTGGTATTTAAGTCATGGGGAGAGGATCTGAAACTTGACTATAAGGCTTCTCCTTTAGGAGACAATGTAATAGCATTGATATAGCTATAACAAAATCATAGCCAGATACCCTGAGTATTTGAGCTTAATACACAAGCAGATGAAACTCTCTTTTAAGAAGCAAAGTCAAACTATATAGTTGAAAGAGTAAAAGCCAGATAGCTCTGGAATAAAATCTCACAGTTGACATGTTGAAATGAAAGAAGATTAAAAAGAGTGTGGGGAATAAAACAGAATGTAATGAAGCCAACATACTACATACACTATACCTTGAAATGTTTTTGAAAGAGAAGGTATACCAACTTTAACTCTAAAGTAGGTTGATGGTTTCAGCCAAATGAGGTCAATTTGACATTTTCCACCAAGCCCTAACAAATCAGTCAGAAAATAGTTTCCACAGATAAGACTTTATAGATAAGGTTTCTATTTAATCAATAACTTTGAAACAAATGTTTTATCATTAAAAATCTAAAACTGTCATTGATAATATTTTTATTATTTATTAACTATTCAGCCCATTCTGTATGACTACACTCCTTAGGACTGATTTGACATATTGATTGTAAAAATATAAATCAATCATTTAACAGTTCTAGTAACTGAAACATAATTGTTAAAATATTACTAAATGATCTGCAGACAAAAGAATATTAAATGAGAAGAATTGCTCATAAAATATTAAGAAATACTTTTCAAGACCTTTTTCCCAAACATTTGACTCTCAAGTCTAGTTTTTCAGGCTCCAAGGCCCATTTTTATCATCATTACCAATTTTTCAGATAAGATACAAATACTTACACTCTGTGTACATCCCATTTTGATTGACAAGTCAGTGCCTCCAACTCCAAATCCTCTACGCCTATAGGTTTATATGGTGCTCTATGGGTTAATTATCAATTCCTGGCTAAATATATTGCTTTCCTGGCTAGCATGTAGAGGTATCTCCTTGATCAGGTTTGTTTTGATTACTTCCTCTCTGTCTGTCTCAGCAGCCTGACTCACCAGCTACATCAGTGCACATAGGAAGTAAATATGAAGCAGAGCATTTACAGTTAACAGCTATGACCCCAATGTGAAAATCTCACATCAGAAGTGTTAGTGTTTATATATGCTACATCCTATCTTAATTAAACCACAATGAACTGCTTAATTTTCTTAGATTTTCATATACTTAAGGATGTTTGGTTTATGTCTCATTATATCTGGCTACTTTCATTCTTCTATTTGAAAACATGGTTATTGTCATTGTGATATTTCATTCAAGAGTGGTCCAAACATTGCTGAGTCAATCAAGCAATCATTTCTGTTCAATTGTAATAAAACATTGTTGCACAGCTGAATGAGGGTGATTAAATCATTGTGTCCCCCTAAAAAACACAAAATAGTCCTGTATCAAACCATTGTTCCCCCTAACAAACACAAAATAGTCCTGCATCAAACCATTGTACCCCCTAACAAACACAAGATAGTCCTGCATTAAGCCATTGTGTATCCCCTAACACACACAAGATAGTCCCGCATCAAGCCATTGTGCCCCCTTACAAACACAAGATAGTCCTGCATCAAGCAGTGTATCCCCTAACACACACAATATAGTCTTGCATCAAGCCATTGTGTATTCCCCTAACACACATAAGATAGTCCTGCATCAAGCCATTGTGCCCCCTAACAAACACAAGATAGTCCTGCATTAAGCCATTGTGTATCCCCTAACACACACAATATAGTCTTGCATCAAGCCATTGTGTATTCCCCTAACACACATAAGATAGTCCTGCATCAAGCCATTGTGTCCCCCTAACACACATAAGATGGTCTTGCATCAAATCATTGTGCCCTCTAACATACACAAGAATTATAGTTTTGCATCAAACCATTGTGCTTTCTAACATACACAAGAATTATAGTCTTGCATCAAGCCATTGTGTCCCCCTAACTCACACAAGATAGTCTTGCATCAAACCATTGTGCCCCCTAACACACACAAGATAGTCTTGTATCAAGCCATTGTGTCCCCCTAACACACACAAGATAGACCTGCATCAAGCCATTGTATCCCCTTAACACATATAAGATAGTCCTGCATCAAGCCATTGTGTCCCCCTAACACACATAAGATAGTCTTGCATCAAACCATTGTGCCCCCTACCATTCACAAGAATTATAGTCTTGCATCAAACCATTGTGCCCCCTAACACACACAAGATAGTCTTGTATCAAGCCATTGTGTCCCCCTAACACACACAAGATAGACCTGCATCAAGCCATTGTATCCCCTTAACACACATAAGATAGTCCTGCATCAAGCCATTGTGTCCCCCTAACACACATAAGATAGTCTTGCATCAAACCATTGTGCCCCCTACCATACACAAGAATTATAGTCTTGCATCAAGCCATTGTGTCCCCCCAACACACACAAGATAGACCTGCATCAAGCCATTGTATCCCCTTAACACAAATAAGATAGTCCTGCATCAAGCCATTGTGTCCCCCTAACACACATAAGATAGTATTGCATCAAACCATTTTGCCCCCTAACATACACAAGAATTATAGTCTTGCATCAAACCATTATGCCCCCTAACATACACAAGAATTATAGTCTTGCATCAAGCCATTGTGTCCCCCTAACACACAAGATAGTCCTGCATCAAGCCATTGTGCCCCTTACAAACACAAGATAGTCCTGCATCAAGCCATTGTGTATCCCCCAACACACACAATATAGTCTTGCATCAAGCCATTGTGTAATCCCCTAACACACATAAGAAAGTCTTGCATCAAGCCATTGTATCCCTCGAACACACATAAGATAGTCTTGCATCAAGCCATTGTGTATTCCCCTAACAAACACAATATAGTCTTACATCAAGCCATTGTGTCCCCTTAACACACATAAGATAGTCTTACATCAAGCCATTGAGTATTCCCCTAACACACATAAGACGTCTTGCATCAAGCCATTGTGTATCCCCTAACACACATAAGATAGTCTTGCATCAAGCCATTGTATCCCTCGAACACACATAAGATAGTCTTGCATCAAGCCATTGTGTATCCCCCTAACAAACACAAGATAGTCTTACATCAAGCCATTGTGTCCCCTTAACACACATAAGATAGTCTTACATCAAGCCATTGAGTATTCCCCCAACACACATAAGATAGTCTTACATCAAGCCATTGTGTCCCCCTAACACACATAAGATAGTCTTACATCAAGCCATTGAGTATTCCCCCAACACACATAAGATAGTCTTGTATCAAGCCATTGTGTATCCCCTAACACACATAAGATAGTCTTGCATCAAGCCATTGTATCCCTCGAACACACATAAGATAGTCTTGCATCAAGCCATTGTGTATCCCCCTAACACACAAAAGATAGTCTTGCATCAAACCATTGTGTATTCCACTAACATACATAAGATAGTCTTGTATCAATCCATTGTGTCCCCCTAACACACATAAGATAGTCTTACATCAAGCCATTGTGTATTCCTCACACACACACAAGATAGTCTTGCATCAAGCCATTGTGTATTCCCCTAACATACATAAGATAGTCTTACATCAAGCCATTGTGTATTCCTCACACACACAAGATAGTCTTGCATCAAGCCATTGTGTATTCCCCTAACACACATAAGATAGTCTTACATCAAGCCATTATGTATTCCTCACACACACAAGATAGTCTTGCATCAAGCCATTGTGTATTCCACTAACATACATAAGATAGTCTTGCATGAAGCCATTGTGTATTCCCCTAACATACATAAGATAGTCTTGCATGAAGCCATTGTGTATTCCCCTAACATACATAAGATAGTCTTGCATGAAGCCATTGTGTTTTCCCCATACAAACACAAGATAGTCTTGCATGAAGCCATTGTGTATTCTCTCACACACACAAGATAGTCTTGTATCAATCCATTGTGTCCCCCTAACACACACAAGATAGTCTTACATCAAGCCATTGTGTCCCCCTAACACACATAAGATAGTCTTACATCAAGCCATTGTGTATTCCACTAACATACATAAGATAGTCTTACATCAAGCCATTGTGTATTCCACTAACATACATAAGATAGTCTTGTATCAATCCATTGTGTATTCCTCACACACACAAAATAGTCTTACATCAAGCCATTGTGTATTCCACTAACATACATAAGATAGTCTTGTATCAATCCATTGTGTCCCCCTAACACACACAAGATAGTCCTACATCAAGCCATTGTGTCCCCCTAACACACATAAGATAGTCTTACATCAAGCCATTGTGTATTCCCTAACACGTCACCACCTCTAGTTGCTAACAATATTATTAGTTCAATATTAAGTCAGATTTGAATTTCTGAAAACTTGTAGATGATTTTGGAAAAAATTAGTTAATTTGAAGCAAGTTGAAAAAAGACCTTTTTGACCTTGAGAAGGCCATTGAAGGTCAAAACTTTTTTGACCCTGAGAATGTCATTGAAGGTGAAATCTCAAATCTAAAGTCAGATTTGAACTTCTGAGAACTTGTAGATAATTTTGAAAAAAATTGGTCAATTTGAAGCAAGTTGAAAAAAGACCTTTTTGACCTTGAGAAGGTCATTGAAGGTCAAAACTTTTTTGACCCTGAGAATGTCATTGAAGGGATTTGAGATTTGACCTTGAGACTGCAAATCTCAAATCATTTTAAGTCAGATTTGAATTTCTGATAACTTGTAGATGATTTTGAAAAAAAATTTGGTCAATTTGAAGCAAGTTGAAAAAAGACCCTTTTTAGCTTTTTTACCCTGAAAAAGTTATTGAAGGTCAAATCTGAAATATAAAGTCAGATTTGAACTTTTGAAATCTTGAAGATGATTTAAAAAAACTGAAGTCAGTCTAACAGTATTTGTTAAGTTATTGGAAGTTTTAAGAATTTGTTACAGACGCCAAATGCCACCTGCCAATCACCAACTCCCGATCACCAACTGCCGCCGCAAAAAATGGAGAGCCTAACAATATGTCACCACTTTTTGGTGGTGACATAGTAATCAAGCAAAAATAAAACTTTGTTTTAGTCCATCTCATTACCTTGCCAAAATGTGACGAAGGCTTATAAAGATAATTGTCGATTTCCACTGGCTGAAAAAGGGTAGATGTAGCAACTGAAACCTTGTGAATCGAGATGTACCAATCTGGTATAGGGTTACAACCATTATCTCATACACTCTGAAGTTGCCACCAAGTGTAAAATACACAAAACTATTTAGTAATATATTGGTTTGTTTATTGAGAGATAATTAATTTTAAAACATAAAATAAGATCCAGTTGATCATTATGTCAATTAAATTGACAACTCAAATATGTCTTTAGGGCAAATAAAGTGGAATTCATTTATGTTATTATTTATAAATCTATTTCTAAAACATGTCATGAAGTTCAGATGTTCAATTGTAACAATGATATTCCACATGCAAGATTTGAGAAATATGTCCCGTAAAAAAGCTCCCTCCAGGGGGCTCTCCTGGATATTTCTCAATTTCCTTTTATACTTTTAAAGATGGATGAAAGTCTATCCCCGTATTCTTTGTTTAAAAGGGGTGTGCTTTTATCCATGGGGCCTCTTTTTAAGTCCATCTTATTACATTTCCCAAAATGCTAAACTCTATTTGGGGTCACATGACCAAAATGATCCTTAATTATTCCTTGTGCGATTCTTCTGCGGCCTGAAAAAAAATTAGGATTTTTTCAATTACAAGTAACTGAATATTGATACATTTAATAACTTTAATTTGCTGTGTTTTCAAAGGGCACCACCATCTTCTCAGTTATCACTCATTTTCTACAACGATGAAGAAACAACTAGTAACCAGGCATTTTTTTGCCTCATGCCAAAACAGCTACTTGCAAGTATTTATTTGCTTCTATCAGATAGTAGTGTATTGAAATCACTTAATTACAACTCTGGACTCATGTTAGTAATAAAAGACCAGCCTTGGAAGTTCAACAAAGGTATGAAGACATCAATTAGGTGAATTTTATGATGTCAAAAGAATGAAAATTGATGAAATCGAAGTTATGTTTTAAGACTTTTTGGACAACCCTCGTGGAGTAGAACAACAGTCCATGAATTATCAACTTGACTACTCGTTATATATATGCCTGGGCAAAATGAGCAAGCAAGAATGTAGCTCACCTTCAATTAGATCTAAGTAAAGTCTGAGGAAATATGTTTGTGCTGGAAGAGGTGTCCCAATCCCTGCAATACTCTGCAATTAAATATAAAAAGTACCATGAGAATTCAATAATATAATGAGATGCAATCAATGACGATTCCTAGTATTTGATCCTGGTTTGTCTCAATGTTATCAGTTACTCAATGATTCAAGTCAATATTGTGCCACAGAAAATGTATTCCAAAAACATTTTTATTCAATGACATTAGGAATGATTGGGGTAAGTTCAGAAAATGATGAATAAGACATCAAAGTGTGTGGTTCAGATGATGCCCGAGTGTAAGATTCTTTATCCCATGGGATGAAAGTACAGGATACATGTATACTAACATCACATGGGCCAATCAGATCGCTAGAAAATTCACAATCATTGAGTATAATATATCACTAAGTCTAAGAATGTACAATAGACCCAAAAACATGCCCATTACAAAGCTACTTTTTATTGTTTACCAAACATCATTCATTTTGACTTAAGTCAATTGGACACTTTGAAGTTTTTAATTTTGAAATATTTTTGGGTATTCTCCAACATAAAAGATGCTCCCCATTAACATATGCCTCACCTTTGACAGATTTGTGCTAGCTTTTTCGTACTCTTCCCTCATGGCATGGGCAACTGCAAGATTGTACTGCATTATGGCTCGGGCCTTAGTGACATCTTTTGGTGCCCAAGGGAACAAAGCGCCACCTTATATAAAATCAATACAGTTTTAGTCACATAAACCAAGACTTGATAAATATTTCAATGAAAAGAGTAGTCTCCATATGAATATTCAAACAAAAGTCAAACTGTAAGCAAGATTAAGTCGAGAATGAACATGTGATCAAACAGTGCTACACGTTTGCTTGGTAACCATCCAGCACATTGATATCTGACAGAGTTTGAAACCATTACTTTAAGATTGTTATTTCTCACTTCAAACATAGACTACCAACCATCAGATTCTGAATGTTCTTGATCCCCATTCTTCTCCTTTTCCGGGTCAATATGTTTTTGTTCTGGAAAAGTTGTGAGGACATCAGTGACAGCCTCAGGGTTCAGATGACTGATGCTGTCTGCTATGCAGTCAAGTTGAGCTAGGGCTTCTGATACATACATGTGGCCTAGGTATCTGAAAATATCAAGTATGTGGCCTAAGAATCTGGATATATTCTAAGCTAAGCTATATTCTAGCTATTCTAAGCTTTCTGAAAATATTTAAACATGTGACCTACATTGTAGGAATCTGGATGAAACATGGACTTTATTTACAGAAATATTCAAAACTATTTTGCTTACCTATGTGCACCTGAAAGTCGAGATTGCTTGAGAAGTGTTTCTGCATGTGACAAAGCCATGAGATAATCCTTTAGACAAAGAGCCACATAGGCACTCTGTGCGAGCATGGAACACCTAATAACACAAAATAAGCAAATAATAGCAAATTATATATTTAAGCAATGATCTCTCAACAGGACGCTAAATCCTAATATTACACATTTTGATCAAATCATATCAATACTTCACATTTGACAGGGTGCTATTAAATATTTATATTTTGCTGCATTTTCTCCTGACATTGATTTAAGAGATTTGAGATAAGAGATTATTGGCTAGAACAAGTGGGCTTGTACCTTATATTTGCTACCTCCCCAGGTTTCATAGGATTACCAGGACTTGCATCAACTAGTACAATATCACCACCTCCTCTGAAATGATTCAACATGGTACATGAGTATACACAATATCACCACCTCCTCTGAAATGATTCAACATGGTACATGAGTATACACAATATCACCACCTCCTCTGAAATGATTCAACATGGTACATGAGTATACACAATATCACCACCTCCTCTGAAATGATTCAACATAGTACATGAGTATACACAATATCACCACCTCCTCTGAAATGATTCAACATGGTACATGAGTATACACAATATCACCACCTCCTCTGAAATGATTCAACAGTTACATGGTACATGAGTATACACAATATCACCACCTCCTCTGAAATGATTCAACATAGTACATGAGTATACACAATATCACCACCTCCTCTGAAATGATTCAACATGGTACATGAGTATACACAATATCACCACCTCCTCTGAAATGATTCAACATAGTACATGAGTATACACAATATCACCACCTCCTCTGAAATGATTCAACATAGTACATGAGTATACACAATATCACCACCTCCTCTGAAATGATTCAACATGGTACATGAGTATACACAATATCACCACCTCCTCTGAAATGATTCAACATGGTACATGAGTATACACAATATCACCACCTCCTCTGAAATGATTCAACATGGTACATGAGTATACACAATATCACCACCTCCTCTGAAATGATTCAATATGGTACATGAGTATACACAATATCACCACCTTCTCTGAAATGATTCAACATGGTACATGAGTATACACAATATCACCACCTCCTCTGAAATGATTTAACATAGTACATGAGTATACACAATATCACCACCTCCTCTGAAATGATTCAACATGGTACATGAGTATACACAATATCACCACCTCCTCTGAAATGATTCAACATGGTACATGAGTATACACAATATCACCACCTCCTCTGAAATGATTCAACATGGTACATGAGTATACACAATATCACCACCTCCTCTGAAATGATTCAATATGGTACATGAGTATACACAATATCACCACCTTCTCTGAAATGATTCAACATGGTACATGAGTATACACAATATCACCACCTCCTCTGAAATGATTCAACATGGTACATGAGTATACACAATATCACCACCTCCTCTGAAATGATTTAACATAGTACATGAGTATACACAATATCACCACCTCCTCTGAAATGATTCAACATGGTACATGAGTATACACAATATCACCACCTCCTCTGAAATGATTCAACATGGTACATGAGTATACACAATATCACCACCTCCTCTGAAATGATTTAACATAGTACATGAGTATACACAATATCACCACCTCCTCTGAAATGATTCAACATGGTACATGAGTATACACAATATCACCACCTCCTCTGAAATGATTTAACATAGTACATGAGTATACACAATATCACCACCTCCTCTGAAATGATTCAACATGGTACATGAGTATACACAATATCACCACCTCCTCTGAAATGATTCAATATGGTACATGAGTATACACAATATCACCACCTTCTCTGAAATGATTCAACATAGTACATGAGTATACACAATATCACCACCTCCTCTGAAATGATTCAACATAGTACATGGGTATACACAATATCACCACCTCCTCTAAAATGATTCAACATAGTACATGAGTTTTCAAATGTTTAACACGTCTACTCTAGGAAAACTTAATTCAAAGAGGCCTGCTCACTTTAATAGTCTTCTAGTTGAAAGCAGCTGGTAAATAGAAAATGCTATTCTTTTTGTATATAAGTAATTTCTAACAAATGAACTGAGAAGTAACAAAGGTATATTGTTAACTTATGCTATTAATCCAAACTCATGCAAGGACACACTGGAAGTGGGAAACTTGCAAATTTGCCACAAAAGTGACATACTGTAAAGATTAACAGTACAAATTATGATAACTTACTTCTGTTCAGAGTCTTCATTAGAGGACACTCTTGTGCTAGAGTCTGTAGAGGAGCTGTCTTCTGGGAGCAAACTAAGAGCATTTCGTAAACAAAGAGCTGCAAACTCCAATGTTGCACTGGGCATCACACCAGACTCCCTAAATATATAAAATGACAGTATAATCAATAATTTTGAATTTCCAAATAAAGGCAGAAAAGTCTCAAGTTTCAAAAACCAAATGAGCCTGGCCATAGGAAAACTGGTCACAAAAATTAAAATTGTGCTATAGAGCAAAAAATGTGCCCAAGATGAGAAGGGAAAATGTGCTTAATTCAAATCTGACTTTTTGTCTATACATGTGTATATGCAAGAAAAAATTGCTAAGACACAAGCCATGGCTCATTTGAAAGGTCTCTTTTTGTTTTTTAAGACAAACAAAAAGTCAAAATAAAGACCCCTTGTCCTGTGGCCTGGCTAAAATGTAGGGGTGGGACGGATAACCGAAATACCGAAAAACCGCGGTTCATAGCCTTCTGATCGGTTTTCGGATCACGGCCCTACTTTCGGATCAGCTTTTCGGATCGTTTTCGGATTAATATTTCATTGGTCAAGTATCAATAAAACAGTTAAAAACACTGTTTTACAGCAACATTTTTGATATTCCAAGTCCCTACCTTGTCTGTCTTGTCTGTTGCTAGCTCACTCGTTTACTAGATTCGTTTCGTATCCGCGTATTCGTATCCCTCGGTAATCAATCATGTGGTCCCTGGTACTATATTATTTTAGTCGTGTATTCTAAATAATATGTATTGTTCATGAAATACTATAACATAAAATTCCATCTATAAAATATTGTTATAACGTGGAATAATTGATACAAAGATTCGATGGAAAAGATTCGATATAGGGTATTATTTTGTGCGCACCCAGAATACATTCAAATATGGCATCTGGATCTCAAATTCCCGTTTTCCCAAAAGAAATGAAGATTATTGCAGCCCCCACAAAGCTAAAATCAGCCGTTTGGATAAAAGAAAGTGACAGTCAGCAGTGAAGTCAGAGACAAAGCAGCTAATCATGTCAATCAATACAAATCCTTAAAATGAATGAACCGAACCGAAAAAACCGAACCGACGGCTGATGATCCGAAAAACCGAACCGAACCGAACCGTCCCATCATTGCTAAAATGACATTTCCCATATGAACTCCAACTGTTTTGTCTTTCTACCTTTTATAAAGATGCTGTGTAAATAAATATTTGAAATTGTGAAGAGAGTTGTGAATTAAAGCAAGAACCTTGTAAGATGTGAAAATAGATAAAATATTGTGAGAACACTAGTTCAAATTTACATGTTTTCTGATCTGATACATGAAAGCTTGAATATTCATGATTTACTCTTTTAAGTTTTTTTGAATGTTTTTGAATGTTTTCTAGTAACGGACCCTGACTAACCCAGAAAGTTTGTCTTTGTTATGTAAACCTGTCCCGAGAATAAGTTTACGATGAACTCCACTCCCAACTGAACCATTGATGACTTTCTGACGCTCCTCTAGTCTGCGGTCATCATCATTGCTCTGAAACATACAAGCACAAATCTAAAATCAAAATCAGATTTTTCTGTTATCCATATCCATTTGGGTCAAAAGAAAGAACTAAAATCAGAGATACAGGGAATAATAAAATTATAATCCCCATCCTCCATTTTCCATCAATATAAATGTAACCATTTTAGATATATGAATTTAATCATATGAGAATGATATCTTATCAAATGTTAAAGATGCTAAACATTTAAATGCAAAAATCTATAAATGCATCATTCTCATCACTAAGTTACACATGTGTAGATACATGGTACTGCTTAAAACAAGGATACTCAATGGAAAAGATACTTAAAGCAGATATGAAATGGTATTTTTAACCTAAAGGAATCGATATAATTTTTTGATAAATGTATTTGGACATGTTTTCTCATCAGTAGTGCGAAAACTATTTCACTCTAACGATCGTTATAGCTGCTTAATAAGCAATATTCGAATTGGTTGTGACGTTGTTGGCCCCCACGTGATCTCTCACTGGTCCCCACGTGGCCCATAACGTCATAATGCCAAAATGTTTTGGTTTACACTACAATCCTATGGTTGCCGTGACGTTGTGATTACTAATGGCCTAGTCACATAGCCCGGCCGATGAGGTTACGATGAGCCAGTGATGCAATTTTCACCGAACTCGGCCAAACACCGGCCGGACATCCGTGGCGTTTGTTGCTTAAAACCGCATCGGTGGTAGCTCGGTGAAATTTTAACTTCGGAGTTAAATTTCACCGGGCTCTCACCGAGCTCCCTCATCATGTCATCGCAGCCCCATCGTAACCACATCGGAAAACACGTCGGCCGGTGCTAGGCTGAGTATCGGCCGGTGTCCCGTGCATCTGAGACAACCAGAGGACGAGGTTTTTTAACGGACAGCGGCCGAGCTCCAACAGAGCTCCGGCCGATGTGGGACAGAGCATCGGCCGGTCACTGTTCAAAGCCCGTTAACAACCCGGCCGGCAATCGCACGGTGTCCTGTTACCTGCTCGGGTACCGGCCGTATTCCTTCCGATGTCCGGCCGACCTCCGGCCGGTAGTTGCTGCCACATCGGCAGAAAAAAACTACCATTTTGAGACAGACTCCGTACGGTCACCGGCCGGTGTTCGGTCGGTCGCCTGAAGATGTTCCGACGGAGTCCGTTCACGTCACCAAGCTCTGCTTCCGATGAGGAGAGCTCGGTGGCACCAAAAAAATCCACCGAGCTCTACCGATGCCGGACATCGGCCGGGCTATGTGACTAAGCCATAAGGTACCAATAAACCAAAGCTATATTTTGTATATGACGTTACTTATCACGTGGGGGCCAATTTGATTGATCAGTTAATTTTATTTCGTTATTTATGACCGTTAGCAGTTATCTAATATTTATTTTATAATGGCTATCGCAAGAACTCTACATTGGGCTTACAATGGAGAAAACCGCATTTTTGTAGCTGCAAGTTGAGAAAAGCTATTTCAGTTGTCCTTTAAAGACAGTTGGCTTAAAATGTGAATATTTAATGATCTATGTGCAGTATGGCAAGTGATTTTAGACAGCCATACTGCACATGGACCTTTGTTTTTTAAATAACAATGGTAAAATCTTGAAAGTGGCATGACATGACTGTTCCGTTCGTAATTCTGACGCATTGCAACACGTTTTTAAAATTCTCGAAAATTTTAGGATATATTGCCAAAATACGTGTGTTTTAGTGAGTATAAATACTTTTAGTTCGTTAATGAAGATACATGAATGTATAGAGTCACTGAAAATTGACACTTTTAATGAACACAACGCTGAAGTAGTCGAGAAAACTGGGATAACACTGTACTTCCGGTCATAAAATCGACGAAAATGGGGCCGGTGAAAAATGGTGTCGTCAAAACCGTCTCAAGGAGCAACGCAAAGACTGCAAATAAGACGAATAATGGCTATATATCTAAACCAACTATGGATAAAGCTACCAAGGTCCCGTCGACTGCTATGGAAGAGGCTCTCCGAGGCTGCTCCCACCGAGGGGGAACTCCCCCTCGGCCGGTCCAGACTCGGGCAGCCCCCATCGCATCGAGGGCCGAGGTGGGAAGTTCTATTTCCAGGGAAAACAACACATCGGATGTTATAGTCATGCAGCATGTTAGTCAGACCCAGGGTGAGCAGCCAGCAGTACAAAGGGATGCTTTGGCACATATCATGGACATGTTTAGCTCAATCCAGCAAGGTCAACAGACAATAAAATCGTCTATACAAAATGTCTATGACGAAATAGCGGCTCAAGAAGTCAGACTCATGCAGCGTATTGAGGAAAAACTTTCTGTAACGACCGATGATATCAAAATACAGGTTGAAACGGTACGTAGTGATCTTCAGTCACAGATCAATAAACTTGAATCAGCCAATAATGCATCAAATAGTGCCATAGACATGTGTGATATTGTTATAAAAAACATTGAGGAATCTGAAAATGAAAATTGTGAACAAAAAATCAATGACCTCATTAGAGATGCGTTAGATATTCCAGACATGAAAGTAAACTCAGCAACTAGATGCCCAAAACGCCTGGGTACTACTTATCCTGGTATTATTATAGCTAGGGTGAACAAGGAAACAAGGACTGCTATAATGAAATCAAAGAAAAAACTGAAAAGCAGCACCACTCGCAGTAAAGTATACATTGAGGATTTTATGACGCCTGAAAACAAGAAAGTAAATGACAATTTACGTGCTGTACTCCGGGCTATGGGCCAAAATGACAATTTTAACCTTGTAAATGGCCGTTTTTTACCCAAAAAGAAATAGGGAAACAGCCGGCATTGTCTTAGCATTGCAACATGGAATGTTAATGGCTTTTCACTAAAAAACAATGAAAATTCAGCATTTAGAAAAGCCATTATAGCTAATCTCGACTGTGATATATTGTGCCTGAATGAAACTTTTTTGAGAGATACACAGGAGCTGAACATCCCTGGTTATAAATGGATTGGCCAGAACCGTACAGATCTTCATCAGAGAGCACGACGTGGCGCAGGGGGTGTAGGAATTCTTATAAAATCGGATATCCTGAAAGACTTTAATTACGAAGTTCTTGACCGCTCTACTCCTGGTATTCTATGGTTGAAGTTACAAAATGGTAGCTACAGCATTTGTTTATGTGCATGTTATTTACCACCCTTATCCAGCTCTACAAGGAATAATGATCCTGAGGCATTTTTCTCAACCTTACTTCAGGGAGTCTATGAATACCAAAATGATGGTGTATTGTGCATATTAGGTGACTTAAATGCCAGATTGGGCCACAACTCTGACTTTGTTGAGGGAGTCGATGATGTTCCAATACGAGTACCACTAGATACTACATCAAATGCTTTTGGTGACCATTTATTAAACTTTTTGGTTGATAGCAGTTTCTGTACACTTAATGGGAGACTAGGTTCAGATGACTTTACATGTATATCACATAAGGGTAAATCTGTTGTAGACTATATATGCACAAGCCATGAGCATTTAAATTCTTTTAGTGATTTCAAGGTTTTAAAAATGAGTAGGGTCATTGATGAGTTCCATTTGAATGCTCCACGGGTATTACCTGATCACTCAATTGTGTACTGTACATTAGACATGCCAAATTTAAATTCAGATAAAAATGAGTCCGACTCTAGCTTCATGAGTGATGATGATAAAAGTAGAAAATATAAGATAAATAATGTACCCTTAGATTTTATGGCAAGTGAAGAGGTTTTATCTAAAGTGAATGATACTATTCAACGTTTAATGCTCATAAATGAAAATGATAAACGTATAAATAGTCTGTACAGTGAATTTGCAATTATTCTAGATCATGAAATGAGTAAAACCTTTGAACAAATCAAAACAAAACCAAAGGGAAATAATCATAAATTTTTCAAAAAACCGTATTGGAATGAGGAGCTCCAAAAACAATGGAATATGAAAAAAGAATCTGAATCTCTGTGGTTGAACTGTAAAGAGTCAGCTAAGAAAAGAAACCTTAAGGAATTATACTGTATAGAGCGCCGTCACTTTGATAAATTACACAGAAAATATAAACGCAATTATCAACAAAAAGAACAATTGAATTTACTTGAACTGAGTAATAAAGCTAATTCGCAGGACTTTTGGAAATACATTGGCAAACTTGGGATTGCACAGGAGCGAAAACAGGAACTGCCTTGGGAAGTTACAGACCCAGAGGGTAATAACTCCATCAGAGGACATCAAAATGTACTTAATGCTTGGGCCAAAACATATGAACAACTTTACTCAACAGTAATCAACAATGAGGAATTTGATGAAGACCACTATAGCAACATAAAAAGAGCAGTCACTCAGATCGACCAGCAAGATAGTGATGAGAACAATCCCATGAACAATGAAATCACCATCGAAGAAGTTGCAACTGCTGTTGGGAGAGCCAAGCTAAGAAAAGCTGCTGGAGTGGACAATATACCTGCCGAGGTGTTAAAGAACCCAACCTGTATCGCTATGTTACACAATATTATTTCTGAGTGTTTTAACACAGGAATTGTGCCTAAACAGTGGATGCAATGTGTTATAAGTCCAATATACAAAGATGGGATCAAAACTAACCCTCTAAATTATCGAGCTATTTCCTTGATATCTGTCCCCTGTAAAATTTATTGTGATATACTGAACATGAGGTTGACAACTTTTCTTGAGGAAAATAAGTTGTTATCTGATGAACAAAATGGTTTCAGGAAAAAACGTAGTTGTTTGGATCAGGTGCATAGTTTGTATTCCATTATAAACAATAGAAAACTGTCTAAACTAGACACATTTGTGTGCTATATTGATTATATTAAAGCCTTCGGAAGTCTTAACAGGGACTGCCTATGGTTTAAAATGAACAAAATTGGCATTAAAGGTAAAATGTTTAAGGCTGTAAAGTCGCTATATCAGGATGTTACATGTAGTGTGAGGATAAATGGAATTTTAACCCCTTGGTTCAGTGCTAAGTCTGGTACGAAGGAAGGATGTCTATTATCGCCCACGATTTTTTCGATCTATGTAGACTCTATAGCTGAAGAAATAAAAAGTTTAAATTGTGGGGTCACAATTAACGACGAAAAAGTGTGTATACTCATGTATGCCGACGACATTGCTTTGATAGCTGAGACCCCTCAAGATCTTCAGCGCATGCTTAATGTTGTAAACCAGTGGTGTAGGAAATGGAGACTCAGCATAGGTCAGAAAAAAACTAAAATCGTTCACTACAGGCCAACCTCTTAACCAAGATCTACATATCAATTTAAGTGTGGAATAAAATCAATAGAATATACTGAAAAATATAAATACTTGGGAGTATGGCTTGAAGAGCATGTCAACCCTCAAATAACAGCAAAGGAAATTGCTAAGTCTGCAAGTCGTGCTTTATGTGTAATAATGTCAAAATTCCAACAAACTGGAGGCATGGATATAACTGTTTACAGCAAATTATATGACACTTTAGTGCAACCTGTGATCAACTATGGCTGTTCATTGATAGGTAATAATGAGCACAAGTGTATAAATGCAGTCCAGAATAAGGCATCAAAATTCTTTCTTGGTGTCGGTGTCAAAACAAACAACGAAGCAGCTCGAGCTGACCTTGGATGGGACTTACCACTTCACAAACAACAGATAGAGAGTGCACGTCTTTTTATACGCCTGCAAAATTTGGACAAAGATAGGTTAAACTCAAAAATACATCATTGGTCCTTAAGACGTAAAAATAGTTGGGACTACAGAGTCTACAGGTTCTTAGAGGCATCAGGCCAAGGGAATATAACTCAAATGGAAAACTTAAATGCTAAAGCTATTTTAGAAGAGGTCAAGCTTTATCAACAATCTCAAGATCCCTTTCTAAAAAACATTTGGAATGACAAAAACAATGAAGTGAACGGTAATAAATTAAGAACTTTCAGGCAATTTAAGTATGGAGTAGTAGCAGAAAGTTATGTAACTTGTTTCATCCCAAGACACCACCGAAGTGCATTGGCTAAACTGAGAACTGGGACGCTACAACTCCGTATAGAAACTGGTAGATTTGATGGTACTCCTCTGGACCAGAGAACTTGTAGACTCTGTGATTTGGATGAAGTTGAAAATGAAATTCATTTTCTGATAAAATGTCCACACTATAAGCTCCTAAGGGATACCTTCTATAGAGAGATTGTGCAAGAGCAATTGCCATATATAGACTTGAATAATGCAAATTCACTTTTGACATTTATTAGCCTAATGCTTGCCAAGAAGATTCAAAAACCTCTAGCAGCTCTTATTCATAATATGTACTCAAAAAGGCAATTTGACTATGGCAGATTATAGGAGTTACATTTGTGAAGTCCAGACTTGGTTAAAACTGATACTTTTTAGAATTAAAGATAAAACTGGGCAGCAGGTGTGTGTCCCCAATCTGTTATAGTCATTTTCCAGCACTTGACTACAAAATTTATTGTATCAATACAGTTTATTTATGCATGCATATTCATTTATTGTGATAATGGCCATTAATAGAAAATATTTGTCAAAGCATTTAAAGATGGCAGCATTGAATACTACTCTATCTAAAAGTGCTCTATTAAGTCAACTTACTCTAGTCAATATTCAATTACAATTAGATATACATTTAATGGTGTCTCCTAAGCCGATGCCGGCTGGTGGGTTTTTTAAAAAAAGTATTTATTATATGATATTGAATGTAGTTTTTAAACCTGTGACACAGAAATAAAATATTTTAAACTTAAAAACTAATATAAGACAACTGAACTTGAAACAACTTTTGTTGCAATTGTTGAAAATGATGAAAATCATTTGTAGAACCTTTTCGCGAAAATTTAGCTGATTCAATGGCTAACTTTAACAATATAGGGGTGAATGGGAAAATGAGTGAGCTTTGGTATCACGATTAAAATACAATATTTTGGTACCTGTTTGTGCACCATGACACAGCACTCTGCCAGTCGCAGCCAGAGTCGTGGGTTCACCTGGAACACCTGGATCACCTCTATAAGACAGTCAAATGCTGCAAGGGGGCGACCACAATGCAATAACTGAATGCCCATGTTGTATAACAGCTCATAATGACGACTCAGTGTCAAGCATTGTACAGGACGTCCTGACAGAGATTTACCTGCAATGACAACAATAGCTTAAAAAATGTTTATTCTACATGTTGAATACTTTATTTCAAAACTGAGTGCGTAGTTCCAATGAGCGCAGATGCAACTTTTATAACTAGACAACAGCAACGCCAAAGCGTAGCAAATCCATTGAACAGCCATGGCTGGCATTTTTACAAACAAAATATATAGCAAAATTGATAGAATAACATTATAATCAGGCTTAGATTTTCATATCAAGAGGAATTCCTCGAAAATTGAAATAAATTCTTCAACATTTTGTCCAAAGTGCAGGCAAAAATAAGACTAATGTCAGTATACTTATATAAAGAGTATATCAAGAAGCTTATATCTAGATCATGACAAAACTTAAGATTGAAAGAGCAAATCTTCAAAACAAGATATCAATATAATAAAACTCACCAAATTCTTTTTTGTTCACTTCTCTAGTCACAGTCTCATTTTCCTGTATAGCTTTCTTGAAGTAAAATGCTCCTAAATTGTGTTTCTTCATGTTGAAATGTATCAAACCCATAGCATTGTAGTACATGACTGGAACACTTTCTCCAGTTTCAAGAACATTTTTTGAAGGTCCACAGGAGTTGAGAACTTTTATTGCTTTACGATAGTTTCCTCGAATACATTCAAAGTTAGCTTTGATGTAGATCACTGGAACTGTCTAAAAGCAACAATTGTTTGAAATAGATTATCATTCAAAAACTAAAACATCTGATTAGGTGATATGTGAAGAATAAACTCTATATTCTTTGGAATAAATTTCATACTTACCACACCAGCTGCATTCATGAGGTATTTCACTTCTCTTTTACATGATTTCATGGACTTCAACATGATGTAACATCTTGCCTTGTACTGAAATCAAATTAATTTAAATCTAAATTATTTGCTTCACAGTTTTTTTGGTTATGATTCTTTTTGTCTATATAAACAGGCATGTACTCCTTGATTTTGTTGTAGTTTACTTCTTATCGAGAAAATTGCATATCTTAGAAAAACTAGAAACCAATCCTTCCAAATTGTTTGTCAAAGATTGTCACTCTGCACAATATTTCTATTTTAAAGAATTGCATCAAAATCACAATTACTTTATTTTCCACCTACCTGACTTAGGCGCAGTTTCAACTGTTCAATCTGATTTTGTTTATAGGTGGAGTCACTGTCACCCTTTTCACCTTTACCATTTCCAACTAAATTTTTCTCGGCAAAAGTCAATACGCCCATAGCTTTATCAGGTTGCCTTGTACATAAGTGAAGCTCAACCAGTAAGAACACTATCCTTCTCCCAATATATTCATCTAAAATTATGAGATATTAAATTGAAAGAACTATAGTTTCACCATGGCCTACTTTAAAGCTCATGCTTTCAACACCTCCTTAACAAACCCCATTACCCAGCCATCCTTATCCTTTTCTGAATCCTGCTGCTCTACCTCATTCTCTCAACCAAACCCAGAAGAAAATAAAAATGTATTGGTATAAAAAGGGCTTGAGCTAAGGGCGTCCACTGGTCATTGCCAGGTAAGGTTTGAAACGAACCAATTGTTTTTTTTCATTGAACAGGAAAATAACATGGCAACTGGTCCAAAATGCCAATTTGACCAGCTGCTCTGAGAAACATAGCTCAACCCCTGAGTATATAAAGTGCACTTAGGTTGTTGTTTTGCAATGCATATTTTAAAATATTGATATATCTCAACATTCATTTTCAACCTAATCTTGCCAGGGTGATCAAAAAGTTACAATGTCAAACTTCTCTGGTGAGAAAGAGACTGTCCAATATTATTTCTGATGCTGAGCTAGAGCCTTCAATCAAACATGAGGTACAAAGGGCATTCCGTTTTAGTGGCATATATTGGAACTTACTTTTGACAGTATGAAAGAGACTGTCCAATATTATTTCTGATGCTGAGCTAGAGCCTTCAATCAAACATGAGGTACAAAGGGCATTCCGTTTTAGTGGCATATATTGGAACTTACTTTTGACAGTATATAATTTTTCTATCTTAACAATTTACCCTATACATGTATATTAGAAGATTGGACAGATTATTCAGATATTCTCCTCTAAAGTTCAAAGTTGTCGGCTCTTTTTTTTGCATAGCGTGGCAACATTTGCACAGTGTAAGAATGTGATTTTGAGTGACTGATGGAAAGAAAGTTGGGTAATAATACATGGAGCAAGAGTAAGAAGTGATAAAGGGCAATAAATGAACTATGTAGAAATTTATGTTTAAATAAAATAAATATTATAGAAAAATACATATAAATATGTTGTAGAACATACCTAGAGGTTCCACAAACTGGAACAATTTTTCAGCAATATTGAGAGCTGTCTTATACTGGCGTAAGTAGAATAGCATTACAGCCTGGTTATAGTATATGATGCACTGGTCAGCATCATCAATGTTTGATACATTGTCAATGTCTATATGAGCCTAGAATAAAAATGGAAGATTAGACAGGCATCAAAAAAATTATAAATAATGCAAAAACATGAAATTTATTACATTCTAGATAGAAAATATGGGTAAATAAGGCATCAACTAGTTTTAATTTGAAATATATTTAATCCATGTTTAAGCTTGTATGTGACTAGTATAAAAGTGTTTTTCACTCCTTTTCAAAGCCTTAGTACAGCATGTTGCTGTGTACATATAATACTGATTACTTTTACATTTGGAGTGGATACTCATCTATCATTCCATGTAAAGAAAACAGAAATTGGATTATTGATGGAGTGGGACCCCTTACTTTAAGCAATTTTCAGAAATGTTTCATCCAGTGTAATAATTAATGAGGGAGCAGTTAATTCAGTTACAATAACCTTGCTGTTTTTGGTTTATTTCTTTAAAGCGTTATACGCTATCATTATCATTATGAGGAATCTACTAATAAGAGTATGGGGGTTTCTCAAAAGCTATCATTGTTAGGGAAATAACGTAAAATTACATCATATTACATAGTTTTACATCATCAATATGCTTTGGACAGTATGGAGACATTCATTGTGACATTTGTTTTGGGGAATTCCCAAGGTGTTCAAAAAATCAGTTTTTGGAGTTAAGCTAAAGCACAATCCTGGATGAAGCTGGTGCTTAGTCATCAATATTTTGAATGCTGCTTCCTCCACACATTGTCACTCTGAGAGAATTGCAACAAGTGATTAGAATTGTGAGGTTTACTCTTTTCTTGTACAGTAAGTTCTTCCTTCGGCAATTGATTCCTGCAGTTGCTCTCAGGCTGGATTTACAGTTCTGGGAGAATACTCATCAGTTTCAGATAACAATTCTTCTTTCATCATGTAAAATTATATTGAACACTGAACCTTCTCTTAGACATTTCCAACATGGAAAAAAAATATTTTAACGAAATTCCCAATTTTATGATTTTGACGGGCTTTTTTAAAAAACACTACACTGTCAATAAAATACAGGTTTTGCTTGAACAATTTAACTTTTAACGTCATTTCAAAGATTGTCTAGTTATTGAATTTTTGGCCGCCTAAAGTCTTTCCAGATGTATTTGATGCCATATGAATTATGGCTGATTATTGTTATTCATTTTTGTCATATTCAATAGGCCTAATATTATTACAGTGCATTAGGCCAATAAAAAACTTGTCACTCTAGGTCACGTTTCCTCTGAAAACGCACCTTTTTCTCCACTGGGTTTTTCCGCCTCCGTCACTCAGCATGCAAGCCCGTGGCACGTAAATTGTACCATGCTTGTAAAATGTCAGGTCTCCCTGACAATTTCATGATAACATTTGACACAGCTCTATTAAAGGGAATGCGAAGTTTCATGTTCTAATTTACACGCTGGCTACTTATAACCATCATCTATCACTTCAGCTCACTCATGGGACATATCGTGTTTGAACTAACATATAATTCAAGTTCAAAGTACCCATATCTGGATCGCTGCGGATGCCGCAATTGTTATGTATCAATGACGTCATTGATGCCTTAAAATTGATGCCTGGAAAATATCGCTATATAATCACGTCATACTCGGATCGCAGAAATAGAACATATTTCACTGATATTTTATAACTATTTCTGTCCGCTTAACATTGTTGCCGCATGTTCATGTCCATATCATATCATATATTTTGAAAAGTTGTTTCAATATATTCTTCATAGAAATTGAATTGTTGCAATGTATTTTTTCAAATGTTTGTATCTATGAGATATCGACTGCGTGATTCGGAAGTCATCGCATTATATTCCACTTGAAAAATATACACTAGAATTATTTTATATAATGATAACATTGGGTCAAAAAAGATAAATCTGTTCAAATCCTGTAAATGCTTTCTTGTATATTTAACCAATAAATGAGGTAAATGCATTAAAATATACAAAATGGCATTTACACATAATTATATAAATGCATTACTGTGCATCAATGGGGATTTATTTTAACTAAGATTAATGTGGCAAATGTGTTGGCGTATTGTGGTGAAAATAAGTAAGTTATATCATCGGCTGAACGCATCCAACAAATAGTTGCATTTACCATATTTATGTAAATACACGACATACCATTTAAAATATCAAAATCTATGCTAATGTTCATTAATGCGCTGATGAGCATTTACGGCATATCATTATTAACCTTAAGGTTTACGTCGGATAATAGGCATACTGCCGCAATTGCTTTCTTACCTAATCATAAGTGATAGATTTCTTTAATCTGTAGTATTCTATTCAAATATGAATAGGTGCATATTGGAGAATGAAAGAAATAAAACAAAAAGTAGTAATCCAATGAAACAGTAACTCCCTAAAGTGTTAAGCCATTTAAATTCTGATGAAAAACGCAAACAAAAAAACGAAAAATCGATGTCGTCTTAATGATACGTAAGTAAATGTCAGTCTCCTAAATACTAAGATTGGCAATAGCTTTACAAGGACATGCCACTGTCATATTTTCAAAAAATAATACGTAATGTTTAATTTTTCTCAGTTGTTGAACGACCAATTTCAATCGATATGTATATGTACATGACAAGAGAAGGCTCATAACATTCAGTGATGCGGGAGACGATGGGGTCGATTGTAGTATGCAATTGCCGTATTGATAGTACGCCAATAGTTTAATATTTATTTTATTATATATTTATTTTTTGCTAAAAACAATTCCTGATTTCGAGCTCGAATTTAATTATATAACATCCGTGGTAAGTACAGTTCTACAGTATTTTCGAAATAATGATTTTCAATTTAATGGCATACAACCTTTTGTTTTTCTATATCGGAAAATAAGTGGAACTTTAAAAGCTTCAGTCACATTTGTTCAATGCGACCACACGTCGATCATATTTCCCTGAAATCAGTAAATTTCTGCGGCAAACATAGGAAAACTACAGTCGACTAAAGGTCACTGCACCTTGCTGTCTACGTACACGACATATCCAGTTTTTATCAGGCGTAGAGTCGGAGTTATAACATTAAGCAGCAGCCAAACCGTAGGTCTCACGACGGCCGTACGTTGGGTTCACGGTCGACTTGCGGCTGCGCTTGGATTTCATAGGTTACAATTGACCTTTCCGAACCAAAGAACCCCTTGTGGATGCCTTCAAGAAAAACTATGCACGTCGTAGGGCCGCCCTACGCTGATCGTGCGTCATCATTTATCAGCTGTACGGGAATCGTAGTTTTTCCTCATAATCAAGATACGCCGTACGGCTATCTTAGCAAATTTGACTGCTAAATTATCTGACTGCAGAAATACTTATATGCAACCGTAGAAATCCTGCTTACCACAGATTTGATAGACCGTACGGTCCCCGTAAAAATGTTACGTGAGGCTAAGAATCAATGATAGTAATTGAATACGGTTTTAAAATTTAATTTTAAAATTTTAATTTCTTTGAATACCTGTGTTAAAGATAAACATAAATGCAATGAATACGTACTTTTGTAATGAGACTAGCAAATTAAACCATTGCATTCTTGGAAATTCAAGATGGGTTGGTTGAATTAATTTTATTAGGTTTTATTCAAATAGTTTGCATTCGCCTGATAGAATTAGCATTCTCTGTTCGCATTTAGCGCTAGACCTAATAAAAACGAATCCCAGATTGTTTCAAGTGTAAATAAAGAATAAATCTAACCCGCATTCCATGTCTAGATAGGTAAAAAGCAATTCCGAAAATGCCGGCGTTAATATTCTATTGAAATCGTTCTTTATTATGGGTGGTATATACGTATTCTTTTAGTTCCTTTGAAACGATTTCTTTGGTTTTGGAATGGCAACAACTCGGCATTCATTTTTTGATTCAAAAATGGCGCCACAAAACTTTTGGAATGCCAAGGCATCAATCTGGCATCAATGACGTCATAACAATGTCGTAAAGAACCACTTTACGGTTGAAATGGCAGCTCCGTGGTCCAGTTCATATGCAAAACCCGGGGCTCAATAACAATTAAAAGGATAATGATAGAACAATAAAACTAAGTTGGATTGAAAGATATATCTTTATTCTAACTTATTATCAAGTTTAAGGGACAAAACTTCGCATTCCCTTTAACATCTCTGAAGGATCTAATGCCAAGAATACTTGAAATTGGAGATTCTTAATGTTTTACTTCATTTTGGACAGTATTGAACAGTCTGATCGGGTTGAACTCATGTCCATGGAGAAGAAGATTGACCTCCTCTATCTGGGCTCAATCTAGGGAACACTTCACAAAACAAGCAACAAGTTTTTATTGGCCTAATGCACTGTAATAATATTGAATATGACTCAAGTGAATAACATTAATCAGATACAATTATTAATATGGCAACAGTCATATCTGGAAAGACTTTAGGCGGCCGAAAATTCAATAGCCAGACAATATTTTAAATGACGTTAAAAGTTCAATTGTTCAAGCAAAAACCTGTATTTTATTGACAGTGTAGTGTTTTTGAAAAAAGTCTGCCAAAATCATAAAATTGGGAATTTCGTTAAAATATTTTTTTTGCAAATATAGAGTAAAAAAACGACTGCATCATACAACCTGTCCGGGGTACTAATCATAATCCATCAATATAAATGAAAGTGCAATCTGAACAATAACCTGGCTTTTGGCATTTGATCCTGAATTTGTCAATAAGGTACTTGTGTCCATTAAACAACATATGTGGATCTCTCTGAAGAACTGGTACCACTGTCACTATGTGACAACGAGAACAGTGCTGAACAAAAATCAGACATCATCAGAGTAATGATTAAACACGCTAGGGTCATCCTCAGAACTTCCCTCCACAAAAAACACAAATGAAGGAACACCTGTTAACAACACCAAGGGATGTAAAGCTTGAAAAATTTGCTGGGGAAAGATAGTACACGGGATGCAATACAATCCCAACAGCTGGGATCAATTCCCACAGATTATCAGTTTTAGGGATCTCATTAAATCCATAGAAGTAGTGAATGATTGTTCTGAACAGGCCATCAATGAAGAAAACTGAATTTGCAAATTACAGTAAGGGTGTGGACCCTCAGCTCCAGAATCCTGTACAGATGGCAGTGAACCATCACCGCCAGCTGCTGGACCTGACTGAACAACAAATGGATGATATAGACAATTACTAATATAGCTTTATATGATCCGCATGACTAGTGTAGAAAGAAAAGCTAAATAAACAAAAGTGATTTTTGGGACAACCAAGAGAATTCCTTACAATGGCCAAATTCTTTCACTTTCATTATTAGAGCAGAGCAATCTCACATTTGATTAGAAAGTGGACATGTATTTATTTCATTCAATTGATGAAAAGGAAACTAATTGACGATATTCTTCATTTTTATTGTTTTCTCAGCCCTAATGATAGTGAAACTAGCTGTATACCAATGGGACATGATGGGACATCAAGGTAGTTATTGAGTAAAATATTTTCATGGGACATGAAGGGACAAGTTCGCACATTGCCATAGGACATCTTTGGGACATTGTCCAATGTTGTCCTTTTTGTCCCAAGTTGTCCCCGGAACATTGTCCCAAGTTGTTCGATTTTGTCCCCGTATGTCCCAAGAAAAGAAAGAACATGTTGATTCTTTCCTTGGGACGAATGAGGGGCATTTCATCACATGATGATCAGATGACCATTTTCTGACAAAATGGCGCTATATTCCAGACATCATCAGACAAAATGGGACAACGTGGGACATTGTCCATGTCCCAAAACAGACAAAGGGACAAAGTCGGACATTGTCCCATTGGTGTACGGCTATCTTTATATGCTTCCTTTATCATCATATACTGAGAATTTTCTCAAATCTGACAAAAAACAGTAGAACATTTGTTTAACTTTAAACAGAAAGCCCATTAAACAGAAAGCCCACTAAAGCGTATTGCTAGACTATATAAAAAGCATTCGTCACCTGTTGACAAACAGCCGCCATATTTTTCCGAAATTCATCTGTCTTCTTAAAGCCATTTCTGTAATATTCCACAATGACTTTATTGTGGACAACTCTTGGATCTGATGATCGTGTACTCATCAATTTATTTATTGTGTTCAAACATGCGTCATATTGACCTTTATCAAACTCGGCATGTGAAATGCTGGCATTCTCTCTTTCTTGTTCAGTTATTGCTGGGATAGATGGCACAACTATGTCTTCTGCGTTAGCTGAGTCGTCATGGCCTTCTGCCATATTTCACAAAAGGTTTTATAATGCTGTAAACAAAACCAAGTGGGCGATAATATGTTATTTCAAAATTTTCTGTTTTTAAAATTAAATATTTACGATAAATACTGAACACTTTCATCAAAATTCCCCCAAAATTGATGTTTCGGGTACAAAGTAACTGAAAACAAAAGTAAGACTGTTCATAACACGTTGATACTCACCGTATTAAGCATTATTTGTCATTATCAAACTTACCTGGAAAATAATTGCAGTGGATTCGCGAACGTCAAATATGTAAAATTTATCTTTTTAGCAGGTTGTGGCACTAATTTTTGAAAATTACGCTTTTATTCAAATTTAATACTCAGTTTAAATTGAAACGCCGATCATTGAGTTGTTGGTTTTTACCCGCATTATGTTTACATGGTATATGAACTATATATACTAATTTCGTTTCAGATTCTGTGATTGAAAATCTAGTGACTACAAGCATGGCTTCCGGTTAATTAGAAAACAAATAGAAAGTTCGTTTTATAGTGATTATCTTCAAGATTTAGTCATTTAATGCGGATAATATCCCCCCTGAGGTAAGAACCCTTTTCAAATATTAAAAGAGAATGCGATTTTCGATTACCCTGTATGAACGAAAATCAGACCAAATACTTTAAAAACGAAGCCATGAAACTTCAATGGTGTGTATAGTAGGTTTAAGTGTATGCAATGTGGCCATTTGAGGTATGTATGTAAAGCTGAGGCCAATTACTTTCTAAATGTGCCATTTTTAGAAAAAAATCGCAAGAATATAGTCCCGTAAACTTGAACTACTTTATTCGTTAATTTTCATCGGTGAAGCAGGGATTTTACCTAAAAATGAGTCCCTGTGTTGGCGTAGTGATATTTAAAAATCAAGACGCAAACCCTATGTTAAATATATGGTCAAGATGAAGGTCATGTATAGGGGAACGCAGAAATATAGTTCTTGTATGGGCTAATTCGTTCGAAAATGGCGATATGTATCCCAGAACCTGAATTTTGTGATTTTTCAATATTTTTCAATGATTTACCGTAGTGACACCCAAATGGAAATATAAACACTTCCGGTAAATATTCGGTTCAAGTGCGAGTTTGGACCAACTTTTGCAAGTTTGACCAGGAAATCACCTTTCATTTGGTATGTTAGTAACATTTTTGATCGTATTGGGTATGTAAGAATCATATACACGTCGAATTATTAGCATAAATGTCTCAGTTTGAACGATAAATGGAAATATAACACTTCCGGGAAATTTTGTCACAAACGCCTTATGGACTTTTCTCTATTATATTCCCTATATTTTTAGAATATACCATTGATAGTGCTGACTGTGTACTCACCATCAAAAGTCAATGGAAAATTATCCTCAAACTAATTGGGTGTCGACTTTAAGCTTGCAACCAAAGATACCTCAAGAAAAACCGGAGATTGCCGAAGATTTTCTTTACAAAAGAAGTTGGCCGAGGGTCAAAAAGAGAGACTCGGCATTCTCCGTCAGATTGAATCGGCAAAATTTGGTTGTATTTCGGTTGTATGGCTTACCTTCGGCTGCATGGCCCAACCTGGATTGAATGGAAAAGATGCTGTCCCCAAACTAATTAGCATTTTTCGATCTCAAATGTCATAATTCAAAGCATAAATGTCGGTCTTATATTTCAAATACACCTTATACGTACATCTGATAATATTGTTTATCAAACATATGCAGTATTTATCGTAGAATAAAATGAATTTCAGCTAGAATTAGCGTGGAAAATTTCAATCGACGATTCTCTGCCAGATTACGCTCTGATCCTTGATTCCGATCTATTGATTGCTTATTTTGAGTCTTAAACCTCGGTCCTAGTAAGTCCAAATATAGTGGAAATTGTGTCCATAATGACAAATAGGAACCTAAAAATTTGAAGTGGATATTCACATGTTAATGCTGACTCTTCAATTGTTGAGGTGATTTTGGAGTCCGATTACGCCGCAAGGAGGATTGGCTCCCAGAATGCAACATGACACGTGCCAGCTTTTTAAATGCCATTCAGCCATTTTGAAACCTGTCACGAGTAAAATAAGGTTAACTGATGTTGCATTCTGGGAGTCAATCCTCCTTGGATCACAAACACAGCGATTCATGAAAACATTCGTTCGATTTGGTAGGAATTTATCCAGCATTTGCAGGTATGAAGCTTTGGATTCATTTATTGTGCTACTTAGAGTGAACGGGAATTATTTTTCTACCGCTTGAGAGAATTTTAGACATGAAACTTAGCATTTAGCTCATAGATCGCCATGTTTGTGATCCAAGGAGGATGACTCCCAGAATGCAACATCAGTTAACCTTATTTACTCGTGACAGGTTTCAAAATGGCAGAATGGCATGTTGCATTCTGGGAGCCAATCCTCCTTGCGGCATAATCGGGCTCCAAAATCACCTCAACATTTGAAGAATCGGCATTAACATGTGAATATTACTTCAAATTTTTAAGTTCCTATTTGTCATTATGGACACAAATTCCACTATATTTGTAAGAATTTGTATTTATAAGAATTCATGACATATGTGACAGAATATCTTTTTCATAATGTTAGTCATTATTTATGTTCACCACTTTAGATCTATTCTTTACTGATTTTTCTAAGCTTAGTTCTAGGCTGTAAACTCTTCTGTTAGCTTACTATTTTTTTCATGGCCTGACTCCGTTGCTAGAATTTGAAATATAAGTTAGCTAATGATAAGGAGTCTAACTTACCTTCTAGAAGTTAGAACAGAAATTTCGATGAAACCCTATCACCTTTGTTTCATTTATCTAACTCTCTCTTGCTTATACCATTCATTTACAATTTTTATTTTTATTTTTTTTATTTTTCAAAAAATATTTAATATTAATCACTCCTTCCTCATATTGTCTCCATCTTTCAGTTTTACTCAAAGGGTGCACTAATGTACCTAGAAAAGAGTGTAAAGAATATTTTTTCCATAAAATGTATAAAAAACGAGAAAATTCAGTGACAGTAGGTCATGTGTCGTTTGAATATTTCAAGCACTTGAATTATTTGCTCCTGAGCACTTACCATTAAGGTACTGGTGGAACATTTTTTGAAAAAATTGCTTAACCTGCACATGTTGTTTTCTGAAACAAAATAAAGGATGAAGTACCATTGACTTGTTTCCAGAATATATTTTTGGATATAATTCAAAATGGGTACTCATCGCACAAGAAATGCCATGGAGTAAACATACATACAACAGTAGTATATGAATATTGATTTCTTCATGTCCATTGACTAATTACACGGCTAGCCAGGCTTTTAGTCTGTGGCGCAGCACCACACTCTATTTAGCTCCCACAATACCCTACTTGCAAATCATGATTGTTTCCACAATCTAAACTTGACTGAATATACAATAATAGCATGTAAGAAGGATAAAATATAACATAAATATGATTTATCATGATTGAATGGTAATTCTGAAGATGTTTGCATCAAACCCTAAATATTTCCCGATGAGAGCCCTGAATTAGCATATTGCTACATGGATCAGTTGTCATTATGCGTAAAAGCTATCATCTTTATTTTCAGCTGGTGTGTACTCTGTGCAGCAAATTGAGTTAGGCACATTCATCTTTCATTACCAGTTTTATCAAGTCAGGGTGAAAGATGGCAACTGGGCTGTACGCTATCTACAAACAACCCCATCCGCCCACAGGGATAGAGATGTGTGTTTACTGTAATTTTATGTCATCCCGTGAACAGAACCTTGTCATTGCGGGAACTTCTCAGCTTCATGTATATCGCCTGATTGGAGATGGAGAAGTAAGTTCTCCATAATCCATATCAAACAAAGTTGGGAGTCCACTGTAGTTTAAAATCAAAGTATTAGCTAATTATGACCATAAACATAAATGTAACATATTGCGCAGTAAAATTAAACCATATCTTTAGTTGCTGAAACAATATACAAATACATGTATACATAATAGCTGGATAATTCATCAGTTTTTTTTTAATTTTCAGTCTGCCACAAGCAAGGGAACAGACAAGTCAGGTTTGTGAATTGCTTTTATTCAGTTTAATAGAGATATTTATTCATGAACAGTATTCAACATGAATATGATTCACTTTGGGTATTCCATCGCTGAGTCAGCATATTTATGGACATCGTGTATGTTTCTAGGTTTGGGAAAACCAGTATTGTTGAAGAACTTTGATAATCTGTGCCTGTAGTTCTAGCTAAACTGACTAGAAACCATTCAATTGGATTATAGAACTAATAAACAATCTGAATTGATGTTGTCCATCCCTGGATTACCAACCAGTCTGAGAATTTTTACACACTTGAAACTCATGAAAAATTGTTCTTTTTGAAAATTCCAAAATATTTTTACTCGAGCCCTGACCGTGAGGAATTACACATCCAAGAAATCATATATGAACTTTTTAAGATTGATATTAATTCACATTTAAAACTTCACTCTATCATTTAGTTTATATAATGATTTTAGATCAGTATAAGTACTGTATGTAGTCCAGAACTGGAGGAATATATCAGTTACAATTTTCACCAAATTCTCCTTTGGCCTTTTCTGCTATAATTATTATGTGCTTGCTTTCCCTTTGCATGAGGAGCTGTTTTAAATGAATGAATTAAGTTAGATGTTCTTACATATTTTATATATTTCATTGCAGATATCAAATCCAAGAAGCAAAAGTTGGAATGTTTAGCATCATACTCATTATTTGGTAACATTACATCAATGCAGAAGGTGAGACTGGCAGGGGCATCACGGGATGGACTTCTATTGAGCTTCGCTGATGCAAAGGTATTTCTTTTTTAGGAATAAAAGATAAAAGTAACTATCTTATGGATACATTAGGCCATAACAATTAGATTCTCTGCTTTGCGTCCTGGCAAAATCCAAATCATGCAAGGGTACAAGGAAAACAAACACAGACTCAAGAAAAAACACAAACTTGTTTGCTGAGAGATGGGCATTAAAAGGGATGACATACCAATTTGCAGTAATACAAACACAGATCTATACATTTTATACAATATATTTAAATATAGGTATTATTCAAGGGTAAAAATAAGAAAATACACAATGTATGCCAAAGTAATCAATAGCACTGTCAATTTTGATGCACATCAGATTATCCGCCATTTCGTCTGATTCTGATTGAACAAAATGCGATGTCACTTTCAGACCCTTGTGGTTGCTATTTGGATGTGTTTGTTTTTTCTGATTTACTCAAAATTGTGCAAGCAAGGGGACGCAAAACAAAGAATCTAATTCTTACGGCCTTACCAAACATTGTTTATTTTTACCTCAGCCATAAGATTATTGAATCTAACCAATTTTGGTAACACAGAAGATAAGATCAAGGAATCTATTATTCTGTTTAATTTGTAGTTTGATTAACAAATAATAAAAAAATGTAAATTAGCAATGGTAAATTTTTTTTTTTTTAATTAAAATATTTATTCACAAAAATAAAACAAACATATTTACAAAACATATCAAGTATTTAGTTTTGAAATAATGTTATCGATTGCATGGTTAAAAAAACCTGTTGACATATGATCCAATAATCTTTTATAAAATATGATACTTGATTTAACTTTTAACTGTAAATTACAATTTAAAAGTGATTGTTCATCTTCAGAGTTTTTTGACCATTCTGAATGTATTGTTTTTGCAGTAATTGCTATGATTAAATTTCTTATTACAGATACATTATTATTTTCACTAAATCCTAAAACAATATGATTCCATTTTATTTTCAAATTTAAACTGGTTCCTATAGTATTCCATATGTTGATAGATTTCTTGCACTCATACAGCATATGTTCCATGGTGTGATTTTTATCCCATCGAACGAAGTTTGGAGGGATATAGGGAACACCTCCGTCCGTCCATCCGTCCGTCCGTCCGTCCGTCCGTCCGTCCGTCCGTCCGTACAATTTTGTTCAATTTTGTTCAATTTCAAAATGGCGGCCATTTTAGTGCCGATTTTACAGTAATTTAGGTGCAATATGTAAAACTGTAATAGCAATATGTTTTAAATGTAAAAAATTTATAAACGACATTAATAAAGCTACAATGTAGATATAATATAAGCACATGGCAGCCATCTTGAAAAATGGCGGCCTTTACTCGTTATTTTACGATTTTTGCTGTAACTCGAAAAGTAGTGGAGCAATTTTGTTCATATTTGGTATGTGAATACTATAAACATTGCACACTGTCTAAAGACACTTTTGGTAGAAGGCGGTCATTTTTCAAAATGGCCGCCATTTTAACGTATTTTACTATAACTCGAAAAGTAGTGGAGCGATTTTGTTCATATTTGGTATGTGAATACTATAAGCTTGGCACACTGTCCTATGACACTTTCGGTAGAAGGTGGCCATTTTGAAAAAAAATTTGAAAAATGGCCGCCATTTTAACGTATTTTACTATAACTCGAAAAGTAGTGGAGCGATTTTGTTCATATTTGATATGTGAATACTCTAAGCATGGAACATTGTCTAATTAAACTTTGGGGAGTAGTTGGCCACAGTGTACACATTTTGAAATAACTTGTCTGTTCCATTTATTAACAATATAACCACAAGGAAGACAATTATTTACAATTTTAGAATTCAGTTCTGCTAAATATTTACATGGCATTTTCAAAATCTTCTGATTATATACATCTTTATAAAATTCACAATCACTAGGTGTTTTAAATTGCCTACTCCAAAAAGCTTCAGTATAATTTCGTTTTCTTATTTTGTTAATTAAAATATTATAATACAACTTTGACTTTTTGTTAATTATATAATGGTACTCATTGTTAGCAAGGATGTTATATTTATATTGTATATTTGTAAAGTTTGCGTACAGTGTATCAACAGTATTTGTTATACTTCTCATTATATTTCGAATGACTGAATATTCATAAAGCCAATTTTTTTTTGTCTTTAAGATGGTTTAATACATAGTGTTCTGATAAAATATTTCCATTTTCATCAAAGAAATCTTTCACATATATGAAGCCTACTTTTACCCAGTTTTTAAAAAGAATTACCTTATCTTTCCATTTAAAGTTAAAGTTAAGCCAAAGCACTTCATTAAAATGCTGTTATTATTAATTTTCTTTTCATTAACATTATTGAATCTAACCAATTTTGGTGACACAGAAGATAAGATCAAGGAATCTATTATTCTGTTTAATTTGTAGTTTGATTAACAAATAATAAAAAAAATGTAAATTAGCAATGGTCAATTGGTCACACTAAAATCTTATAATTTTGGAGAATGTACATGTATTTGGAATATCTGTTCTGCCTTTCACAACTGAAGAGTGTTCCTATTTAAAATCACATTTAACAGAACATCCTAAATATGATATAATTTGATAATTCTACAGGTGTATTTGACTTGATATTTTTGTCTTCAGCTGTCCCTCATAGAATATGACCCAAGTAGCCATGACTTGAAAAATACATCTCTGCATTATTTCCAAGACGAATCTCTGAAGGTAATTATACTATTTGTTGTGATAATAATCTTTCTACATTAGAAGACATGTATGTAGATTCAATAAAAGTTTTCATGAAATCTTAATCAAGTTCACCAAGTTCTAGAATTTAGAAAACAACGTTCATTGGATTTTGTAATACTTTGTTAAATTAATATTTTTTTATTTTTTTTTATTTATCATGTTTTATTTAATACAATAATATATGTAAAAAGAAAATTTCCAAAAAGGCGACTTTGTTTAACATTATAAGTCGCAGGGTTAATTATAAAATTTTATTTCAAAAAACAAAAAACAATCCAATTGGTGAAGCAAATTGGTGAATAAATTAAGCATAGAAGGTTTGATAATTGCTGCTAACACTCAGACACTTACACACTTCTGGAGAAAAGAGGCACAAGTTTCAAGAACAGTTATGTTTGTAGCGTAGTTGAGTTTTGAGCTGCCAAAGAGAAAGAAATTCAATTTCTCTTGTTGGGTCTTAAAATTCTTTTTATATTGGATTTCAAGGTTATTTAGTTTAATTTCGAAGTCAGTTAGGAGGGTCCTACGGAGTCTGCAGTTAAAGATGACATGCTTGGATGTTTCACTTTTGAATCCACACTTACATTTTGGTGTATCAGCTAGAGTAAAGTTGTGGGCATGAAAATGAGATTGAAAAATCAAGTCGACCCTAGTCCTATTAAGACTGATTTCCTCTGGTCTAGGTAAATGCAATGAGGTAGATGATATGATAGGTTCTGGATAAATGAGAAGTGTCAATTTAGATTTGAAAGTACTTAAATTGTCTATCTCTTGGAGTTGTTGGGGTAGTTTGTTCCATTCTGAGATAGCAGTAAAAATGCATGTTTTCTTTAATATCACAGATCTTTTAGCGGGCAAGACAAATTCAGTTGGATTTCTCAAATAGAGAGGAGGTTGTTGTCTCTTATATTTATCAAATATGTTTTGAACATATGAAGGAACTTTCTGATTTTGGACATTGAACATGAGGGTTAGTCGATGAAACTTCCTCCTCATCTCTAGTTTAGGCCAATTTAGAATATTGAGCACCTTTTCAGAAGATGACCCATGAATAGTTCCACTACAAATCAGAGCTGCCTTGTAGTAGAGTTGGTCAATGCGTTTTAATTTGGAAATATCTGCACATCCATAGAGGATGTCGCAGAAATCAAAATGTGGTAAGATAAAAGATTTGAACATAAGATTTAGATGGTTTCCACTAAGTTTTTTACTTAATGCTTTAAGTGGATTTAAAAGCTTATCAATTTTCTTTGCAAGATGGGTAATGTGGAAATTGAAAGATAATTTAGAGTCAAAGATAAAGCCAAGGTGTTTATGCCAAGCACATCTAGGTATGGATTCAGTTCCCAATTTTAGGTCAGGGGTTATTATTTCATTCATTTTTGGACTACTAAATGTCAGATCATCACTTTTAGAGGGTTTGAATTTTAATTGCCATTTATCAGACCAATTGTTTATAGAATTTAGACCAGATTTGAGGGTGTTTATACATTCAGGCATATTATCATGGCTGAAGGGCTGATAAAGAGAAGTGTCATCTGCATACAGAAAACACTTGCTTAAAATATCATCAGGTAAATCGTTTATGTAAACTAAGAATAGCAGAGGTCCTAAGATGGACCCCTGGGGAACTCCCGAATTGATATAGTCGCTGGCTGACCATGGAGATTCGTGTCCGTCAATAAGCACTCTTACTTTTCGATTGGTAAGATAAGATTCAATAAGTAGCATTATATTTGGACCAAAACCGTATACATGTAGCTTCTTAAGTAATAGCTTATGGGGTAAAGTATCGAAGGCGGCCGATATATCAAGAAAGACTGCACGAACATCATTACCATTATCCATATTAGAAGTTAAAAAATCAAGAATACTTAGTAGTTGGTGTTGTGTACTGTGACCTGGGAGAAATCCACTTTGAAAATTAAATAGAAGATTGTTTGTTAGCAAATGGTCAAACATCCTTTTAAAAATAACTCTCTCGGCTACCTTTGAAAGGCAGCTTAATAGAGTTATTGGACGGTAATTAGAAACAAGTTTTTTTTCGCTTTTTTTATGGCATGGGATAATATTCCCTAGTTTCCAGGAATTAGGAAATTTTCTCATTTCAAACATCTTATTGAGAAATTTTGAAAATAATTTTGATAAAGATGGAGCTGCTAACTTGAGCATTTTATTACTTAGTTTGTCAGGACCTAAAGCTTTGCTAACATCGAGTGATAAAAGAAGTTCATAAATCTCTCTGTCATTTGTTGAAAGGATGTTTAAAAAAGAATCAGTTCTAAGGTCAAATTGAACACTGTCTGTATCTACGTTATGATCAGAATGAAAATTTTTGATGAAATGGTCAAGAAATAAATTAGCCTTTTCTGTGCTGGTGAGTATAGAAGAGCCGTTTTGGTTGGTCAAAATAGGAATCCTAACAACTTTAGTTTTGAATAAAAGTTTAGATATGACCGACCAGTAAGACTTGCTGCCATATTTAAGGGAGTTTATTCTCATACATTAAATTAATATGCCCACTTAAAAGTACATTTATATATATATGTACAAGGGTAGATCAAAAAGTTTCCTACTGGCTCTACATTTTATGATAAGAGGAGTTTGATGCTCAAACTTTAACACAAGACAGTGTAGTTTGTTTGCATGAAACTGTATGAATTTCATATACATTGGTTTATTGGTAGTGACACTGAGAGTCATTACGTATTTTCAGTGATTAAGTCAAAATATGTATTGACTCACTACCATTAAACCAATTTATATGAAACTCATACAGTTTCAAGCAAACTAACTACTTTGCCTCGTGTTAAAGCATCCAACTCTTCTTATTATAAATCTAGAGACAACGGAATGAAACTTTTCGAGCAACCCTTGTATATAGAAAAAATTTGATTTTGTTTTAGGATGGTATAGAACAGAATTTACACATCCCCATAGTTCGAGTAGACACAGAAAATCGTTGTGCGGTGATGTTGATTTATGGGTCTCGCCTTGTAGTTTTACCATTCAGGCGTGACATCATCACTGAGGAACAAAGTTTTCTTACTGGAAAGTAGGTCATTCATTTTGAAAAGTTATGATACCCATACATTTTTGTTCTAAGCAAAACAATACAATTTGTATTTTATCTGTTATTTGTAATATAGCGAAATAAATTAACCTATCAATTAATGATAATTTTTTTAAAAATTAGTTATGTTATACTTGTTTGTATATATATGTATAATACAATTTACATTGAAGTAAGTAGTACTATCAGTACTAAATAGGAACTACATTTATGTATTTTTTGCAGTAAAACACAAATTATGTCATCATTTGTTATTGATCTCCGTCACCTGGATGAGAAGATAACCAACGTCATAGATTTCCAGTTCCTGCATGGCTATTATGAACCAACCCTCTTCATTCTTTATGAGCCTGTCAGGACATGGGCTGGGTAACACTTTTTCTCAATATGCTTCTATCTTTTAATGTGTCACTAAGCAGGTCTATCTAAATAAGTTCTTAAACTTCCAAAAATTTTTAGACTTCCAAAATTTGAGTTATTAGGGTTCTGATCTAAGAATCCTTACAAAACTTACATGCAGTGCTTCTCTTAAAGTATCTTTCGAATATTTTAACAAATATCTAGCCTATAACATGTAATCATTTTGTTGTAGTCGGGTTGCAGTAAGAAAAGACACATGTAATATAGTAGCCATCTCTCTCAACATCCCAAGTAAGGTCTACCCAATTGTGTGGTCTATGCAGAACTTACCATTTGATTGCATTCAAGTGCTGGCAGTACAAAAACCAATAGGTATTTACTTTGTTTATGCATGCATTGAAGTAACACCAGACATGAGCAATGGTTGTGTTATACCAATTTACCTTAATTCTGCCTCGCTTATTTATATACATTGTTTTAATTTATGAGATAAATAAATATTTGATTGATTGTAACCTCCATGTGAGTTTTGAGAATGATGGAAATGAATATTTAGATATTGAAATACATATTCATGGTCTTTCATTTTTTGTTTTTGCTTTCTCAAAGACATTGTCTTAGTGGCTGTTAAAAGCTAACAAGATAGTGTCATTGACCCAGCAGAGGCCAATTGCTATAGTTGTTTTCATGCTACCTTTTCATTGTAGGTGGTGTGTTAGTTCTTGCAGTGAACTCTTTGTTCTATCTGATAGTGTCATTGACCCAGCAGAGGCCAATTGCTATAGTTGTTTTCATGCTACCTTTTCATTGTAGGTGGTGTGTTAGTTCTTGCAGTGAACTCTTTGTTCTATCTGATAGTGTCATTGACCCAGCAGAGGCCAATTGCTATAGTTGTTTTCATGCTACCTTTTCATTGTAGGTGGTGTGTTAGTTCTCGCAGTGAACTCATTGTTCTATCTGAACCAAAGTGTCCCACCATATGGTGTCTCTCTGAACAGTATTACTCAACACAGCACAGACTTCATACTCAGTAAGTGACAAACACCAGATATATGGCATGCTAGTTAATAGTTATGTTGGAAACAAGAGAAAAGTGAAACACTCAGCTGCTTATGGGCTTGAAAATTAAGTTGAACATTGTATAAACTTGGAATAAAAGCAGGGACCTTTTGTGCAATAAGTGCAGGCTTAAAAGCATTATGAAGTAGTAAATTTGAGTAATAAAAGGAATTTCTTTCAATAATATGAATGTGTTTTGGTGAGTTTGGTGAATCGCTATCCCTCTTCATAGTACCTGTAAATATGTTATATAAGCCATACATACAATACATACATGTACTTATGATGTCATTCAATGTGCCTTTTGAGATCATAATTCTATTTCAATTAAATGTTTTTCAGAAGAGCAACAGGGTGTGAAGATATCCCTTGATTGTGCACAAGCAGCATTCATAGACACAGACCGACTTGTACTTTCACTGAAAGGTGGCGAACTGTAAGATCATACAACTGTCATTATTGGACATTAAAATTTCTTGCACCAAGTCCTTGTCCACTTTCCATTTCATTCACACATCCTATAAGACTTGCCACAATCTCCTGCATATTCTTCCCGTTGATACACTTATCATCCAATAAGAATTTCTTCTTGATATTAAAGAAATCATATAAAGTTTTTAATCTAAGGATTAAGCATTAGTCCACAGCACATGAGAAATACAAACTTGCAAAGACATTGATATAATTGATGCATTTAAAGCCCCTTTTTATGATGACAATGGTGGATTTGCAGATATGTCCTGACAATTCAAACTTGCAAAGACATTAATATAATTGATGCATTTAAAACCCCCTTTTTATGATGACAATGGTTGATTTGCAGATATGTCCTGACAATATAAACTTGCAAAGACATTAATATAATTGATGCATTTAAAGCCCCTTTTTATGATGACAATGGTGGATTTGCAGATATGTCCTGACAATTCAAACTTGCAAAGACATTAATATAATTGATGCATTTAAAACCCCCTTTTTATGATGACAATGGTGGATTTGCAGATATGTCCTGACAATTCAAACTTGCAAAGACATTAATATAATTGATGCATTTAAAGCCCCTTTTTTATGATGACAATGGTTGATTTGCAGATATGTCCTGACAATACAAACTTGCAAAGACATTAATATAATTGATGCATTTAAAACCCCCTTTTTATGATGACAATGGTGGATTTGCAGATATGTCCTGACAATTCAAACTTGCAAAGACATTAATATAATTGATGCATTTAAAGCCCCCTTTTTATGATGACAATGGTGGATTTGCAGATATGTCCTGACAATACAAACTTGCAAAGACATTAATATAATTGATGCATTTAAAACCCCCTTTTTATGATGACAATGGTTGATTTGCAGATATGTCCTGACAATATAAACTTCCAAAGACATTAATATAATTATCCCATCGAACGAAGTTCGGAGGGATATAGGGAACGCCTCCGTCCATCCGTCCGTACGTACGTCCATCCGTCCGTACGTACGTCCGTCCGTCCGGGCAATAACTCAAATACCGTTGGCCTGATTTTGTTCATATTTTGTACACATATACCCTATGGGGGTACAAGTTCTGCTCGAAAGCCAATTTTCAAAATGGCCGCTCATTTCAAAATGGTGGCCATTTTAGTGCCTATTTTACAGTAATTTAGGTGCAATATGTAAAACTGTAATAGCAATATGTTTTAAATGTAAAAAAATTATAAAGGACATTAATAGTGCTACAAATGTAGAAGGCGGCCATTTTGAAAAATGGCCGCCATTTTAACGTATTTTACTATAACTCGAAAAGTAGTGGAGCGATTTTGTTCATATTTGGTATGTGAATACTATAAGCATGGCACCACTGTCCTATGTCATTTTTGTTAGAAGGCGGCCATTTTGAAAAAAATTTTGAAAAATGGCCGCCATTTTAACGTATTTTACTTTAACTCGAAAAGTAGTGGAGCGTTTATGTTCATATTTGGTATGTGAATACTATAAGCATGGCACACTGTCTATTTTTAATGACACTTTTGGTAGAAGGTGGCCATTTTGAAAAATGGCCGCCATTTTAACATATTTTACTGTAACTCGAAAAGTAGTGGAGCGATTTTGTTCATATTTGATATGTGAATACTGTAAGCATGGCACATTGTCTAATAAAACTTTGGGGAGTAGTCGGCCATTTTGAAAAATGGCCACCATTTTTATGTGTGTTATTTTACAAGTACGTGTGCGATTTTTCAAAAATTTTAGAGGTGGCTACTTAAAAGCATATTATTTCTTCTGATGACAACTTGGCTTACCATTTTGAAAATGGTGGCCTTTCTGGTGTGTTGTTTTATGATATTTGCTCTTCGTTTGTAAAAATGCCAGCCATCTCTGTTCGATGGGATTCGCTACGCTTTGGCGTTGCTGTTGTTCTGGTTGATGCATTTAAAGCCCCCTTTTTATGATGACAATGGTTGATTTGCAGATATGTCCTGACAATGATGGTGGATGGGATGAGGGCAGTGAGGAGCTTTAATTTTGACAAATCAGCAGCCAGTGTTCTCACTACTTGTGTAAGTTTTTATAAAATTATAAGGATGAGAAATTCTTGAAAAATCTTGATATCATGTTCTGGACTCCTTCTTTCAGGTAGCAACATTCATTGGTCTTGCTTACATTGACATTTGATATAACTATTTTGTAAAAAATGATATCACTCATATTCATATTTATTATTTACATGATATTCAGCATGATTATTTTCAATATTTATTTAGTTTCATACGTTGTATTTTTATCCAATCAGTGCTGTGCCTGTGATGACAACTACCTTTTCCTTGGGTCACGTCTTGGAAATTCTTTATTGCTGAAATATACGCAGAAAGATGACCTAGCCCCCGATGATGTTAGTGCACCACTTGCTAAGAAAATAAAACTGGAAAAAGGTTGGTTGAATATGAATTTATTAATAAAAATTGAATTGATGACCCAAATGCTTAAATTGGGGAAATTCTAATATATCTTAATGCACGTCTTTTAATATATGCCTATTTAATCAAGAGTAGATGGTAAATATAACATTGGGACAAATAGAGATTTATGAATATACTGTAGTGTTCGTTTGGACTTGCTACTCTGTGGAGTTGCCAGTTTCTAGTTACAATTTGACATTAAATTTGAATTTTCTGATTTCCAAAGATTGCAATCACAATTAACAATCAGATCACAATCAGTTGTCTTAATGAGCTATGGTAAAATAATACTTCAACCCTGTATGTCTCAGAGACATTAATTTAGGATATTTATTATCAGATTATGATTGTTTTGTGTTAAGATTTAGATGAGGACAAACTGGACGATCTAGAACTAGAAGTGTATGGAACAGACAACACACAACCTGGCACAGAAATCAACTCTTACACTTTTGAGGTAAACATTAGCTACAGATCTAGAGCGGTTATTAATCAAAGCAGAGCAAACATATTGAAATAAGAAAGCTATATTTAATGCATGTCAAATTCCTGTGCAAATAAGGAAAAACCTGCACAAATTGGAATCAGTTCTTCTTACAAAGATGTCATTTTTTTAACTTCACTATTTTTTCTCACTTGAATTCTGCCAGAATCCTAGCTATGACCTCAGATGAAATGCCTTAACATTTTACTTACCAAACGTCCTCATAAGGCGTGTTAACTATAGCGGTGGATACTCAGATAAGTTAGATCATTTCTAATACAATGTTTGCAACTAGATGATGACATTTTCTCTTTGCTGAGTAACCTTATATTTGTGTGGCATCTTATAGGTATGTGATAGTATAATGAACATAGGCCCCTGTGGCCAGATGGTGATGGGAGAGCCAGCCTTCTTGTCTGAAGAGTTCTCAAATACAAAGGACCCGGATGTTGAGCTTGTAACTACCTCAGGCCATGGCAAAAATGGTGCTCTTTCTGTTTTACAAGTAAGTTAGCCTTAAAGCCCCCCTGGCTTGGTTTGACATGACCTTTGACATGGATAACTTTTAAATCTCAATATCTAACTGAAATTAAAGTTTTGAATATTTTAGGTTGATGTTTTTTTTATTTGAACATTTTACCCTGATATATATTCAGTGACTACATGGTCATTTATATGATCTCTATAATATGATATATAATTATTTTATTTAAATGTAACTTTCACAAACTGATCAGATTCTATTAGTTTTTATTATAACTGACTATAGAATACTGAAATATAAGCAATATAATACTTTTTAGCGATCAATTCGCCCTCAAGTGGTTACAACATTTGAGCTGCCTGGTTGCACTGACATGTGGACTGTGATTGGTCAACCAAATTCTGATGAGGTAAGCTATTTATGAATTAGATTGCATTACTGGGTTGGTTTAAAAAATATTTGTGATTGCTGATATAGAACCTTTACGTTCCATGATATAAGAGAATCGCATACTTATTTTAATTCCAGTCTGTGCAAATTATTACTACTATTCCAAAGTGTAATTCCAAAATCCAGATATCCTTGAAGGCACAGATATGATATTCCTGTTTTGCCTTATTTTGTTTAGTAGAAAAACAACCTATGTTAAATGAATTGACATATTCATGGATGGATGCTTTACTTTATTGCAGTCTTATTTCCCTCTTTTTATCTGTGTTTCACACTGAAATACTCCCAGTTTGTAAAGTTCACTTGTTCTGGTGCTTGGTAATTGCTTGACGAAACACTGCTAGGAAGTAATCAGCATCTTCTTTAGTTATACACATTGGGGGTTTGACACGAAGAATCTGGAAATATGTTGGAGTGCATTAAGTAGTAAACAAATAGTATGCATAAATTAAATAAATGTAATGTAATGTGTAACTGTACATTCATACCTTTCATTATTTCATTAGCATTTATGATGTGAATATTATACAGATTCAAGGGGCCCCATGTCTATTAAAGAATATTTCATGATGAATATAAAATAATCTTGCCAAATCTTAGATTAGCCAGAACACAGGTTGAGATATAAAGAATAGGGGATTTTTTCAGCTAAAAGAAACAATGCTTTTCAAGGAAAACATTTAAGTTACAAGAATAACCAAATAAGTTGCAAAAAGCAGACTTGACATATATTGCTCTTACATTTCCTTTTTGGCCTCCCTTGCCCATTAATATCCCATGGTCTTTCATTGTCTCAAATATGTCATTGGTCTCCTCAGCTGAGAGTTGAGTCTTAGATGCCTACAATATGAATGATGTAATGTATGAAACTTTGGAATATTAAAACCTCTTGAAAGCAAACATGACTGGAACCAGATATCTCAAGAAATTATATAATATTGAGTTCATCCCTTGATTGCAATAAAACTGTTGTTTTGATTTAACTTATAGATTAGGTGACCTACTTTCCAAAATAATAACCGGCTATAGCATACAGTGAACAGAATAATTGAGGGATAATAAACTGTATATTGATGATTAAATAGTAAAGTGAAAATTTGTATCACCAAATATATACAGATATTACAGTTAAAATGTCATCATGCACAACCAATAAAAATATATTTAATGAACAAGACATTAATTTACCCATTTGTGGACATTTAAGGTTAATCATAGAGGAAAAAGAAACAATGATAGTATTCAAGAATACAAAATTAATTGAAAAGACCACTTACTTTATCAGTGACTAGTTCTATTCCAATCATGAGTCCCTTTCCTCTGACATCACCTATAGCTTCAAACTCATCCCTAAATAACTCTAACTCCTTTAGAATGTATGTACCTAGAGACTTTGAGGTGCCTAGAATGTTCTCATCATCTATGATCTGAAATTGGGACAAATCACTTTTTCAGAATCTGAGTAGCTGTTGGATATTCTAAAATTGGTAAAACTCTGATAAAATATAGAATTTTAAATGCCAGCTTTAATCTCTTTGTATGGCATTTATTAGCATTTTCTCATTAAAGAGAGGTAGACTTACATCAAGTATAGCAGATCCTACAGCACATGCAAATGGATTGGCTCCATATGTGTTGAAATGTAGCGCTGATGACATTGTCTGAGCAATCTCCTTGGTTGTTACTAGTGCCGCCATAGGGAACCCATTACCAATACCCTTGGCCATGGTCACTGAAACATTATAATTATGCCAAATGAAAGTACATCTTCTATAAATTATTTTGTTTAGATCGTATCTGATCACAAGCTATAGCAATTCCTGTGTCTGTAAGTATCAGATCTTACCTATATCTGGAATGACTCCATGGCTCTCAAATCCCCAATAACTCCCTCCAGTACGACCAAACCCACTCTGCACCTACAAGACAAATGAAAAACATGAGAAATCAACAGAACGCAATATTAAGAAGACACAAGTCAAACATTTGTTATGTGTTTGGATCTATTAAGTGAATGTGATATAGAAATGATTTGGAAATCTTAATAGTGTTCACCCACGTGATGCTTGATTTTCAGCACCAATTTTTAATATTTTGTTGCTTTTTACCTTGTGGTAACTTTTGACATTGAAGCTAAACCTCTATGTTAGATTCTATCATCACAGCTAGTTGTACCAAGTTTAGTGACTAGATTTGATAGTCAAAAAGGAATATCTAAGCACAAGTTCTAAAGAGAAGAGACTAAAAACCTTAAAAAACCAGCAAGAAAAGTAAACTCTTAAGTTTAAACCTGTCATAAGAAAAATAGACCCTTTATATCCCAAAACCAAGACCCAACGTGAAAAGTAACGGTGTCTGACACCCCTCTTCCCCCCAAACAAGAGTCAATATTACAATTCAGCACCAGAACACCAAGAGACATTTCATTCATACTAAGTCATTACAATACATGTTGAACAGAAATTGAAAAAATTGATCACCAATACTCATTACATCAAAAATAATGTAGATACTAGTACTCATAAAAGCATTCAGTCTCAAATGATGTGGGATAGATGGGATCCAGTCTCTAAAAGACCATAGGAAAGAGTCAACATCTATTAGCAAAGCCATTGCTATAATCCATAAAACAAAATAATTCACAATGGTCATCCGGAGAAAACTATGGCTGGTTTCGATCTCTATTTCTCAATGATTAGTGCCATAGCCGGGATCCACCTCTAAAGATGCCAAGTGAAAAAATTGTGAGTGCCAATTTCTTAAACAATTCATACAACCTTCAGCATCTCAAGTGGTAAAACTTGAAACCTCGAAATTAATCGCTTGTATTTTCAGCAAACCTTTAAGCTTTTTACAAGTATAACCTTGATATATTGGAGATAGTGAAGTTTTCAAACTGACAGATACACCACTATGATTTGTGATAATATTTAGATAACATTAAATGAACATGCAATCACTGACCTCATCTGCAACACAGAGAGCCCCTTGTGCTCTCACCAGATCATATGCCCTCTTACCTCATCTGCAACACAGAGCCCCCTTGTGCTTTCACCAGATCATATGCCCTCTTACCTCATCTGCAACACAGAGCCCCCTTGTGCTTTCACCAGATCATATGCCCTCTTACCTCATCAGCAACACAGAGACCTCCTTGTGCTCTCACCAGATCATATGCCCTCTTACCTCATCAGCAACACAGAGCCCCCTTGTGCTCTCACCAGATCATATGTCCTCTTACCTCATCTGCAGCACAGAGCCCCCCTTGTGCTCTCACCAAATCATATGCCCTCTTACCTCATCAGCAACACAGAGCCCCCCTTGTGCTCTCACCAGATCATATGCCCTCTTACCTCATCAGCAACACAGAGCCCCCCTTGTGCTCTCACCAGATCATATGCCCTCTTACCTCATCAGCAACACAGAGAGCCCCTTGTGCTCTCACCAAATCATATGCCCTCTTACCTCATCAGCAACACAGAGCCCCCCTTGTGCTCTCACCAGATCATATGCCCTCTTACCTCATCAGCAACACAGAGCCCCCCTTGTGCTCTCACCAGATCATATGCCCTCTTACCTCATCAGCAACACAGAGACCCCCTTGTGCTCTCACCAGATCATATGCCCTCTTACCTAATCTGCAACACAGAGCCCCCCTTGTGCTCTCACCAGATCATATGCCCTCTTACCTCATCAGCAACACAAAGCCCCCCCTTGTGCTCTCACCAGATCATATACCCTCTTACCTCATCAGCAACACAGAGACCCCCTTGTGCTCTCACCAGATCATATGCCCTCTTACCTCATCTGCAACACAGAGCCCCCTTGTGCTCTCGCCAGATCATATGCCCTCTTACCTCATCAGCAACACAGAGAGCCCCTTGTGCTCTCACCAAATCATATGCCCTCTTACCTCATCAGCAACACAGAGCCCCCCTTGTGCTCTCACCAGATCATATGCCCTCTTACCTCATCAGCAACACAGAGCCCCCCTTGTGCTCTCACCAGATCATATGCCCTCTTACCTCATCAGCAACACAGAGACCCCCTTGTGCTCTCACCAGATCATATGCCCTCTTACCTAATCTGCAACACAGAGCCCCCCTTGTGCTCTCACCAGATCATATGCCCTCTTACCTCATCAGCAACACAAAGCCCCCCCTTGTGCTCTCACCAGATCATATACCCTCTTACCTCATCAGCAACACAGAGACCCCCTTGTGCTCTCACCAGATCATATGCCCTCTTACCTCATCTGCAACACAGAGCCCCCTTGTGCTCTCGCCAGATCATATGCTCTCTTACCTCATCTGCAACACAGAGACCCCCTTGTGCTCTCACCAGATCATATGCCCTCTTACCTCATCAGCAACACAGAGACCCCCTTGTGCTCTCACCAGATCATATGCCCTCTTGATGAACTGTCTGGGGTACTGCTGCACTCCCCCTACACCCTAAACATGACATTATTATGCAATTAAATACATTCCAATGGTTCTGATTTTCTAGTTCTAAAAAACAATGTTCTTCCATATTATTTATTCTGGTAGCCATTTTTAATCTTTTTTCATTATTATTTCTTGTCATCATGATAGAAATGGCTTTCAATTCATATACTGAACAGGTGCTACATAGTATCTAATTCTAGAAATGATAGTTTCTTTTGGGTGGCCATCTTGAAATTTTTATGGTACCCATTTTAAATTCCTATAAATCTGGTCATTACAATTTTATTGCCTTTGTTTCTAATACCAGATGATATTCAGTTATGGCCATCTTTGGATCTAAACTAAACTATATATTTCTAAATCTACTACATCTGGGTGTTTATCATACTGACTTGTTAAATGTCAAGGTAATATTTGTAATTGTGTGAATATTGACTTCTTTTGAATTTTGTAAAAGGATTAAATCAATAAATGAAAGAAAATATTTTATGTTACTTGAATTGATTCAGCAAAGAAAGCAGCTATTCCTCCTCCTTTAGGAGTTGTATGTTCCAAGACATCTTTCAGTTCACCAATGTACATGTCACATGCCTTGCATTCATTTGGCCCACAATCACATTGCCTTTGTGTCTATAAAAAAGTATTACTGCAAAGTTTAAGTGATGGTTTTGCATTTACCAATTTAGCACATACACTGTATCTCCTCATCTAGTTCCAAGACTTTTAGTCTTTTGCACATGCAATTTTAAAAGTTGTAAATAATGGCACTAGCCACACACATATTTCGAACCTCAACAGATTCTAAACATCACCCTTAACATTCATTCTCTCAAAGCCAAAAAGTTCTAACTGTCTCAAATTGCAGAGGTATACACTTCAATCTTTAAATTGGTTAGTATTTTGAAATGTCTGCCATCAGAGGCCATGAATATTTCTTTCTACGTCTCTTAATTCCTGGGAACATTATCCTTCCACGCTTTGGAAATCAGTCTGTTCAATAAATACGGAATCAAGTCAAGCAACATTGATAGATCATGAGTGTTATACATGTAAACACACAATATATTGAATGATTTCATGAAGAATTACTGTTGTTCTTGACGTGTTGTTAGATATAACGCAATAAAATTCCTGAGATGACAAGCCTGAATGTTTACAACCCATGATTCATTTAAATATTACTACACATATGCAAGTTAAAATAGTCCATTGATCGAAAGTGACATCAATATAATCTCTGTGTTTATGGTGGACATTTTGAAATACTGACTGATTGAAAGATTGAAGTGTACATTACTGCAATTTGAGACAGCCACAGCTTTCTTGCTCCTGTGAGAATGGTTTGGTTGTGTTTAGAATCGATTAAGAAATATATGCGCGGCTAGCACCAATATTTTTACTTTTGAAATATAACATATATGTCACTATTGTATGCGTTCAAGACTAGAAGTCTTGGAACTAGATACTGTAGATATCTCCTAATGTAATACTCAGATTTTATTATATTGTTTCAGAGCATATGCATTGAAATTGTGAAGAGTAATAGTCATGTTTTAAATGAAGGATGACACAAAATAAAATAGGTGGAATTGATAAGAAATTAGGTAGTTAATACTCAGAATTATGTAGAAATGAAAAAGATAAATGAGCTCCATATGATATAAGCAGAGAGCATTGTCAATGTTTGTATATATTACCTGTACAGGGGAATCTCTGCAGTTTGCTCCTCCCCATATACCTCTGTATACATCAGGATTCATTGTCTGAATAACAACATGTTAAAGTAATGAGAAACCTTACAAAGAGACCATACTGCCACCTTTTGTTCAATGTGATAGAATTATTTAAGGATTTAAGTCCTGGACTAGGTGCATTGTGGACTGATTATCATCCCTTAGATGTATTGTTTTGCAATAAATTTTGCATAAGATGCATCAGCCACTATGCATTGCGTCTTAGATTCTTTTCACATTTTGCAAAATATTTTATACAATATCACTTAAAAGATAAAAAATGACTTAAAAGAATATATTTTTCAAGGAAACTTTTTGAAAGGGTCAAGTTGTCACCTTGACAACCATTTAACACTTACCATTTGACCTGCATAAGCACTTTGCTTCTTATTCACTATGATACCATATATTGATTTTTACTCAACTATGAAATTGATCAGCTTATCGGTTTCATCAGTTTCACTAGAATCTAAAAATCACCTTGGGTGCAGTTATATGAAATAGCATTTTCTGATTGGCTGGAATTAGACACATCTATTTGTGACTTTCCATTGTATGAATTGTGTGAATTACTATGCACACAGTCAACATCTTAAAAATGTGAAAGTATGAGATAAATGAGATATTTAAGACCCTTAACATTTTATGCTACTACCAAGAAAGGGTGGCATATTTTTAATGCTCGTCATTTTTATATCTGTGTCTGTAACCAAGTGATGACTGTTGTCATGTTAATACCATATTTTTTTTATTCATAATACAAATACAAGTATCAAGTATTTGAATCCAGGTGAGAAAAAGTGAGTGAAATATCAGTGTGACTGGAAAGTTAGCATTTAGATATGGACCTACTTGGTGTACACCAAAACCTCTAGGCATATTGTAGTGCCATATTGATTGGGCTGTCAGACCCATTGTGTATGGACTTGCCCCATGGTAGCCATTCCTAGAGAGAAAGAGTGCACTTATTAGCTGTAACTCCCATATGTTCCTACCCCAATCCTATGTGATGTGAAGTGCAAGATTACGGTTCTGGCAATCTTTAAAGGATAGGATGATGTCACAATTAAACATATTTCTGAATAGACAAGTATAACCTTATCATTTTAAACTAACACGTGTATGCATTTTATGATGCTGATCAGGAAAATTATGTGTTGTTATATCTTTATTTCAGTGAAGGTGGTACAGGTACCCGGGGGGACCGGCATTTACGTCACATATTCAGTTTTTAGCTAGTATGGCATATTTCTGTTAGATTTGAACTTTTTTATATGCATCAATTGTCAAAGTGTTGTATGGTCAGGGTTTGGAGGTCAATTTGAGAAACCATTGTGGAAGAAGCGGTTAGTGAGAGGAGGTAACTCCCTACTCCATATGAACTATGCACCTGCCCACAGATCTCAACATTTTCAGAATAAAATATACATGGACCTCAATATTGAGCCCTTGGCCAATGCACCATTTTGTCCAGATCTGCCCGCATGTGACTTCTTTATTTCTATTCTACTTATTTCTATAGAAAAAGGACGCAGGTTTAGTGACATTGGTGAAGTAAAGCAAGCTGTCCAACTGCATCTTGCTACCATGTCAGAGAATTGATTCAGCCTTGTCTCACAATCTTGAGTTAGGAGGATGAGAAAGTGTGCACACTGCACATGTAGCACTTGATGGGACCTATGTAGAGGGCCCTGTAGAATGAATGTGGCGTGAATATCACGCAGTGATGATAGAATATTCAAAATCAACTATGGCATAACAAAATGGGGTAATTCATGACCATAATGGTTTGTTTTGTTCAGCCTGCCAACAACTGCATTGCGTGTTAAATAAGCTAAAACAGCTTCAGAATGTTTGATGTCATATCGGTCCCGGGGTACCTATACCGTCTTCACGGAAATAAAGATATATCAAAATATATTACATGTTTTGTTTTTAAATCTTCAGAGTTGATAGAGAATTGAATGATGTATCACTGGTAAGTAAAATAAAGGAATTGGTCTATAAAAAACATCTGTGTAAAAAAGCGTCCATTACTTATTGATCACCCCTTGTATGATGGGATTTTTTGTGGAATTTGTTCCTTTTATCATATAATAGCACCAAACTCAAAGATAATTACCTGAGTGAGAATACATCAAAGCAGCCAGTATGAAGTCTACTCATGAGCATTGCTAAGTCATTAGCCTCAGATCCACTATTTACAAAGTACACAACCTACAACATAAAAGTGTTTAGTCATTAGCTTGGATCCACTATTTACAAAGTACACAACCTGCAACATTAAAGTATTTAGTCATTAGCTTGGATATTCTATTTAAAAAGTACAAAACTTACAACATTTAAGTATTTAGTCATTAGCTTGTATCCACTATTTACAAATTATACAACCAACAGGATTAGAGTATTTAGTCATGAGCTTGGATCTACTATATACAAAGTACACAACCTAAACATTAAGTGTTAAATACATTTGTATTTAGTCATTAGCTTGGATCCACTATTTACAAAGTACACCACCTACAACATTATAGTATTTAGTCATTAGCTTGGATCCACTATTTACAAAGTATACAACCTACAACATTAAAGTATTTAGTCATTGGCATGGATCTACTATTTACAGAGTTCACAACCTACAACATTAAAATATTTAGTCATTAGCTTGGATCCACTATTTACAAAGTATACAACCTACAACATTAAAGTATTTAGTCATTAGCTTGGATCCACTATTTACAAAGAACAGAGTTTTTGACTTTAGGGTGTTTGACTGAGTGGTCCACAACTTGTACAAAAGGCTGTGGTGTGTACTTGGATGTCAATTTATGAGTGCACATAAAAGAACATAGGGTTCCTTAAAGGGATCCAACACCTTACAAAACTTCTTAACGGAGAGGAATAAGGGAAAATGCTTGCCGGATTCTGAATCTGTGTATTTTTTAATGATTTTTCACCATCTTAGAATTTCAATTTTTTTCTTTTGAAAAAATGAGATTTGCATTGTTTTTCAATTAGACAAATGAGTAAACATGAATAGCTCGAAATCTAACGGTGAGATTTTGTTTTAAAAAATCATGGATATCAAGGCTAAATATAGCTATACAATAAACATAAAAAAGCAATGCTTGGACTCTTCATATTCACACAAAAAATTTATTAGTAAATGAGGTTTGATATTTGAGAGAATAAGTTGTACGAGTCGCAATGCTCTACAAACACCAGACTACAGGGTGGATTAGGATCAATGACACACATAAAAATTAATTTAAAAATATTTCATGATAATTATCTCAAACAAAAGCAGTTAGCGAAGGATACATTTCATTACACTCAATAAATAGTTATCACTTTTGACTATATATACATATCTCATGGGAATGTATTTCCATCTGCTCAAGATATCATATTTTAGCTTCAAAAATCACAATCGTTGGATAATACATTTGTCTCAGAATGATAGGCCACCCTGTAGCAATGTAGCTTTCACTTGAAGTGTACCCTTGAGAATAATGAACTTACTTTCAAATTGGTCTTGCTTTTGTGGTGTATGTGGCTTTTTAGCAAATCTGCCACGCTCATTTCTTTCCAGAACCATCTTGTTCACATGTAACACTAGGCTATACGCGCATGTATAGACAGATGACATAGATACATATAAATTATATACTGCACCTGTATTTACTTACATGGGAATATTCCCTTTGGAAAAATGCAAATGCATGAACATATATTTTCATCTTATATATGACTTCAAGCTAACATATTATTTCATATTTATATTTTCATAGTTAGTCTAACATAAATAATAGATCCATGAGAACAATATTCTTTGTTTTCTTAAAAATTGATGGGTTTACTGTGAATTCAATAAATTACAATTTGCAAGGGGTAAGTATACTCTATGACCTTAGTTGCAAAGTACTGTTTATATATGCAGCTCAATAGCATAAAATATGTTGAATGAAGCATATGGTATGGATTAGTCGTGTGACACACAAACTGACCAATACATGAGGGTATTAGCTACTTTTCACAGAAACCAAAGGAGGACAGTGCTTTTATTTCAACTGGGAGCTTACCTCCACACGACTGATCATGTGACCATGGTGTTGGGTCCCTTTAAGGAGGGGTTTCTGGATCTTCCAGGCTAATTACATTAATTATGAGCATATATATACAGGATGTATCCAAGAGGTAAATGGAAAAAAAGATGGAGACATAAAATGTTTTATGTGTAATTCTTGTGATATTGAGTGTGAAGATGATTGTACTTCTATATTACCAATGTTTTAGATTGATGAAGAAGGAGTTAATTAGAAGCAATATTTACCATATGCCTATGTAAAAGTAATTTATAACACTGTAGATGTTCTCACAATATATAGTTTGTGGTTATAAAGGATACAACATAAGAGAATCAAAATAAATCAGAATCTGTAGCTTCATCCTTTGATAAGAACACATGGATCTTCCTACATGGGGCATTTGAGGTAATAGATTTGGAATGTAAAGAACATATTATGATAATGTTGCATGTAAATTTGTGGCCCTCAATATATCCTGATTTACTAAATATGGAAGTCCAAATGCCATAGGAAAAACACCAAAAATGGTTACATAAACACAAGAAAAAGAAAACATCTAAGAGTACACCAGTCATAAGGAAAATAGAGCATTCAGTCTCAAATGATGTGGGACATACAAAATCCAATCTTAAAGTCCATAAGCATATCAAATGGTCAGCATTCATCTCCAAAGCCATCATCATAATCCATAAAGTTATTTATTGAGTTGGATATGCATGTACAGTATATAGTGGATGTCTACCTACATTTAAAGGATCAGGTAGTTTAGCTGCCAGTTTCTCTGCGTAGTCCACATTTGGATGCAGGTATATATTTGAGACATGCCATAGTTTCTCACTCTGTCTTTTTACTGCTTCAACTGCATGCCTGAAAACAAAAACATTTGCATTAAAATAAGTTCTCCCCCAGTTCAGTTATGGAAAATAAAAGAGGTCGATGCATTTTTAAACATAGGAGTATTGATTTTTGCTACATTTCTTACTGATTCAGTGTTTTCTACTTTTTTATAACCTTCATTTGTCATGACTGATGCAACTCTGAACTTACGGATGGCAGTGGCCAACACTGACTGTTGCGATTCCTCCAAACAAATCAAGGTACTGGCGCCCTGTGTGGTCCCAGACATATTGCATGTGGCCCTGGCTGATCAACATTGGTTGTTTGTAATATGAGTAGATGGCAGGACTGAGGGTCGAGCGTCGTACTTGCAATGCTTTCTCATATGGTATTCCCTTCAATCATGTGACATTATTTATTCATGCATGTACAGTATATTTAATGTTGAATGGTCATTTCAAATACTTTAAAACTGTTTTATTAATATAACTTTACTTATTAGGAAATGCCAACAAATAGATCATATTTCTTTGAGGTAAAATTCATATTCCTTCTTGTTTTCTTATACTAATATCTATTGAGTGAATACTAAGGTATATTGTGATGTCTGCCTATACTTTACCTTATACAACTCTGGTTTGAAGTCAGTAGCAGGCATAGGGGTATGTTTTGATGTCTACCAATACTTTACCTTATACAGCTCTGGTTTGAAATCAGTAGCAGGCATAGGGGTACGTTTTGATGTCTGCCTATACTTTACCTTATATGGCTCTGGTTTGAAGTCAGTAGCAGGCATAGGGGTATGTTTTGATGTCTGCCTATACTTTACCTTATATTACTCTTGTTTGAAGTAAGTAGCATAAGCAGGCATAGGGGTATGTTTTGATGTCTGCCTATACTTTACCTTATATTACTCTTGTTTGAAGTAAGTAGCATAAGCAGGCATAGGGGTATGTTTTGATGTCCACCTATACTTTACCTTACATGGCTCTGGTATGAAGTCAGTAGCAGGCATAGGAGTATATTGTGATGTCTGCCTATACTTTTCCTTATATGGCTCTGGTTTGAAGTCAGAAGCATACATATGGGTATATTGGGATGTCCGCCTATACTTACTTTATATGGCTCCGGTTTGAAGTCAGTAGCAGGCATAGGAGGTATAGTGGCGTGTTTGGCTGTATGGGATTCATCACTGCTCTCTTGTGTTGTCTTAGAGGATGAATATTTCTGCGACTGGCCTTAACATTAAATGATTGATACAAGCTAATATACGTCCACAGACTAATCAACATTGATGATTTAGTTGCTGTCGAGTGTGAGGTTGTTAACTTAAGGATACAAATGGGGTTGTGATTGGCAAAATGAATGTAGTCTAGTTATAGATGTTTCCAGAAAGCACATGAAATGTAATTTAATTCATTTATGAATGAAAGTTTCACAAACAAATTGTTATCAGATATACATTGACCAATGCATGAATGGTGATGCTACATGGTATCTTTTGGTAGAATGATCCATCAAATTGCCTGATTGTTTTGACAAAAATAAGGAAATGGATATGGTTTTGCTTTTGGTTTGAATATGTTTAACACAAGCAGAGCTAGAATATGGCTGTATGTATATGTTGACCAATGCATGAATGGTGATTTTTCATCCTACTAAAACAAATACCACCGAACGAAGTTCGAGGGGGATATAGAGAAGCCGTCCGTCCGTCCGTCCGTCCGTCCGTCCGTCCGGCCATTCGTTTTTCCATGTGTCCGGGCGATAACTCCAATACCGGTCGATGGATTTGGTTCAAATTTTATAGGCTTATGCCTTATGAGTGTAGGAAGTCTGCTCGAGAAGGAATTTTCAATATGGCTGCTAAATTCAAAATGTCGGCCATTTTTCTGAAAAAATATAATCTTTGATAACTAAAATACTGATTGATGGATTTGGCTCAAATTTTATATGCTGTTGGCCGGGTATAAAAGAGCCTTGCTCAAGAATACATTTTCAAGATGGCCGCCATATTTCGTAAAAAAACGTTATCTTTGATAAGTCATAGACCATTCAATGGATTTGGTTCAAATTTTACATGCTGATGGACATAGAAGCTCTGCTCGAGAAGGGATTTTCAAGATGGCAGCTAAATTTCAAAATGGCCGCCATTTTTCATAAAAGAATGTAACCTTTGATAACTCAAATACCAGTTTATGGATTTGGTTCAAATTCTATATGCTGATGCCTAGAGACAAAGAAGTTCTGCTCAAGAAGACATTTTCAAGATGGCCTCTGAATGTCAAAATAGCCGCCATTTTTCGAATACCAGTGGATGGATTTGGTTCCAATTTTATATGCTGATGAGGGAAAAAGGAGATCTGCTTCAGAAGAAATTTCAAAGGCGTCAGCTGAATTCAAAATGGCTGCCATTTTTCATAAAAAAGGTAATCTTTGATAACTCAAATACCATTAGACGGATTTACTTAAAATTTTATATACTGATGCCTAGAGATGAAGGAGCTCTGCTTGAGAAGAAATTTCCAAGGTGGCTGCTATTTATGAAAATCTCTGCCATTTTTCATTTAACATGTAATCCTAGATAAATCAAGTACCAGTTGACGGATTTGGATTAAACTCTATATGCCGATGCATTGGGACATAGGAGCTCTGCTAAAGAAGAAATCTAGAGATGACAGCTGAATTTCAAAATGGCAACCATGTTTCATAAAAACATAATCTCTGATAATTCAAATACCAGTGGATGGCTTTGGCTCAAATTTTATATGACCGCTATTTATCAAAACATGTTTTGTTCGGTGGGATTTGCTACTCCGTGGAGTTGCTGTTTTTCTAGTTATCTTGTTGATATTTTTGTTGGTTCTTTTCATACTGAAAATTTCCATTGATGTACCTTCTTATTTTAAGTGGAGATATCAACACAAATGTGGAGATTTCTCGTTTGATAATGAAGATGGTGAAACATTACACAAGTTTGTGTAAGTTTTACTATAGAAACCATAAAGTAATCATTGCTATAGGTATGTGCATACTTGTTTTTGAATGTCGGCTAAGTTCAAATGTAGTTTAAAATTCAGACTCATCCCTTACAAATAGGTAAGAAAAGATAATAAAATTAGTCAGGAGAAAAAAGATGAATCTAAAATAAATACAAAACTTTTTCATTTTTTATATGATTTTGTAAATGTTTGCTGATTTTGATTTTAATCTTCTTCAACATTCATCTGGAAGAAATCAGACCCTTTCTTATCTATCATTCCCTTGGTTATTGCAAGGTGTATATACTGAGATACTCATGTTGTAGTAGAACTTCCTATAATTGTGGGTTATCAATAAGATAAGAGGTCATTGGGTTTCAAATAATTTAACATGTTTTTCTTAAATAAAAGTAAAATGTGTTGCCTGGTTTATCTAGAAATCATAGTTCATTATTATTATATCCAAATTGTCTCGCTAATTACATGTTTTATTATATGGCTTCTTTAAGATTTTCGAAATGTTTTATTCTCAGGTCATGTTTTCATGTTGTCTTGGGATCGTCTCAAATTCACAGGGGTTGTATTATATATACTTTCCATGACCAATGAGAAGGAGCGGAAATATTGAAATAGATAATGTTTTCACAATTTCAACTGCATTAAGTCTAGTTTCTACAAATTTTTACATACAAATTTTACGTATAATACAAGTGAGAACATTAGAAACTGCTTGTCTGCTTGTACTAGTTTGTGGTGATTGTTTCATAGCTGATTCTCCAAAATGTTCACCTCAGGTTGCTGTTATATTGGATGTCTGATATTCTGAATGTCAAGTACAGTTCATTCATTATAGTTTAAAGAGCCAATAGCTGCAATTCTCATTCTTAAAATCACTAAAATAAGGTAGCACGTCAAAAGATCAATGTCGCCAAATAAGCTATTATCCTACACATAGTGTACTATATGTATAATAACATCAAAAAATAAATTTGATCTATTGGCAAAATGAAAAACTGGAAGATATCGCTACGATATACTCCGGAAAACCAATACGCGGAGGATATCATGATGATGATATACTCTGGGAAACCAATATGCGGAGGATATTGTGAAGATATACTCTGGGAAACCAATATGTTGAGGATATCGTAGCGATATACTCCGCTTGTTGATTTCCCGCCAAAATGAACTATTTGACATGAAACTTATTTTTCAATGATATTAAACATTTGGTGCACTACTAGTAAGTGTTTATTATAATAAGAACATCCTATGACTTTTTCTGAATATTTTTTTTTTTAATCTACAGTACTCGTTTAATCACTTCGTAGATAAAAATGATATTCCTCATAGGATATCCTATAATTATCAGCTAGGGGGAGGGTGTCTGAAAGCAAAAAATAAGCTTCCCCTACATCAATCCCCTGGGAATTGCATCAGCTGTTTTTCGCCCAATGTATATCCCACAATCCTATCCCATCTAATGAATATAAAATACTCCTCAACAAGGATACAGGGGTTCGTTTTTGGTATGATCGTAACTTACGATTCCGAGAAAACCATATGTCTCTGTTTTGATGAACAATGACTTGCGACCAAATCGTAAGTTACGACGGTTTCAAAAACGGACCCCAGGATAGTTACAGGATAAGCAAGGCCGTTGTTGTCGATAAGTGAATAATTTTAACATGGGGCGAACTAAAATACGATTGTGAAATAATAATCATGTAATAATATTTTTTTGACAAAAATTGTCTTGTCAACATTTTTCATACAGTAAAACCTGTCTTAATGAACACCTCTCTCTAGTGAACACCTGTCCCTAGTGGACACCCTTCCTACGCACATAGTCCACTGACTTCTGTATAAATTACCCTCTCTCTAGTGAACACCTACCTACAGTGAACGTTTTTTCTTGGCAAAAAAATGTTCACTATACACAAGTTTTACTGTATATTGTTAACAGGGGGAGGGGGGGGGGTATCTGGGACTTCACTGATAATGTATAGCTTTTCGCACTACATTGATCTTTTGATGTGCTCCTAATCTAATAACTACATAATAGAATTAACATATCAGTTTAGAAAATCTATAAATCTTCACTAAAAATTGGATGGTTGCTGAACATCCAAGCAATCAAAGGAACAATCCTCATTGTGACACATTTATCGAACACAGTATTTGCCCCATTTGTTCATAGTCATTGCATATTCTCTCATTATAGCCCAAAATATCATTAGGTACATGTAGGTGGAAATAATCCACTGTTGCTTTCTAGAGAGAGGTGCAGGTTTAAATAAAATTGCTTCATTTAGGTTTAAATTACTATTTCAGTTGTACTTTAAAGCTTTTTTGCTGAAAATTCAAGAAAGGGTACCTTAGGTCAAAGGTCACAGTCGATAGCATATCAGAAAATATCCTCATGACTTGAAGAATTATCTTTGTCTTTGAGAAGAACTGATTTTTAGAGAAATACTTAACATTTGATCTAATTACCATAATCTTAGGAGAGTACTAATTGATGTCCAATATTTATCTGACTTGTAAATTAATGTCTAAACACCCCTTTACTATATTACTGTTTTTTTTTTACTCACTAGTTGATAATGAAATATATCGTAGATTCCCTCCACTCCTTAAGAACTTCATAGTGAGTTCACTCTCCTTCTTGTTGTTGTTAACAGTGATAAACCAAGGCTCATTTTACTACTCTCAAGGCTACCTAAGTTTAAAGGTCACAGTGATAACAAATAACAAATGTATCTCTAGTATATAGACTGTGGACTACTCTGATAATTGCAACTTCTTCTTTTCATGGAAGGTCACACATTCCAACATATTTCAAACTATTATATCACTGTTATTATATTATTATTATGTTGTTATAGTATTATACCAACACAATCTGCTTTTGATATGATATAATAGATCATTCAATATTATTAAATAAACTTGAACTCTCAGGGTTGAATTGGTTCTAAAGAGTAAAATATACAGGGTGGGTGGACCAAAAATAACAACACCCAAGTTTAAAATATAAAATATAAAATAAAATAAATAAAATATAAAATATATCATTTTAAAGATAAATCATTTCCTAACAATATGACACCATCCGATTGAAAAACTGTTGTTTTTGTGGAGTGAAAGGCTAAAATTGACACCAGGGGCATCATGAACTACCAAAAAATTATTCACTGCAGATTTCCAAATTGTGGAAGATGGAAGGAAATTTGAACTTTTGTACCTTAAAAAAGAGATACATTTATACAAGTTTAATGCAAAATTCACCGATAACATTTATATCTTTTTGATTAACTATCGATTGTGTATTGCTCTTAAATAAATTGATAATGATTCAGTTAAGCATATTCAGTCCTGCTGTGAGTGCAATATGAAGGGAAATTCGGGAATTTTCATTTTTTGATTTTGGTCACTCAAGACACCCTTAATGTCAATTTTAGCCTCTAACTCAACAAACGTGTCATATCAGACAGATGGTGTTATATTGTTAGAAGATGATTTATCTTTAAATTAAATATGATACAGATTTAATCTTAAACTCAAACTCAAATACCAGCTGACAGATTTGGTTCAAATTCTCTATGCTGATGCTCAGGGACAAATTGCTCAGCTCAGCAAGAAATTTTCAAGATGGCAGTTGAATTTCAAAAAGTCCACCTTTTTGTAAAAAAGCATATCTTTGATAACCCAAATACCAGTGGACTGATTTGGTTCATATTTAAATGCTGATTACTAAGGACAAAGGAGCTATGTTCAAGAAGAAATTTTCAAGATGGCACTCTTAATCAAACATGTTTTGTTTGGTGGGATTTGCTACTCCGTGGAGTTGCTGTTTTCTAGTTGGGTATGTTGAATGTTCTGCATTTTAAGTGCAATATTCATCACCATATGTTAGAGTGTTCTGTATAACATCATCCTCCTAAGCAGGTGTACAGAATCCGTACCTCCTTTTTCCCCCCTGCTATAACCAATTTGGAAGCGTCTGATTAAACTGAGACACGTGATCTAATTATGCACCGATGACGTATACATGCTTGCTGTCGCAGTGTTGCGACAGCGAATCAAATTGCGAGTTCTTAATCGGGGAAATGCTAACTGCTTATTATATAGCAGGGTGTAAAAAGAAAGAAGATATTCTGGATTTTGAAGCCCTGTGATCGGAGGATGGTATAACATTGCCTCATGGCCTTAGTAAAAGCAAGTACAGTGTATGTTATAATTTCTTATCACGAAATGACCTTGTGGGCTACTAACAAGTCTCCATCTGTAAATAATTAACTTTACGCTTTTATTCTCTCTTGTCATGCTATTCCATTTTTGAATTTTAATATCCAAACAAACGAAGTTCAGTAGGGATATAGTGAAGCCTTCCGTCTTTTGTCAGTCTGTCCATCTGTCAGTTCGTCCCTCTGTCCATCCAGAAGAAAACTTGAATACTAGTTGACAGATTTTCTTAATATGTAATGGAAAGATGTTAATTGGTGAATAGTTTTACACAAATGGCCGCTGCTTTAGAAATGGCGGGAATTTTTTGCAAAAATCTATGTTTTTCATTTTAAACGAAAGTAATAGATATTATTATTTGAAATGTTGGTAGTATATTCATCCCATTATCAGACTTTGTATCATTATTGGAGCAATAAGCATTACATAACCTTGAAAAAGAATGAGATTTAAAGCATCAAGATAAATTAATATTTAAAAGTTGTTATATTTCATTATACCAATGTTTTAGAGATTCTCATGTAGTACCAATTAAAATGAACTTATAAAGCACATGACTTTTCCCAAAATTTGATTGATTTTAAAGATTGGAGAACAATTGACTGAAATTTTTTTCACATACTGTAGATAAACTTTAATTGGCTCACTTTTGAGTTTTGATTCAGAAAATCCGCCAAATTAAAAATCCATCAAACTTCAGTTTGGAATTTTTGTCTAATGCACTTCAGACACATTAGAAACTAAACTTCTGGGGTCCTTTTCCTGTCAGCATGTCATAATTCTACACTATTCCAAAATAAATACAGAAAATATCTTAATAAATACCTCCCGTACATGACATAAACATTGACAAAAATTAAACTTCAATCCTGAATCCCCCAAATTAAATAACCGCCAATATTTGAAAATAAGTAAATCTGTCAAATTAAGTAGCATCAAAATAAGTATATCTACAGTATATGAACTACTGAGGTTGTTCATTATACAAATACACAGACTCAGGTTGCATTTTTAACTGCCCCATCAGTGCAAGTCAGTTGCATAATATTTAATGAGCTTTCCCCCTAGGTATGACGAAAAAGAACAATAACCCCCTGCGGTGCAAATTTCATGGTCACATGTTTTCAACGAAACAGCTCACTCAAGCTCACTACCGCTAATTAGGATGTGTCAATCTTGTCGGCTAACTGCGTGTCCCTGTGTCAACTGCGTCCTGTAGTTGCTAGTGCACCACAGGAAATCGATTGCAATAAACTGTAATGTCTTTCAACTCAAGAGAATTATGTGAGTGTAAGTGTGCTTGGATGAGCTATTTTTGTTGAAAACACATGTAATTTGCACTGCAGGGCTTATTGTTCTTTTTAGTGTGACCTGGGGCGATACATTGACATTGTATTAAATTATTTGTGCATTGTATTATGACTCATGGGTGTGTTGTATTGTGGCCAATTAGTGCATTGTATTATGTCCAATGGGTGCATCATTTTATGACTCATGGGTGCATCATACCCATTTGTGTATTGTATTAAATTATTGGTGCATTGTATTATGGCTATTGGTACATTGATATGACTCATGGGTGTATTGTATTATGACCAATTGGTGTATTGTATTATGGCCCATGTGTGTATTGTATCATGCACCAGTGCACTACATTATGACCCCAATGATTACTTGCTACTTTCTCTTTGTTTCCTCCCCATTTCATGCTGTCTTGGTCATCCTTCATGTACGTGTTTTTCTATGTTCTTCAGGTAGTAGAGGTGACAGATGGGAGCAAGTCAGATGATGATAGCCATGCTTTCCTCATACTTAGTAGAGAGGATTCTACAATGGTGAGTAGGCCTGGGAAATATTTTGAGGCTTGTGGGATGCGTGACTGGACCCTGCTCAAAAGCAGGGATGTGGAACATAAAACAAAGGAAATAGTGATAAGTAGAGTGAAAATGGAATAATTGGTAGAATTAGCCAAGTTTTATCACTGCCTCACTATATGAGATGGAATAACTGATATACACTCATAAACAGAATTTACTTTGTAGTTTTTGTTTCACATCAGTTCCCTTCAAAAAATATATGTATATTTTTAGGTGAAATATTAAAAAGCAGTAGAATACTTGCCATTGTCCAGTTGTAAATGATATATTATTACCCTCAAGGTAGATCCAACTTGTGAATATGTATAGTATAACCTATGATTTTGAGTGATATCATTGTTATACATGAGTTGATATTAATATCAAGTGACCTTAGCGAATGAGTGCAAATATTGATATCAATGACTGGATTAAAATGATATCACAAAAATTAACATATGAAACTAAACCATGCATTTCAAAACAACATTTAGTTTTATTTTGTCATTTCAACTTTATACATTTGTCATTTCATCGTGATCATATGACGTCATAAAATCGTCACGTAACAATACACCTCACATTGGCAGAAGTTTGAAATCCATGGATTAGGTGATATCTGTGGAATATTGTCCATATTCACATGTATTGGGTTTTTCCACGCATTGGCAAAATATATCAAGATTATAACCATGGCATGTAAAGCACCCCGGAATAGCCTGACAACGGTAAAGTCAGATACCGCTGTCACAAATGGCAGACATAATCGTCGCTTCAATTAGATTTTCATGAACTGTATGTTTAAAAGAGCACCTAGACTAAATTCCTTTGGAACAATAATCAATCAAAGTGTCTTAATACACATTGTACAGTTAATAATGTTCTATTATCGAAATAAAGTCTTTAATTTAACCGATCAAAATGAGAAAGGGAACAACGGACACTGTAATTACAATATGTCGTTGTCTTTCTAAATTACTCAAATTCAGATTCCATTGTCATTGACGATATCGAAGACGCTATATTTTGGCGAATCACAACCCAATTTGATCGAAAATGGGATTTCATGTGATACATTATCCCAAGAACTTAATGCATGCACAGAATTAGTGACGATAAAATCCCATGAAATAGGAACCAAGTGAATAAACAGTTGAAGCGACGGTTATGTCCGCCATTTGTGACAACGATATCTGACTTTACCATAGTCAGGCTATTCCGCTGTGTAAATGGAGGCTTTGACCTATATTAATGTATTCATCAGTGTAAACATGAATTAATAATATTGGGGATAGTGAGCTTGACAGTTATAAAGTGAAACAAATGTTCCATTCTACATTTACTTTCAGTAAATACTTGTGGCACTTTCTTATATTTGCACACATTTGGGAACTATCATAAACGGATAATTGTACATACATGTAGTGTTTTATAATGTAGATATTGCAAACGGGTCAAGAGATCATGGAGCTGGAGAATAGTGGCTTCAACACAATATCACCCACCATCTTTGCTGGTAACCTTGGCAACAATAAATACATTCTCCAGGTATCACCAAGTGAGGTGCGACTACTGCAAGGAGGTTGGTATACGAAAAGAATCATACAAACTGTTTCTAATAGTCTATGAGGGTATATACGAGGGGTGATCCAAAAGTCTTGGACGCCCGGCTCTAATTTTGCTAATGTCTCATATGATTACATGAAATTTTCAGATAATAAAGATCAACATCTTAACAACTTTGTGTATAAGTTTCAACAAAAAATATTATATTTTACCTACTTTTCTAAATATTTTTTCTTACCGGGTCCCTGCCACCCGGAACGGTATTTAAATATAGCAAATCACGTCACAACTGTTATAATATGGCAAATACTTTAGGTGCAGGTGCAAAACCTAACACCAGTCATGATATGAGAGAATTTCTAGTTTTCAATCTGAGTGTCATCTGCCATCATCATCTTCACATATTAAGACTTACTTTTCAACATATTTTCCACAAAGGTACAGTCTTATTGGGATCCCTTTAAGGACTTAGAAAATTTCATGAAAACGCAATTATAGATTTTTGAAAAAAAAAATTCAAAATATTCTTGACTGATATGTGTATTTTCATTTTCTTGAAAAATATAGTGAATATTTTTGTAAAAGATATGATTTCTGGCCCATTTCTGTAACCACTCCCATCATGGCAGATTATTTGTGAAATGTAGTGTTCTTTAGAAAACGTAGTAAATAAAGCCTTAAAAACAATTTTCAAGTATTATTTAAGTGAATTATGCATAATGTAATCCCTACTGAAATGTATCCAGCAGATTTATGTGTGATGATGCATGATATATGGCATAAAAAGGGATTATAATTCAAACTCCCATTATTTACCCGTCTCAATTGAACATGAACCATGGTTCATTGAATGGACAAATTCATTATGAGCTATGTTCTCCACCACTTTTATTTTTAGCTGTACAGATCCAAAAATGAATTAGGTAACATTTTCAGTTGCAAAAAAAGTGGTGGAGAACATAGCTCATATAGTTTTTTGGACTTCTTTGGTATTTTTTCTAGAACATTTCTGCCACCATTTTGAAAACAATGCCACCTATCAAAATGTACTGTTGTGTTGGATGTGATAAACAGAGTCCAGCTGTCTCTAGGAGAAAAGTAACTAAATCTAAAATTCTTGGCAAATTATGGAAAGAAAAATATCGCAAAGATCCCCCTGATAATTCAGTTATATGTTACAAATGCCGGATTACACTCACAGGACCCAAAAACATTCCTTGTAACCCTCCCCAACCAGCAGATGAAGGTGAAAAAACAGATAATCCATCTATGAAGATTATATTTTCATCCAGCCTTTACTTAAACTATTTTGATAGGAGTTGATCAGTATAATAAGTGGCCAAATATGTGTAAAAGTATCGATATTAATCAAACTTAGGGGTCGGGTCAAAATATCGATGTCCGTCAAAAAACGTAATTAATTTCGTAAGGGGGAGGGGGTCAAACCCTGATTTCATTAGGTGACGGATATTGATAATGGGTTTCCCGGAAATTTCAATTTTCATCATTTTTGGTTTCGTTACAAGGGGGAAGGGAGGGGTTAGACTTAATGAAATTAATTATGTTTTTTGAAGGACATCGATATTTTGACCTGACCCCTTAGAAACTGTAAATTCAACTTTCAGCAACTGTTCCTATTGGTAGTCATTGAAATTCAATAAATACTAATATGTTGTATCAAAGCTTTAGAATATTAATATCAATTTGAACATGACTGTATTCACGCCTTCTATAAATTGTAAACATAGTCAACATTTCACCTGGGATATATTCGCGATCAATACCCCTGGTAATACGGGTAATGTGTGACGTCATAACGGTGGGTCGTAGTTATGGCGGACCATGATGAATATTCGAAACATTTTGGTGAGTTTTCATGTTCGAATCGTAATATAGACCTCAGAGCAGGGGTAATATCGTTGAATACACCCCTTAGGGCTAGGCATAATAGCTTTCGAACCCCTCACTCCCTTCGGTCTAGCCCTGTGGGGTGTATTCGACAATATTACCCCTGCTTTTGGGTCTATATTTCTTAAATATATTACAATACAATATTTTGTCAGTATACCAGTACATGTATTTTGACTAAAAAATTGTCAAACATTCCCTTTGTGTTAAGTATGGTGCAAATACTACTCAAAGGCTATTAAGATACCTATTCCCCATGGAAATCAATGTAAAGTCAGGTTTAACTCATGATTTTAATTTATTTAGGTATGTTTAAGGAAATTACTTGATCACTAGATTGATTTTACCAACTTGACCTTTTTGCACCCAATGACCTCATTGGCTCATCATTTGACCTAATTTTGAAATATTATCATGAAGTACATTTGTGAGGATACTCTAGATGTAAAATAAGTTTGATTCTGATGGGGGCAGAAAAGGGGGTCTGTTGGGACGGTACCTTTGAACACATTTTTCATACCACTTTACCAATGAATGAAAGACATTTATGAAACCGCCATTGCTTATGTGATACAAATGCTGCTGGAGTGCCACTCTAAACCTCATCCAATGAGTAAAAAACATTTTCTTTCAACCCTCCTTTCAACTTGGAGAAAAGGAAAAAAAATCACATCGAGCAATATCTAGACTGTATCATGCAAATGGTAGCTGCTCAAGGTCAATAGTATGGAGAATATCTTGTAGTATTCTTTGTTTCACTTTGATTTCTTTCATGTTCTGCATTTCAGCAGCCATCTTGCAGCAAAAATGATACCAGAATGAGGGTTGCTTGCCTGATGTCCTTTTCTTAGAATTTGACATACAGTATATGGCCATTGTCATATGTGACATTATAATTGAAACACAATTAATTGGTTGCCTAGTAACAAAAGAAGTAAACTAACATGATTTAACATTCAAAATTCAAAGATAGATAGTAGTCAAGACTTGCAAAACAACTGAAATGGCGGCAACATTTAAGGCTGAAAGTTGCCATGTGCGAATACAGTTCCGGGTGGCAGGGTCCCTATAAGTAACTATATCTAAAACCAACAAAATTAGAGCAGGGCGTCCAAGACTTTTGGATCACCCCTCGTATATTGTGTTTGACCTTGCTGTTGGAGTGTGCAGACATATGATAAATGTCATCTCTCTAAGGAGAGATTAAGCAGACATACATTTGTATTATATATGTCATTGAGTCTTCTCTAAGGAGAGAGTATGCAGATATATATGTCATTGAGTCTTTTCTAGGGCGATAACACCTCTCACCAAATCTGCATCTTTTCACTAAATTGTTGATATCACTGGAAGTTCATGGCATGTAACCAACGAGGATTGGCACACAGGGATGCAAGTCGATATTTTCCAACAATTTTTCTGACATTATAACTGACTATAAATTTATGATTAACAGTCCAAAAGATTCATACCAATATCTCGATCACTTCTTGTGTGTTTTGGAATTTGGAGGTTGCCTTGCCCTCTCAGATCAAACTCCAGTAGGTGAATGTCTGCATGTTCTAAAAGTTATGATCTACAATTCTTATCTAACCCTCATATATCAGTGCTATAAGAATGTAACATCATTATCACAAGTGTTTTTTTTTATTGACACTACCGGTGGAATAAAGTTGTCACGATGATATCATTCCTGCTTGTGATCATTGTGGTTGTCATGGCAGCCCATGTTTTGTCATCTCAATTCCAGGAAAACTGGCCATTTGAGAAAATGTTTGATAAATCGTGTCATTGCTAAAATATCAAGAAACCTGTTTTGAATTACAAACATAAGTGTACCTCGTATTTATTTCTAATTGGATAAGGCAAGCTGAGTCAGAAAGGGCATTACTGAAATTTTGTCATCCAGTAGTCAAATCTCAAATAATGTTTGAACGTATTTTGCACAAATGTTAATTTTGGCATATGTTTAATATTGATTATACTCATCATATCATCTATTTCTTTTTAGCTGAAGAGATTCACAAGGTAGAGTTAGAGGCTGGAACACAAGTGAAACACTGTTCAATTGCTGACCCATACACACTGTTGCTAACGGAAACTGGAGAGTTGGTCATGCTTGAACTAAGAGAGGAAAGTTCTGGTAGTGAAGTGAAGTTGAGCCTCCTACATCCAAATATTGATCAGGTGGGAGCAGCTTACTAAAGCCTAGAGCCCAGAGTTTTAATTTATTCCAGCCTCATGTCTGATGTTATTTGCCATGTGCGCCCAGTACCCTTGACACTACTAATCTTTCATTTATTGATACATATTGGTTGAAGTGTGTGCATCAAACAAACGCAGATAGTTTAGTAAAAATATCATTTCGGGATAAGAATAACATATTTGTCGAACATATGGAATGCATATTAAAGTATTTAAATTTTGAACATGTTTTTGAAAATAAGAGTACGTTTGGAATAAAAAATCTTCTAAAAGGAATTAAACATGAATTGCAAAGAAAATATATAGAATATAACGATAGAGCCATAAGAGAAAATAGAAAACTTGGAAATTATATGAAAACTGATTACAAACTTGAAAGATATTTAACTTTAAGTGTGAACAAAATGTTAATTTTTAAAATGGCCAGGTTTAGATCAGCAAACCATAATTTAAAAATTGAAACAGAGAGACATGAGAGAAAGAAAAAAGAAGGCCCTAAACAGAATCGACTTGAAGTAAAAGACAGAATTTGTCAAATTTGCAATAAGGGGGAAGTGGAAGATTTTTTAATGATTTCAGATGATTATGAAATTGTAAACGAATTGATACATTTTGTAAGATAGTTATATTTAAATATTTGTTGAACAATGCATTTTACTGTATAACTGTATAATTATGTCTTGTAATTGATTTTGTGAGGAAGTCAATTGTTTTGGCTTGAAACACAATAAAATCTTGAATCTTACATCATATTCTTGGAATGAGTTGAGACAATAAATGCAGAAGTCCTTTGTATATGCTCCTAAACAATATCACTGCATTTCAGAATATCTAATAATAATGATGATTTTCAATTTTAGTCATCAAAATCCTCATCAATTTGTACATATAAGGATTTGAGTGGAATGTTTACATCAAAGCTGGAGATGGAAGAAGTGACAAAGACCAGTGAATCAAAGACACCAAAGTCAAGCTTCCTAGACACTGGCAACTTTAGCTTCAATCAAAGGTAACAATATTCATATATTATTGACATGTTGTTCACATGTTGTTCACATGTTGTTCACATGTTGTTCACATGTTGTTCACATGTTCCCAGATTTGAAATTCTTCAAAAATGTCAAGGCACAACATCTGTTTATAAAAGCTTATATATTACAAGTTTACTAGTTAAACTGTCTGCCATGAAATCATGACATTTGACTTCCCATAACTTTTCATGACTTTTGACTTGGCATGACTTTTGACTTGCCATGACTTTTGACTTGTCATGACTTTTGACTTGCCATGACTTTTTACTTATCTTAACTTTTGATTGTCATGACTAGATTTGTCATGACTTTTGTCTTGCCATGACTTTTGTCTTGACTGATTGATTTGTCATGACTTTTGTGTTATGGATATCCTTTGATGTTTCAGCACAGTGGATGACGAAGATGAACTTCTTTATGGTGATAGCACTGGAGATATATTTGGAGACACTACAAAGACAGAGGAAGAGAAAGAAATGTAATTTGCAGAAAATCATTTTATAGATCCATATCAAAATATTTCTATAGCCTAGGCTATATATTACACTTCACTTTGAACCTAGTCAAAATTCGAGTTAAACTTGAAACTTTTACTCAATTTTCTATGAATTTTTTCTATATTTTCTATGAACATGCAATCCAATATAGTGCTTTCCTTAATTGGAGACAATAAATATTAAACCTTCATCTTTTCTGATTCTGTTCTAGGCCCTCAAGTGAATCAGCAACGAAGAAAGTTGAGCCAACTTTCTGGGCTATTGTAGGTAAAGAAAATGGCAAGCTTGAGGTAAGCATATAAGTAAATCTAACCTCTTCAAAAATATATAATACCTATTCAAAAATTGTCTTAGTTATACATCATTTCTTGTCCCCCTAAAGCAAAAAGATCATGCTTTGTTTTGTGGAAATCATAAATATTTTTTTTTCTATTATGTTAACATGTAGTTTACTAACTAGAAGAATGTAAATTTTCATTTAATAAAATATGACTTTACATTATAATTATTGATGAATTTAGAATATGAAAATTTATTATAGGTTCTAACTCTGTTACAGATGGTGTCACTTGTTTTAATGTTTCATATCAATACTTTGGAGATTAATACTGGTCCTTATTTTTAGATCTATTCCATGCCAGAATTTAAACTGAGTTACTGTGTACGAGATTTTCCAGTGGGAAATAAGGTTCTTACAGATAATACGACAGATCTTGGCCAATCAAGGACAGGGTGAGAATCATTCAGAAATATCATCAATTTCTATGCATTGGCATTTTTGATATATATTTTTAGAGTGTGTTTCTTCAATTTTGAATATTCACTTTACTCTTTTAGAAAAATCGAGAGAAAAATAATGTAAACACTTTATACATAGATTGCTCATGTATAAAAATACAAGAAATATGAACCTGAAATAAAAATTTGAGATATATATATCACTATAACAACTTATTTCTTTGTTTTATAGCATGGAGAAGTCACATTCCGACTTGCCAGTTGTCAAGGAGCTGATGATTGTAGGCATGGGTTACAAACAAACTAGGCCCTATATAATGGTAAGCCTTAGGAATTATTATAGTGAATTGTTATATTATAGTAGCTACTTTCCTTATCTTATAGGAATTAGGTCCAATTTAATGGTAATCAAGAACTAGTAAGAACTGGCACTATCCAATAATAAGACCAGGCCCTATCCAATGGTTAGCATTAGACCATATTTAAGAAAACAGTCATGGCTGACCATAATCTTCTGAATTCATTTCAATTTTTGAATTATGATTTTATTTTAGGCTATTGTTGGTGATGAACTTTACATCTATGAAGCATTCCCATATAATGGTGCCCCTGAACTTGACACATCTCACCTTAAGCTGCGCTACCACAGAGTGTCCCATGGGCTACTAATACGAGAGAGGAAGCAAGGGATGACAAAGAAGAAAGGAGAAGATGATGAGGAAGAAAAGGAACAAGGAAAATACTTGACACAATTTACTGATGTCTCGGGATACAATGGTGTACGTCACTTTTAAACATTAAGATAAAGCAGATGTGACAATACAGTACCATTAAGTATTTGTACATAGAAAGCATACATAATATAAGAGATGTGCATGCTGACACATACTTAAGAGTTGTAGCCACTTAAAACTGTATATACCTCCAACTTCTCCAAATCAGTCTCATCCTATTCTTATTCAGTTTGCTTCATGGCTGTTTTCTTGTTTTGCTCCATTCCAATTTTAAGATATGCTCTAAGACCTCTTTTCCGAAAAAGTGTTTTTTTTGTTTATTCCAGGTATTTGTTAGTGGTCCCTGTCCCTATTGGCTGATAATGACCACCAGAGGGAGCCTGCGGTGTCATCCTATGAGCATTGATGGCTGGATCACATGCTTTGCACCATTTCATAATGTCAACTGTCCCAAAGGTTTTCTCTATTTCAACAGACAGGTGAGTGATCCTTTTTTCTGAAGATATTATGAATAGGGCATGCCTATTTATATTGATGCATTAATAATTATCTGCATTATCTATACATGTTTAAATATGGAATTTATGTACATTTTTTAGTTATTCTTTTACATAATTTAATATTATCTTTATTATAATAATTGCTGTATTTTGCAGGATGAGCTAAGAATATCAGTGCTCCCTACTCATCTGTCATATGATGCTCCATGGCCAGTTAGAAAGGTGCCACTTAGATGTACCCCACATTATATACAGTACCATCAGGAGACTAAGGTAGGTCTACTATGCCCAATGTACTCCACATTATATACAGTACCATCAGGAGACTAAGGTAGGTCTACTAGGCCCAATGTACCCCACATTATATACAGTACCATCAGGAGACTAAGGTAGGTCTACTAGGCCCAATGTGCCCCACATTATATACAGTACCATCAGGAGACTAAGGTAGGTCTAATAGGCCCAATGTGCCCCACATTATATACAGTACCATCAGGAGACTAAGGTAGGTCTAATGGGCCCAATGTACCCCACATTATATACAGTACCATCAGGAGACTAAGGTAGGTCTAATAGGCCCAATGTACCCCACATTATATACAGTACCATCAGGAGACTCAGGTAGGTCTAATAGGCCCAATGTGCCCCACATTATATACAGTACCATCAGGAGACTAAGGTAGGTCTAATAGGCCCAATGTGCCCCACATTATATACAGTACCATCAGGAGACTAAGGTAGGTCTAATAGGCCCAATGTACCCCACATTATATACAGTACCATCAGGAGACTAAGGTAGGTCTAATAGGCCCAATGTGCCCCACATTATATACAGTACCATCAGGAGACTAAGGTAGGTCTACTAGGCCCAATGTACCCCACATTATATACAGTACCATCAGGAGACTAAGGTAGGTCTACTATGCCCAACGTACCCCACATTATATACAGTACCATCAGGAGACTAAGGTAGGTCTACTATGCCCAATGTACCCCACATTATATACAGTACCATCAGGAGACTAAGGTAGGTCTACTAGGCCCAATGTGCCCCACATTATATACAGTACCATCAGGTGACTAAGGTAGGTCTAATAGGCCCAATGCACCACCATTTAATCAATATGTATTTTAATAGTTTTGAAAGGTCAGCAGTTGTCCCAGCAGTCTTATCAACATACATCCACACAATAAATTAATGGAGAATTGTTTGGCCAAAAATAAAATGTATAACATGATGAAATATGATAAAACGTGTTTTGATTTTTTTTATAAAATATACATGAATGTGTTGGGTTTCATTGTTGTGGTGGTGACATTTTGCATGTTAATGCCTTGCATTTTCTTGAAGTGTCTTTCATTTCAATTTAGAATGTTGACTCAACCTAATCAGTATCTATGTTTACATTCTATTTTTGCTTTAATAAGGATGAGCATATTTATTTCAGATTTATGCAGTGGTAACTAGTACCAGTGAGCTCTGCAATAAGATCTGCCGCATCAGGGATGACGAGAAGGAATATGAACATATAGAAAGAGGTCAGCTCTTAATTGTTCTGTGTTTCAATTTAAAGCATGCATTTCTGTTTAAAATTTGAATATGTGAAAAATAAGTACATGTAGTTACATTAATATCCACTCTTAAATATATCTGATTTGAAAAGTTGAGCCATGTACGTTTTTCAGATGACAGATACATCTACCCCACTCTTGAAAAGTACAGCATGCAATTATTCTCACCAGTCAGCTGGGAAGTCATTCCAAACACAAAGTAAGTCTTATTATCCATGCAGAAGTTCATCAAAATGAGAAAGTCAAACTACTTTACTGTACTTCCATTTTGCAATAATTATAAGAGCTGTGAAAAATAGGATTACATTCTTCATATGACATAATAATATGTATATGGAGTCAAGGAGGAGATATAATGACCTCAGGCATTCAGGAGCAAAATCTTTGAATGGTTTCTTTTGGGTATAGTGAGATGATTGGAGCTTAAAAGATTAGGAATGTATAAATGATCAGGAATAATGTTTGATATTTGATAACAATTTTTTAAATATTTTATTCAATTTCAGAATTGAAACAGATGAGTGGGAGACTATAATCTGCCTTGGTATTGTTTACCTGACCAGTCAGGGAACTATATCAGGTCTCCATGGTTACCTTGCATTTGGCACTAATTACTCCTATGGTGAAGAAGTGGCATCCAGAGGAAGGGTGAGTTGTGGTCAGGGAGAATATGAGTTGCCATCAAGTTTAGACTATAGGAAGCATGTTTGATAACTGGGGCAAAATAGTTTTCAGATGTAAATTGGTTATAACTGAGGTTACTGGATGCATTCGTCTGGGGCACTATTCTAAAAGATATATGTATTAAATAAACCCCATTATGTTGGCTCGCTGCATTCTGCTGGGGCACTTTTCTCTAGGATATTTGTTTTAAACCCATTATGTTGGTTCCTTGTTGCATTCTGCTGGGGTACTATTCTAGAGGATATATGTTTTAAACCCATTATGTTAGTTCCTTGCTGCGCTCTGTACAAGAATTAATCTGATAACCTGATGTTCCAGATGTTTCTCTATGACATCATAGAGGTTGTCCCAGAGCCTGGGAAGCCACTTACTAAGAACAAGTTGAAGATGATATATGACAAGGAGCAGAAAGGACCAGTAACTGCAGTGGCCTCTGTTGATGGTGACTTAGTTGCAGCAATAGGCCAAAAAGTATGTCTAAATGATGGTATCATACTACTTGATAGCTAATTGAAAATATAAGAGCAATTTTATAGATATTGGAACCATCATACATTATCTTTTGACAATTTACACTATTGGTAACATTTGAAAAAATGAAAACTGCTACCATACACATGTCTCAGACTTGATGAGATGTGTTTAAAATGGGACACAAATTCTAGAAAATCCCATGTGCACAATGCTTAGGGTTTATTTTATGGTGGGTTTTAAGTGAAATGCAACAGAACAAAAAACTATGTCTAGTTAAGTTTTTTCAAGCACAACTAAATGAATGAAAATAATTGAATATTCACATATTGTTATTTAATGTAGTTTACTTTCATGATTGTAGATCTATATATTCCAATTGAAAGATGACGATCTGAGTGCTGTTGCATTCATTGACACCAATGTTTATATCCACTCCATCCAAGTGATCCACAACATTCTTTTAGTGGCAGACATCATCAAGAGTGTCTGTGTGCTGAGGTACCAAAGTGACATGAAGGTGCTCTCCATTGTAAGCAGGGTAAGCATTACAACTATCTATCGACTTTGCTCCCACTTGGCAGTCAATCTGGTAATCTTAATAGGATTAGGATTGAATCCTGTTTCTTAATATGATAATCTAGTATTGATTCATTTTTGAGCATGCTGGGTTAATTAAAGTACTGTTAATAATTTTGGCTTTTACATAGATTTTGAGCATTCTTGGTTTTCAATTGGCCATGTTTGATTTTCTGTCCTGAAATCTATTCTTTATAGTGTAGTTTTGTTTGTAAGATAATCGACTCAGGGGTGCAATATTGTTCACCCATTGAACTACATACTACAGTAGTACAATATGGGAAATAGCATAACAAGTTAGTGTCCTAATGTCATCTTATTCAACATGTTCGTTTCATTTCCTTGATATATTTCCTAAATATTATTCCAGGATATTAAACCAATGGAAGTGTTTGGAATTGAGTTTCTAGTTGACAACACCCAGCTAGGATTCGTAGGTAAGAAAACATTCCTTTTACTCATTTTAACCATTTCCCATTTAAAACATGACTATGATTTATATACATGCAGTATCACGAGGAACAGACCAGTGCTATGATATCAAAGTTGTGCTTCAATTTTAGATAGGATTTAGTACACCTATCAGTACATATTTCAAAAAAACACTTTACATAATTAAAATCCAAATTTTAAATTTAATAAGAAATAATATATTTTCAGTTGCAGACAAGCTAAAGAATCTCATGATCTTCACCTACAGTCCAGAAGGTGAGTAAACTCACATGTGATACGGATTATGTATATGTGTTACAAATTGTATGAATCATGCAAAATGTGTGACATATAAAGCACTGATTATAATTATGTGAAACCTTTGTTGATGAATGCCAAATGATGTGTGTCATCGAATGATGTGTCACTAGCTCCAGAATATGTGTGTCAAAAACATTAAACAATGTATAGTATAATTGTATAACTGTACAGTCAAGTAGATTGTGTTATTATTTTCCAGCACGTGAGAGTCATGGAGGTCAAAGGTTGGTACGCAAGGCAGATATTAATATAGGAAGCAATATGAATACAATGTTTAGACTACGCTGCAAGATAACGGATCCATCCACATCTAAACGAGCCAGTGGTGTAGTTGAGAAGAAACATGTAACATTTATTGGTAAGTCCATATCAAATGAAGCTTTGAGGCAAATATTGCAATAATAGTCGTGTTTTGAGATCCTAAAGTAAAATAGAGTGGGATCATCAAGACATTGTTTTTACCATTGGAAAGCAAGTATATTACTCTCTCTCTCTCCAATATCTAATGGTATCAATTTCCAAATTTGGCATCTCATGATGTATTTTCTTACCAAGATTTTCATGTGCTTGTAGCATCCCTGGATGGCAGTATAGGATATGTGCTACCAATTAAAGAAGCTGTATATAGGAGATTACTTATGTTGCAGAATTCTCTTAACATCAACCTTCAGCATATAGCAGGCCTCAATCCAAAAGCATTCAGGTTTGTTGCATCTTGCATCTTGAGAAGTTTTCAAAAAGAGAAAATTATCATCTTGACTTTGAAATGAATTAAGCGACTGCTTCATTATGATGGAAGATTTTAAAAACTGGAACATTCAGGGAAACTCATTGCATACCCCTGAAGGAATAAAGCATTGGTATCGATATGGCTTACTGAATTGAACACATGTTTCTCTTAAACCAGTCATCAAAAAATTCTGAAAATTTTACACATCGTCAATTTAATGAGTACTGTAGATTGGGTTAATTTGCCGCCCGCTTTAATTTGGCGAAATTGAAAAATTCGCCAATATAAATCTTCGCCAAAATTCAGATCCCCGAGAATTATCCAGGGTATTTCGTCCAGTGTATTTAGGTCACTTCTGGTTTAATTTTTTTCCAAAAATATGAAAAAATGTTTCTCATAAATTTGCTCAGAACTGGTCAGTCACTCATTTATACTCAGGGAAAAACTAGAAAGGAAAAGCGTGCTATAGTAGCAGCATCGATCGAGGTGCAAAATGTAAAGAATGATCTCACAAAAATGTACAAACGTGGTGAATATCGGCAGTGGTCCTCAAAAGAAAAAATGGACTTAGCCATTAACATGCCCATTTACATGGTAATTCGCAAACAGCGCATAATTTGAACTTTTTTTGCATATCCGCCAAATTAAATAGCCGCCAATATACCAAAAATGGCAAAATCGCCAAATTAAGTAGCGCCAAATTAACCCAATCTACAGTATCTTTTGTATGGTAACACTTTAATGTAAAAAAAACAACTTTATATTGTTTTAGAAAACACATTGGACACTTATTTTGTTCTCGATATTATATGTTCAGAATGAAATGAAACTCTATCCGAACCTCATCGGAACAAAATGACATATACACAACGTGTTTAGGTCTCTCAATGTTGTAATTGTATAAAGGAAAGTTTGGTTCATCTTGTTAATGAAATAAAAGGTTTACTTTAATTTTTATCTATTTTTGGGTTAAACTTTGTTTAATTTTTTGAATACTTTTTGCTAATTGAACCAAACTTTCCTTTGTATAACTATAATTTTGAGATAATAATAATACAATAAATAAAATATATATAAATAATTTTCACATTAAATTGTTGTCAATCAGTGACCAATTACACAAAGGATCGTTTTTTCACAGAATGTTTTCAATAAATGGTTTGAGAGAAAAACAATGTTCAATTTAGTTCGCCATATCGATACCAATCCTTTGCATATTTAGGCAATTCAAAATAATAGGAGACAATAGCATGTTGGTAAAAATACTTTACAAACTAATAATGTTTGATTTATTGTTTCAGAAGCTATAAACAAAGTCATAAAACATTGAGCAACCCTCAGAAATGTATATTAGATGGTGAACTGGTCTGGAACTTCCTCAATCTCAGTGTTAATGAGAGAAATGAGATCAATAAAAAACTTGGAACTACCACTGATCAGGTAATATTCCCTGTGGATGTTTACTCCTGTTATTGCCCCAGACTATCTTTTACATTTGAGTATCTTTTTAAGAAAGTAAGGTGGTTATTAAATATTTAAAAAAATCAATAGTCAAAATAGACATATTAAGAGACAGGTTAGCCATTAGATGTGGAGTTCACTTTCTGTTTGTGAGAAATTGTTCAGATTCAAATTGATAAAAGAAATCAACTGGAAAAGTAAGAGACCAAAATAAGTAATGTGTGTGACATATTTATTATACCTATACTAGAATAATTAATTTTCTTTCAGTTATTGGATGATCTCACAGAAATAGACAGAATAACAGCCCACTTTTAGAGAGCTCCAAACATACACCTTTTATGAGAGAATCTTCAGGTGGGCCTTTGCAATGTGACTACTAACTTCCAGACTACAGGCCTATACTTCTTGAATATGATTTTAGGAAATAGTGAGACTCTGTATAACTTTAAGTGTAGAGGATACATTGCCATGGAAATGGAGACTCAGATCACATATTGCTGGTGAAGCTCAAGAAATGCAACTACAATAGGAAATATAATACAGTGAACACAAGTGGACACTTCCCATTTGTATATGACCAGGAATTGGGAATCAAGGTGTTATTGAATTGCCTATAATGTCATTTTGACTTAGTTGCCATTCCTGTTTGGCTGACAGAATACTGGTATTTATATCAAGGCATCACATAGAGCCCTTGGACTAATTGTTTGTGGAGCTCTGCAGTAACACATATCTCATTTATATATCATACTGTCAGTGGTGTAGTCAGGAACACAAAAGCGACGAGTTGAAAAATATTTTAAAATCTGTTAAAAAGCGACGAGGGAAGCGCCTCGTCTGCCTCACCTTGGCTAGGCTAGGTTCAATCATGGAAAAATCATCTTTTTGTGAGAAACATTTCCATCATTCAGATTTAAAAATCAATAAAAGTTGTGCAATTAATTTATAATTTCATTGATAAAGGAATAGTCCTCAAAGGAAGTTTAAAAAAAAAGCGATGAGGCCTCGTCTGGCTTATCCTGGTTACGCTGCAGACCAGACCGTTAAGATTGTTCATGGTATTTGTCACATTTAAGAGTAATTAATAATTTTCCATATTTGTTACATCAATCAATTTATTGTAAAATAGTTGTATTCAAATTACAACACAACTTTCAAAGCCAAATGTAGGAGTAGAATTGGAATATTGAGATGTTGTAAAATTTTAAATATTGCCCTTTGAAATTGTAACTTTGTAAAGTATGCAAAAAACATGAAAATACATTTTTTAAAAGAATGAGACTTTATTTTAATTTGTGAACATGAAATTGCTCTTGAAGACCAATTAAACAAGATGTGTTGAATAATTTTTGACTTCCTTTAGTGAGCGAAGTATATTTTGCTTAATGTCAAGGTCATTTTGGATAGTCATTAAACTTGGGGGCAGTGTTAGTTGTCAATCATTATTTTTTGTGACTGAATTTCCCTACAGAATTTCCCTGCTCATCCCCCTTATTTCCTGATTTCGGGAGAATATGTTTTGAGAAACAATAAAAGGTCATTAAGGTATTTAAGTCAATTCTTAGTTCGATAAAACCTCAATTTTGAAACTGCTCATTTCTCAATAATCCCTGGTTAATTTATTGTAAAATGTTGGGCTAATAAAGTCACCAGGCATCAGCAAGTAGCCATTGTTCTTTATTCTGACGTTCCCTGTAGCAAAACTGAGAGCCGCATTTGGAGCTTTCATGATACAGTCTGATTCCTTAAAAGTGAACTTTCGCGATTGCATAAATAATGTCCATTTGATTCCAGTAAATATTTCCTTTTTTGTATCATAATAGATCCTAATTAATTGTCGTTTACTAAACAGGTAGAATAGTGCACCTAAACTGAGGCCAACAAATCCCATAAAAAAGAAGCTAAAGTCTTGTGATGTGTAGACTCCTGATCTGACACATTTGTAAGCGTGGTATATAGCATACACACAAGGTGGTACTGCACATCCATAATACAACAAAGAGCACCACAGTACATAATTGTTCAAATTGTTGGAGTATATCATTAGGTGTTCTTTCGGAAGTTTGTCTACATTATGACGTGGCTTAAACTTATTTGGTTTCTGCATGAAGAGTCTTGTCACATTCAGGGAAGCTTTTTTCAAGTTGAAGCATCTTTGGAATATGGCTGTCTTAGCACTACCAGATTGTGCTCCTCTGATGCCACTCTGTAAGTAAAGTTATTAAAATGTAGAATGCTTGGAACATTGAATATCAATAAACCTTTTGCTAAATTGTTTTCGAATCTTTTTGTGTACAATTCTTATTCACACATTCCATATATTTCTTAAATTTTGCACTTTTAAAAATGGAATACAAATTTAAAGTCACAGACATCCTAATTTTGGAATACAATAACTTTCTTAATATTGATGGAATTATTTTGTTTGCTACATAAAGTATATGATCAGTGCTTTGTACTTATATTACATCAACAACATTGAGTAAACAAGAAATCACATTTCGAACTTAATTCTTAACATTCTTTTGAGTCAAACTGTTCAAAAATATAATGATTATTTGTCTTTGAGTCATTTCTGGATTGGTTTCATTTACTCATAAATTATCAATATCTATTTTATTTGCACACTTTGGTAACTTTGTCTAATGAATGTTTATTTGGAAAAGACCAACAATTTTTATTGTAAAATACATTTTTTTATAAATTGGCTTGAGAGCAATATGATATGTAGGTACATCACTCTGCTTTATAAACGATCTCTCTATACAAGAAAAGTAACTAACCTGATATGTGTAAAGCATGGTCTGGTAGCCTCTGGATCTAGCTAGGTCACTTGTTCTCCTCATACACCACATCATGTTCCCTTTGTACAACATGCCTACACACAACCTGGAGCACAGTAAGAGATAAAATAGTTTTCATAAACTTTGTCTATTTTAGCCACATTTTTAGAGGGATAAAATCCCTATTTCAGTACGTCTTCTGTTATTCTTACCCTAGCCATTGTGATAATTAGGCCCAAAATATCTCAGCTATACTCGAATATAAATGAGAGCCTCTGAAATGTACATACTGGTCAAGCTCTGCCTACAAAGAGTACGATCATTCAAGCAGAGAGATTATAGATGAGCCTGTACTACACATTCCTTACTGCGTGTTCTCTCACAGTCAAGTCTCTCCCAGCTGTCCCTCCATCTTTTCCAGTGTCAAGTGATTTTCTTACATGTCAGTGTGGCTTTTCCCATTGAATGGTCATAAATAAGTTCATGAATAAAAAACATGAAGTGTTTATCAATACTGCCTATGGAGATACATCATCAGTAGTGGCAATGGGACTATGCCCATACCTTGTTTAACAAAGCAGAATTTCGCAATCTAGCCTAGCTATTTTTAGGACTCAAATCTTGTTCGCAGTCAAAAAATCATGATTTGTACAAAAAAGCATCCTATATAAAATGATCATATAAAATTTGGGGAGCATAATCTTCAAATAGTTCTACCCAAAGTGACAATCATTATGGCATTTATTCAAATTATCTGAACCTTAAATTGGGACACATAAGAGAACTTTATTTGTTTGGTCAGGAAATATTGAGTCATATACATGTAATGTAAGAATAAGAGATGCGAGTTTTAATGGCATCGTTTGACTGTTTATTTGTGTCAATAAAGTGAAAAATATTATTTTGAATGGTCCAAGGTGTATTTACTAGTCTAAGTCTGAGCAGGGCTAGCTCATGACACAAGACCTGTTTTTAGACAGTATTTTAATTGTACATACTGCCATTTTAGATTTTTAGCTTGGATGACTTCCAAAACTAATTGTGTTGCTCTATAAAGAGCTTAGTATAATGATAGATGTAGATGAAGTATTTCTTTTCAAGAAACACTACCATAGGCCCCGGGAACATGTTTAAAATAGCGAGTCTACATCTGTATTACTACTTCTTCTGTTAGGCCCTGGGAACATGTATAAAATAGCGAGTCGACATCTGTATTACTACTTCTTCTGTTAGAAAGAAGGAGTAGTAATACAGATGTCGACTCGCTATTTTATACATGTTCCCGGGGCCTATGAACACTACAATTTAGCATCTGTGATGAAGGATGAGTTGTCTAGGGGATGAGTTGTCTAGGGGATGACTTGTCCAGGGGATGAGATGTCCACGGATGAGTTGTCCGTAAGCCCCCCCTACACCCCGCCCCCCCTTGTAGATCTCTAGAGTCCATTTCACTGTTTAACTTCGTCAGTAAAAGCTAAAAAATAAGAAATCAAAATATCATTTTGCAATAATATATAGAAAAATATATTCCTATTGTACATGAATGACATTTGTATATCTTGGATTGCTTCTAGTTTAGCTTATGAAGTGTGTGGCCTCTTATATTTGGATGCTTCTCTGCCATGTTATTTTCAATAAGATTAACATGGCTGAAATTCTTCAAATTACAAGACGGCACAGGCTTATTGCACAAAAAACTAAAAAATCTGAAATATACAAATGTCATTCATGTACAATATGAATATACTTTTCCATATATTATTGCACAATGGTCTCCCAATTTCTTATTTTTGCCGTTCTACTGACGAAATGAAGCAGTGAAATGGACTCTAGGTAGTCCAACAACATTAGACCTAGCCTGGGCCTCGTTTCTTATCTGACATGTCTTATGGCCCCGGCTAGGTCTAACTTCCATGATCATTTTGCCCTTGATGCGATCATTTAATCGTTCAGCAGGTTTCGACATGCGGAACGAATTAACCGTAATAAGATGGTATCGTTACAGAAATAATGTGATCAACGCATGCATACATACCTTATGAATAAATACAAATCATCACATACCCCCCTGTAACCTCATCGATATATAATTATGAAAATGTTGGGAGAAGGCTTTTTCTTAGTTTAGAAAACTCTGTTCTGGTTCCGGTAACATCGAAATGGCAAATCCTTTCAGGAATAAACCGCCGTTAGCAACACTGAACGAAACAAGTTCATAAAACGAAACGAACCCCGGTTATCCTATATATAAGTACAAAATATTGTAATACTGTAGGAGGCTTGCGATAAACATTGAAGTTATTAAAATGTAACAATTATTACAAAGCATGTATGCTGAGTAAAATACATGATCCCAGTTATAAACAATTGAGTGTATTCCTAGGTACGTTTTTGCAAGCAGAAAACCATAAACACATAGGCACAATTATTCAACACAATCACAATCTAGCACAATCAATGACATCTATATTTCTTTGAGCTGAAATTACCAGTAATCAAATGCATCAATAATGTTGCGAGTATTGCTTTTTAAAGTTTTTATAAATAACAATAGAGTAAACTTGGGTGAATACACGCGCTGTTTGAATAAAGCAAAGATTCATGTCATACTGGATGGTTATAATAAATATCAATATTGAAGAACAATTTCGTTTCGCTGACCAAGTTTACTTTGGCGACGCACAGACAGACATTGCCGGTTGAAATATTCGTCTCATAAATTGGTAAGAATAAGACTCATTTTACGATTAAAAATGAACATTTAACACAATAATATTATGTGAAATCGCCTGATGAAATATGGTTTTATATTATTGTTAAGTATCAGTGTCATATTAGCGAGGAAAAGTGGTTTCGATAGATCCACAACTTGCATCAAAGGAAAGAATAGCATGGAGGTTAAACTCAATAATGGCCCCAAGAAAAAATTCCTAAAAGTAAAGAACGCCGTTATCGAGTTTAACGACGTTGAACTAGACTCTAGGCTGCAAAAAAATTAATTGCTAGATCTAAGCTTAGTCTACTTACCATTGTCTTTACCATTGAACTATACATTAGTCAAGATAGTCACTACGCAGCCTCAAACTATTCACTACGTCATCTACCTGTGATCATGCATACGACTATGCTTCTGATGTTTTAAAATCGCATAAATATATAAAATATAGTTACCTCACCATGGGAGCTGACATCTTGAAAATGCCCGGATGTCAATTGGGGACTTATCATTCTGTGTATTAATTATAAATTATGAATCATAATGATATTTCACTGACCCGTTATAATAGATTTATTGAGTAAACTATATAATTCTGGAAAGCATACTTATCGAAATACAATTATAATTTAAAACCAACTACCTTCAAAAACAGCAAATAATAATAATTAGGGGTCAAAGTTGATGATCTCATCACGTGATGTGTAGGACGAAAACAAAAATGGCGGAGGATGAGAAAAGGCCACTTTTGGACAATTCAGAGGGAATATCTCATGATGTAGACAATTTAGAGGAGCCAAGGCTGAGGATTAGACACTTGTACCAGAAGGATAAACATTTAGCTATCTCTAGTCCAACAGAAGGCAATAAATTCATTAATATAAGCGCCAGTAGTTCTCTTCAAAATTTGGTTGAGCCTGACCATGTTGTTGCAGTGTTTGTTGTGGCTTTCGATACTAAAGCAGGTGAGATTAGCTTTGTTTACAATCCAGTGTTTGTTTATAATTTGGTTTTAACAAATCTCTGTTGATAATGTTCGTATATCTGTATACTGTAAGCTCACCTTACAATTTTCTTTCCCAAGCTAATCAGTATATAACATCTGTCTCAAATGTACCATCTGTTAAATGGGTATTCTTGGACACGGGGCATTGTCGGACAATCTTCAATTATCCTTCACCGATTTAGCTGGGAATTTGTTTTTTTTGTTTGGTGAACTTCGTCGGGGCTTAGCTCTACTTGAGTCTATCGAATTACTTGGGGTTTGTGTAAATGGGTGATCGGGTAACTGAATGACAGGACACCTAACATTCCTACCAGGGTTAGAATTTGATTTTTTCATTTTATGCCCTAAAACACGCCAATGACCAATCCAAGCAACCAATCACCCAAACTGACCTCTAACTCAACTTATCATCCAAACAATCAACTAAACAACCTACCAAGTACCAACCAAGCAACCAACTAAGAAATTCTCCATCTAAAATGTCACTCGACTTTTTTGTGATTATGAGTCAAAGAAAGCATTCTTGAGTTTCAAATTGACTTCTGTGGTAACACTGGTAACTTCAAACCATCTTCTAATTTATTCCACTTACCTTTTATTGTTTCTCCAAATATATTCTTTGAAAATCGGATTTTAAGGGTGTTAATCAGGGTAATTCTGTGCCATTTTATCAAAAATCTTGTTGCTATCTAGAAACAAGCAATTGTGATCTTGTTGTTACCTAGGAACAAGCAACTGTGATGTCACGTCACACTCATGTTAATTCTGGAATCACATGGCAGCCATTTTGGAAATTTCAAAAAAGTTCCCAATTAAAAAGGCTAAATGCTGTTTACAAATTGGAAACTATGGCAGAATCAACAAAGGGTTTGTGAAATAATTAGGATATGGTTTCAAAATTATGCACATGACAATATGATTACTAAATGCAGGCAGGGACTTTTAATTGCCAAAAAGTCGAATGACATTTTAGATGGAAAAATTCTTAAAATAAACTAACCAGCAAAAGAAACAATCATCGATATCATGTCAATCACTCAGACAATAAATCAAGCAACCAATGTCATAATGCATACATAGTATGTTAATTGACAGAATAAAAATAGCAATTAAGGTACAGCTGGAAAGTAACATTTTGGTCACGGTAAAAATTGCTATACCAGCACATGTTATTTTCTGGTACAAAATAAAGTATGAAGACATGTGTCAATTACTCAGATGCGAGTAGGTAGTTACCAGTTTCGCCACCAGGTGGCTGATTCGGGGGAATTAACATGGCAGGGTATTACAAAATTCCCTTAAACTTGAATATGCATCAGTTTTAGTGGTTAACTTTTCATATTACCCTTATGTATCTGATAGTTATACAAATTAAAATATATCCCGCAAAAGAAAATATGAACTGCCCATCACAAGAAAAGATATTTCACTTTTTGTGGTTTTACAACATGGTGTCTATGGGGAATCTCCCCGACCTAAAAGTCACACTTTCAAAGAAAATTAAATTTTAAAAGTTGATAAACTATTTTCAAAACCACATTTCTAGATGTAATTTTACATGTAGATTCCAAATATGACATCAGTTTGACTGAATTGTGGATTTTTAATGACGTAAATCAAGATTATTTCTTCTCGCATCTGGGATATTGCCTTGCTTTTTTCAGGAAAGTATCATTACATTGTCTTCTTTAAGAATATATAGTAGGAGTTCAATAGGAACTCCACGAAATTCTGATATTTCACACTTTCTATTTTCCCAAATTTTCTTTCAAAGTTTCCAGACAACACATCCACATCAATAATCCGCAAAAGGCTAATAAGCCCATTAAAGCAGATATATAGTTTAACAGTGATATAATTTGAATAGAATACAATTTGAACCTTAACCGATTGTCAAAATATTGAAAACCTTAACCTTAATAACCCAGATGCGAGTAGAAATAATCTTGATTTACGTCATTAAAAATTCAAAATTTAGTCAAAGTAATATCATATTTGAAATCTACATGTAAAATTACATCTAGAAATGTGGTTTTAAAAAGTGTTTATCAACTTTGAAAAATTAATTTTCTTTGAAAATGTGACTTCTAGCTCGGGGAGATTCCCCATAGACCCCATACTATAAAATCACAAAAAATGAAATATCTTTTCTTTTAGTGGACAGATAATATTTTGCTTTACTGGACATATTTTCATTAGTATAAGTATCAGACGCATAAGGGTTATATGAAAATTGAGCCACTTAAATTGATAATATTCAAGTTTAGGGGAACTTTCTTATATACCTGCCATGTTAATTGACCCGAATCAGCCACCTGGTGGTGAAACTGGTAACTACCTACTCGCATTTGGGTAATTGTTAAGCTCCTTGCTTACAGAAGATTTTAAACTGGATAGGCTATCACTGTCTAAAATATCACTGGGTAGAGTGTTCCATTTTACCATTGTCCTTGGAAAGTAACTAAACTTGTATGCATCCATTCTGGCATCTGGTTGGATGAATTTGGATGGATGGAACTGTCTAGTGTTTGTGTTTATTTGAGGGCTGAAGTAAGTGGGTATAGTGATGGCTGCTAAGTTGTGAGTTCCTTTGTAGAAGAGGGAAAGTCTAGTAGCCTCCCTACGGGATTGTAGTGATTCCCACTGCAGGTGTTGGAGAGCTTGGGTGACACAGCCTGGTTCCCTAGAGTGACATTTGGTAACAAATCTGGCTGCTCTCCTTTGTACCTGTTCCAGTATGTTGATATCTTTCTGGCGGTAAGGATCCCATGCTGCACTAGCATATTCTAGGTTAGGCCGTACTAGTGACTTGTACGCCTGGGCTTTAATGTTCTCTGGGTACTGGTGGAGGTTGCGCCGGAGGAAGCCTAGTACCTTGTTAGATTTTGATACTACTGTTTGTATGTGTGTCGTCCAGTTTAGGTTGTTTGTGATTTCGATCCCTAGATATGGAATGTTGGTCACAGATTTTAATTCTTCTCCTAATAGTCTATAACATAGTGTACTTGTGTGTGATGGGTGATTTACGTCCGTGAATACTCAGTACATAGCATTTTGAGGGATGGAATTTCATTTGCCATGTATTTGCCCAGGAGACCAGCTTGTCAAGGTCATCCTTGAGTGTCAGTGCATCCTTTTGGTTCTCGACAGACATGAAGAGGAGGCTGTCATCTGCAAATAGTTTGAGGCTGGTTGTTGTTGATAAGTCGCTGCCCATATCATTGATATAGACAAGGGAGCAGAGTGGTCGATTTCACTGGTGTTCTTGTACTAGATTCTCCATCCAGTACTACCTGTTGGGACCTTCCAACGAGCCAAGATCTGAGCCAGCTCAAGTTGTTTCCGTGAATTCCATAGTGATTAAGCTTAAGGAGCAGGCGCTCGTGTGCGACTGTATCAAATGCTTTAGAGAAGTCCAGTACTAATAAGTCTGTTTGTTTGTTGTTATCAAGAGCTCGTGAAATCTGTTCTATGGTGTTTACAAGTTGGGTTTCACAAGAGTGTTTAGCTCTGAATCCATGTTGGTGGTTAGCAAGAATTTTGTGGAGATCACATGAGAACACATGAGCTACCATTGACCTGTTTCAAGGTTTACTAAAAGTAGACAGTGTAATGATCCTTTCCTGAAAAAAGCAAGGAAATACACACATGCCCTCATACTTAATTTTGTACCAGAAAATAACATGTGCAGGTATAGCAATTTTTTAGCAAAATGTTACTTTCCGCTGAACCTTAACATTTCAATATACAGGGTTTGTAGAAAAACTGGGTACTGGGTAGTAAATCCTCCATGCTGGGTTCAAACTTGGTACCCAGTACCTGGTCGAAAAATCCGGGTACCCAAAAAAAAACAAAATATGAATATATAACATACAGTAATTAGATCATCAGAAAACGTGTAACTTCCTTCAAAATTGAGCTAGAAGCTTCAAATAAAAAGCATTTTAAGGCTCTTTTCTTCCTCTATCATCCTGGTCATATTTTCATTGGTTATGGGGGGGGGGTGCGATAGCACCATTGAACCCTCTTCTGGCTACGCCTATGACATTGTAAGACGATTTGAAAAACATGACAAATCAATCTTACGATGGTGCGATCGCACCCCCCCCCCCCCCATAACCAATGAAAATATCTGGAATTTTATTGAATGAATTTGTCTATATGTTTGTTATATAAATTTCTGTTAATTGATATTTGAAAGACTAATCTGAGTATTTCAGGAATTTATGCCAGTCAGAACGGAGGGGGATGCATTTATGTCTTCAACTTCTGATTGAATATTGTTTCTCAGCATTAAGAACCAATAATTATAGATAACGTTCACCATCATAAATGGTAAATTCTAATATGAATGTTGTTAATAGTAAATACATATGATTTAACAAGAAACCTGCATGATCTTCTACATTAACTGTATTGATCCATTCTTGTTTATGAAATCTCAGGGACAGTAATATTACATGTTTAAACAAAATTCATTAAACTAGCTTTTAATATTGAAGCAAGTAAATTAACTTTAGTGCCTGTATATCATTGCTATGAATATCATTTCTTGCATTTCATCAGTCTTTTCAGTCAACTGCAGGGAACAGGGTTCTCACCAGGAAATTTTTAGACCCCAGATTTTTAGCGGTATTGTGACTACTTTTTTCGCGGTATCCCGACAACTTCTCCCCCATGTGAGATCAGAGATATCCTATTAGTATACTTTTCAACAAGATTATCTTGCTATTTTAATCCCAATATTTATTTCTAAAAGGTTTCTGACTTCCTATTCCTTGTTTGTATCCAGTTTTATGTATTTTCTCAAGAGTTCTACCATAAATAATGTAACAAAAATGTAAAATTAGACTCCAGAAAAAACACTTTAGACTCCGGAAAAGCTATTAGACTCTGGAGCAAGAGGGTTTTAAGACATTAGACTCTGGAGAATCTCCGGAGTCTAAAAGTTTAGTGAGAACCCTGGGGAATGTTGTAGAGTGGCCAACACATGGTAAATATAATCTATAATTGCAGGGAATGTTGTAGAATGGCCAACACATGGTAAATATATTCTATAATTGCAGGGAATGTTGTAGAATGGCCAACACATGGTAAATATATTCTATAATTGCAGAGAATGTTGTAGAATGGCCAACACATGGTAAATATCTTCTATAATTGCAGAGAATGTGGTAGAATGGCCAACACATGGTAAATATCTTCTATAATTGCAGGGAATGTGGTAGAATGACCAACACATGGTAAATATATTCTATAATTGCAGGGAATGTTGTAGAATGGCCAACACATGGTAAATATCTTCTATAATTGCAGAGAATGTGGTAGAATGGCCAACACATGGTAAATATCTTCTATAATTGCAGGGAATGTTGTAGAATGACCAACACATGGTAAATATCTTCTATAATTGCAGGGAATGTGGTAGAATGACCAACACATGGTAAATATATTCTATAATTGCAGGGAATGTGATTAGATGGAATGGTTAATGTATGGTTTATATTCTATAATTGCATGGAATATTGTAGATTGGCCGACACATTCTATAATTGCAGGGAATGTGATAGAATGACCAATACATGGTTTATATTCTATAATTGCAGGGAATGTGATAGAATGACCAATACATGGTTTATATTCTATAATTGCAGAGAATGTGGTAGAATGGCTAACACATAGTTTATATTCTATAATTGCAGGGAATGTGGTAGAATGTTTGATACATAGTTTATATTCTATTATTGTAGGGAATGTGGTAGAATGGCTAACACATGGTTTATATTCTATAATTGCAGGGAATGTGGTAGAATGTTTGATACATAGTTTATATTCTATTATTGTAGGGAATGTGGTAGAATGTTCGATACATAGTTTATATTCTATAATTGCAGGGAATGTGGTAGAATGTTTGATACATAGTTTATATTCTATTATTGTAGGGAATGTGGTAGAATGGATAACACATGGTTTATATTCTATAATTGCAGGGAATGTGGTACAATGTTTGATACATAGTTTATATTCTATTATTGTAGGGAATGTGGTAGAATGGCTAACACATGGTTTATATTCTATAATTGCAGGGAATGTGGTAGAATGTTTGATACATAGTTTATATTCTATTATTGTAGGGAATGTGGTAGAATGGCTAACACATGGTTTATATTCTATAATTGCAGAGAATGTGGTAGAATGTTTGATACATAGTTTATATTCTATTATTGTAGGGAATGTTGTAGAATGGCTAACACATGGTTTATATTCTATAATTGCAGGGAATGTGGTAGAATGTTTGATACATAGTTTATATTCTATTATTGTAGGGAATGTTGTAGAATGGCTAACACATGGTTTATATTCTATAATTGCAGGGAATGTGGTAGAATGTTTGATACATAGTTTATATTCTATTATTGTAGGGAATGTGGTAGAATGGCTAACACATGGTTTATATTTTATAATTGCAGGGAATGTGGTAGAATGTTTGATACATAGTTTATATTCTATTATTGTAGGGAATGTGGTAGAATGTTCGATACATAGTTTATATTCTATAATTTCAGGGAATGTGGTAGAATGTTTGATACATAGTTTATATTCTATTATTGTAGGGAATGTGGTAGAATGGCTAACACATGGTTTATATTCTATAATTGCAGGGAATGTGGTAGAATGTTTGATACATAGTTTATATTCTATTATTGTAGGGAATGTGGTAGAATGGCTAACACATGGTTTATATTCTATAATTGCAGGGAATGTGTTAGAATGTTTGATACATAGTTTATATTCTATTATTGTAGGGAATGTTGTAGAATGGCTAACACATGGTTTATATTCTATAATTGCAGGGAATGTGGTAGAATGTTTGATACATAGTTTATATTCTATTATTGTAGGGAATGTTGTAGAATGGCTAACACATGGTTTATATTCTATAATTGCAGGGAATGTGGTAGAATGTTTGATACATAGTTTATATTCTATTATTGTAGGGAATGTGGTAGAATGGCTAACACATGGTTTATATTTTATAATTGCAGGGAATGTGGTAGAATGTTTGATACATAGTTTATATTCTATTATTGTAGGGAATGTGGTAGAATGTTCGATACATAGTTTATATTCTATAATTTCAGGGAATGTGGTAGAATGTTTGATACATAGTTTATATTCTATTATTGTAGGGAATGTGGTAGAATGGCTAACACATGGTTTATATTCTATAATTGCAGGGAATGTGGTAGAATGTTTGATACATAGTTTATATTCTATTATTGTAGGGAATGTGGTAGAATGGCTAACACATGGTTTATATTCTATAATTGCAGGGAATGTGGTAGAATGTTTGATACATAGTTTATATTCTATTATTGTAGGGAATGTGGTAGAATGGCTAACACATGGTTTATATTCTATAATTGCAGGGAATGTGGTAGAATGTTTGATACATAGTTTATATTCTATTATTGTAGGGAATGTGGTAGAATGTTCGATACATAGATTATATTTTATTATTGTAGGTAATGTGGTAGAATGGTCAACACATGGTTTATATTCTATAATTGCAGGGAATGTGGTAGAATGTTTGATACATAGTTTATATTCTATTATTGTAGGGAATGTTGTAGAATGGCTAACACATGGTTTATATTCTATAATTGCAGAGAATGTGGTAGAATGTTTGATACATAGTTTATATTCTATTATTGTAGGGAATGTGGTAGAATGTTCGATACATAGTTTATATTCTATAATTGCAGGGAATGTGGTAAAATGTTTGATACATAGTTTATATTCTATTATTGTAGGGAATGTGGTAGAATGGCTAACACATGGTTTATATTCTATAATTGCAGGGAATGTGGTAGAATGTTCGATACATAGTTTATATTCTATAATTGCAGGGAATGTGGTAGAATGTTTGATACATAGTTTATATTCTATTATTGTAGGGAATGTTGTAGAATGGCTAACACATGGTTTATATTCTATAATTGCAGGAAATGTGGTAGAATGTTTGATTCATAGTTTATATTCTATTATTGTAGGGAATGTGGTAGAATGTTCGATACATAGTTTATATTCTATAATTGCAGGGAATGTGGTAGAATGTTTGATACATAGTTTATATTCTATTATTGTAGGGAATGTGGTAGAATGGCTAACACATGGTTTATATTCTATAATTGCAGGGAATGTGGTAGAATGTTCGATACATAGTTTATATTCTATAATTGCAGGGAATGTGGTAGAATGGCTAACACATGGTTTATATTCTATTATTGTAGGTAATGTGGTAGAATGGCTAACACATGGTTTATATTCTATTATTGTAGGTAATGTGGTAGAATGTTTGATACATAGTTTATATTCTATTATTGTAGGGAATGTGGTAGAATGGCTAACACATGGTTTATATTCTATAATTGCAGGGAATGTGGTAGAATGTTTGATACATAGTTTATGTTCTATTATTGTAGGGAATGTGGTAGAATGTTCGATACATAGATTATATTTTATTATTGTAGGTAATGTGGTAGAATGGTCAACACATGGTTTATATTCTATAATTGCAGGGAATGTGGTAGAATTTTTGATACATAGTTTATATTCTATTATTGTAGGGAATGTTGTAGAATGGCTAACACATGGTTTATATTCTATAATTGCAGGGAATGTGGTAGAATGTTTGATACATAGTCTATATTCTATTATTGTAGGGAATGTGGTAGAATGTTCGATACATAGTTTATATTCTATAATTGCAGGGAATGTGGTAGAATGTTTGATACATAGTTTATATTCTATTATTGTAGGGAATGTGGTAGAATGGCTAACACATGGTTTATATTCTATAATTGCAGGGAATGTGGTAGAATGTTCGATACATAGTTTATATTCTATAATTGCAGGGAATGTGGTAGAATGGCTAACACATGGTTTATATTCTATTATTGTAGGTAATGTGGTAGAATGGCTAACACATGGTTTATATTCTATTATTGTAGGTAATGTGGTAGAATGGCTAACACATGGTTTATATTCTATTATTGTAGGTAATGTGGTAGAATGGCTAACACATGGTTTATATTCTATTATTGCAGGGAATGTGGTAGAATGGTGTCTCCCGGAAGATGCCAATCTGGAAGGTGTAGAGTTCAAAGCTATGTCAAGTGGATCTCATACCCAAATGAGTGATTTTGTGTAAGTAAATATATTATTAATTTTAGAGTGAACCTCAATTATGCTTACAGTGATTATGATTATCCCACTGAAGAATTTTGAAAGGAGTATAGAGAAGCTGTCTGTCTGTCTGCTTATCTTTCTGTGTGGGTTCATGTTCCATTTCAAAGGATGACCCAAGTGCAAAGTTTTGAGATATTCCACAGGAAAATATCACACAATAGATTTAATGACCTGTTGAAAGACGAATCTTGGCTACTCAATGTTCTCATTAAAAGCCATCTTCAGATGTTGCGACGTATACTTCAATCATTTTTGCACTTTGTTTCAGATATTTTAGAAAAGATTCTTTATTTGGCTTGGCCTGCTTTGAAAACATGCGAGTGGAGAGTGAGATTGAGAGAGGAGCCAGAATGAAGTCTGTTGGGATCCTAGCAACATCATATACACTTCTCTACAGACACATGCAGTTTCTAGAGTCCCAAGTCAGGTGAGTGATTGGTTGCTTCGTTGCAACCTTTATATATTGCCCCAATGCAGGCAAGGACTTAATCTGATTTGTTGTTTTATAGCAACTTAATATATACACTTTTGTTGACACATCATTATCCCATCGAACGAAGTTCGAAGGGATATAGGGAACGCCTCCGTCCGTCTGGATCAAAACGTTTAACCCACCTACGCGCAGTCTCAAGTCTGTGGATCCTGAAGAAAGATAACATCACAATCAAATCAAGACAAAGAAAGAAGACAATGAATGAAGAAACTAATGCAGCAACAAAAGACGTCCATACGTCCGGGCAATAACTCAAATACCGTTGGCCCGATTTTGTTCATATTTTGTACACATATACCCTATGGGGGTAGAAGTTCTGCTCGAAAGCCGATTTTCAAAACGGCTGCTCATTTAAAAGTGGCAGCCATTTTAGTGCCGATTTTACAGTAATTTAGGTGCAATATGTAAAACTGTAATAGCAATATGTTGTAAATGTAAAAAAATTATGTAGGACTCATTTAAAAATGGCGGCCATTTTAGTGCCGATTTTACAGTAATTTAGGTGCAATATGTAAAACTGTAATAGCAATATGTTGTAAATGTAAAAAAATTATGTAGGACATTAATAAAGCTAGAAATGTAGATATTAAAAAAGCACATGGCAGCCATCTTGAAAAATGGCGGCCTTTACTCGTTATTTTACGATTTTTGCTGTAACTCGAAAAGTAGTGGAGCGATTTTGTTCATATTTGGTATGGGAATACTATAAGCATGGCACACTGTCTAATGACACTTTTGGTAGAAGGCGGCCATTTTTCAAAATGGCTGCCATTTTAACGTATTTTGCTATAACTCGAAAAGTAGTAGAGCGATTTTGTTCATATTTGGTATGTGAATATTATAAGCATGTCACACTGTCTAATGACAATTTTGGTAGAAGGTGGCCATTTTGAAAAATGGCTGCCATTTAAACATATTTTACTATAACTCGAAAAGTAGGGGAGTGATTTTGTTCATATTTGGTATGTGAATACTATAAGCATGGCACACTGTCTAATAATACTTTTGGTAGAAGGTGGCCATTTTGAAAAAATGGCTGCCATTTTTGCTGTATACTTTGTAAAAATGCCAGTCATGGCTGTTCGATGGGATTTGCTACGCTTTTGCGTTGCCGTTGTTCTGGTTTCTCAATTCCCAAGTCAGGTACATGCATCTTATTGATTCTGTCATAGCACTTCACATTGTAGGAAATGTTATTTGGATTTAATGCATTTTTTGCTTCAGGCACCAGCTTGAGACCCCAGGTACATATTCACAGCTTGAAGCTTTTTATGAAGACAAAAAAGCCACGATAGGACGTCTTCCATTCACCAACTCACTGACCAGTTCACTAATGAGTACCTCTAGCACTACAACCTCCAGTGACATACTACCTGAACTCAAGGTGACTACCATCTTCAAATATAATTAGAGGTGTTGGGTTTTAAAAGGTTTTGTGAGTGTTTAACATCCAATATCATTGCTTTTACTATGTAGCGAGGAACAAGATCAGCTGTTTAAAAGGAAATGAATGCTTCAAAATATTGACCTGGTCCATAGCTTGTGTGTAATTTCCTATTGCTGTGTATTTCAGATTGCACATCCTATTCTTGTGTATTTCAGATTACACATCCTCTTCTTGTGTATTTCAGATTACACATCCTGCAGGTTGCTTCTCACAATTTATCAAGTTTTTTGGGGAGAATATTTTCATTTTATGGAAATTTGTCCTTCTTCAGAAACGTGTTCTTTTCCTATCACCACCACCCATAGGAGTTGTTTGTTATAGAGGTGAGTTTGCTTGTTCATTTAACCACCTATAGGAGTTGTTTGTTATAGAGGTGAGTTTGGTTGTTCATTTAACCACCTATAGGAGTTGTTTGTTATAGAGGTGAGTTTGCTTGTTCATTTAACCACCCATAGGAGTTGTTTGTTATAGAGGTGAGTTTGCTTGTTCATTTAACCACCCATAGGAGTTGTTAGTATAGAGGTGAGTTTGCTTGTTCATTTAACCACATATAGGAGTTGTTTGTTATAGAGGTGAGTTTGCTTGTTCATTTAACCACCCATAGGAGTTGTTTGTTATAGAGGTGAGTTTGCTTGATCATTTACCACCCATAGGAGTTGTTTGTTATAGAGGTGAGTTTGCTTGTTCATTTAACCACCTATAGGAGTTGTTTGTTATAGAGGTGGGTTTGCTTGATCATTTAACCACCCATAGGAGTTGTTTGTTATAGAGGTGAGTTTGATTGTTCATTTAACCACCCATAGGAGTTGTTTGTTATAGAGGTGAGTTTGCTTGTTCATTTAACCACCCATAGGAGTTGTTTGTTATAGAGGTGAGTTTGCTTGATCATTTAACCACCTAATATAAAGGTCATGTCTCGGGCCTTGTATGATAATACATATTTTCTACCACGCCCACTCTATCATCACCATCTTCTATCATCAATCTATCCACAGTTTTTAATATAATTCTAGAAACAATGGTTGTTGAGAATTTTATATTACCTTAGGCAGGGCATGTCCCCTACCTTTAGAGGTCAATGGAGATTTCTCAATTTTGGTGGACTATTTGTTTATAGAGAGTTTTTGTGCATTTTAATTTGTGCCTTGACTTATATGATTTGAAGCTACATTTTCAATAACATCATAACAAACTCTTAGATAAAAACAAGATTTTACTTTTTAGTACAGTTTTATCCTCATGTGATGCTGTATACCTGACAATCATACCAGTAATGAATTTTGTCACTGAGCATTTTAGAAATAAATTATTTCTACTAGATGGTGACATCTATACAAGGTAGCTTTTGTTTATGAACTAACATAATGTAATTTGTTTGTTTCAGTATATTGCGCCTGTTGTCTAGGTAACCACAGTATTAATTATTTTGGTGATCGTCAACCACGTCCTCATTTTTATGTGAATGTAGCTGATATAGAAACTCTGGAGACTGAGATATCATATATAGCATGTAAGTGTAATTAGGGTACTTTCTATTGCTGTATGAAACATTTTGTCAGTGGTTTGTACTGAATTGATAAATTATATACGGTAGTTATTTTGATGGAGTCTTTCCTATGTTTAAACCAATGCAGTGATCTCCCCAACATTGAAACAATTGAGTGCTTTAATTACTCTCTCATGGCTGATTGTCTGATTTTCTTCAAATTCCTACTTATATTAGAGTTCGACAGCTGATTCAGTTTTGGGTGCCCATCTTGTTGAAGACCTTTAGTTTCTCTTCAGGGTTGTATCTGGTGTTAATTTAAATGATGCTTCTTTCTTTAATTATAGAAAGTAATATGTTTTGGAAATATAAGAATATACTATAAAAATAGAATTTCTTTTCCAGGTACAACAGAGAAAATATTTGAGATGAAGGCCCATTTATACGACGTGTATGTAGATAACCAGAATCTAACCACTCCTTCTAAACTCCTGAAAGAATTATTGAATGTCAGTGATGCAGATAAAGATAAATATGCTAAATTGAACAATCAAAGGTAAATTTATGTATTATTTTAAAATATAAATTGATAAAGGATGAGTCTGGGAATGAGTCTGGGTATCGACTTAGAAAATATTGAAAATTGTAATGTCTGATAAACCAACTCAATCACACATATTATTAAACTTCAATATCTTATCCTTCTTCCGAGATTTCAAAAATGTCAATTTGTATCACAAATGATGAAGAAAATTAGCATCAAAGACAATGCATATCACTTTGCCAAAATTGAAAAAAAATCAATGTCAGATATTAAATGAATAATTTATACAAAAAGTTTGAAGCGTATCCTCTAAAACATTACTTACTTTCTTTGTATAGACATTGAATGGTATTTCTGGATAAGTGAATTGGTGTTTATTTGGGTAATCAGGGGATTATAGTCACTCAAAGTTACTGAGCATCCAGTTTTGGCACTTCAATTGTGTTGGTGAAGTTACACATATTTCAGTCAAATTCATGCTGAGCACAACATTTTGGTTTTAATATTATAATCTATACATGACCCTGGTTATGAAGAGTCAGAATCAATCAAAAAACCTAAACCGGAAAACTGTGCTCATTGTGAAAATCAAAAGTGAAGCAATTTTTTTTCTGATATTTCTTACATAAAATGGCAGCCATCTTGTTTTTCCCCCTTCAAATTAAACTGGCGGGAAATTCAAAAATTTGAAAAAAGATTTAATACTTAAATATGTTTCAAAAATATGATTTTCTTTTTAATTCTTCATGGGTCTTAAGTTATTTCTTCTTTGTATGTCATACATGTTGCCATTGGTGTTTTTTTCTTTGATAATGACTAATTTTTTTTTGTTAGGATACTTATTCTGATTCTCAGCTGGGGGTTAATTATGCATCAAAACTCATGAAAAAGTAAAAATACCTATCAAATATAACTAGGACAGTAATAAAAACCATATTTCACAAACATTTAACTGAGGGACCAAAAGGGCATATATCCAGACTCATCCTTTATTTCTTTTTTATGTCTATGTTGAATACCACAATTAATTTGAGGGTATATCTTATTTACAAACATTAGGTTCAATTAACTAAGACCTTTGAACCTTAAGCAGTACACAGGTAAATTACATCAGACCCCGTACAAGCCTGTCCGAGGCTCGTTGAGTCAACGGGCCCTGTACAATCTTGTATGAGCTTCGTTACGAGTCCCGTAATTGCTTTTAATTTTTGAGCCTTATAATAGCTTGTTATTACAAGGCCCATAATAGCTCGTGATTTTTGATCATTGTTCTTGTCCCTACGCATGACATTAAAAAATTGTTTTTTGTGCTGTAAAAGAGTCTCGTAAAAACTCATGAAATTACAAGCCTCGTACGTTCCTAAAAAACAACAATTACGAGCATTGTATGAGCTCATACAGGCCTCGAAAATGAGCTTGGTACGAGCCTGTGCAAAGATCGTGCTCCTTTTTGCCTGTTATAACTCGTAATTCTCGAGGCTTGTACGAGCTCGTATGTGGCCCAATGTTATTTGCATGTGTCAAGTACAGGCTAACTTATACAGATCTGATATCTTGAAAACTACATGGCATGTCTGTTAAAATGGCATGATGATTTGATGCACCTTATGCTTGTTTGCAGATCTGCACAGATGTTTAGTATGGAAGAGTTAGGGGAAGACACCATAGATGAAGAGGAACTATTTACATCGTAAGCCATTTAACTCATTGTATCACTACTCTTGGGGTGTTGTGTTACTCCAATCACAAATATCTAAGTAATCCTGCTATTAATGAGTTTGTTTTGAATGTTATCTAAAACTGTCAAGCAAAGGTCCTTTATCAAACAATGTAGAATAAGGAACAGCTCTTAGGAAAAACCATGGTGTATATTGTGGGATGACTTGTTGACTTGTTTCTGTGTCACCTAAGAGGTTTAAGTTAAATTTCCATATTTTTATTTGTATAACTTATAATTATAAATAACTTATTCTCAATATTTTTAATGATTCTAGGATCTAGAATATTATTTATTTCGAAGTATATTGCCATTCAAGATGTTCAATGAATATTTTTTTCAGATTTTTCACAGAACAGAACAACAGATTATTCCAGACACTTTTGGACATTTCCTCATCGCAAGATCGCAGTATAACCTCTGATCACATGCGTAGTATGGGATTGGATCCCACAGGGGATCGAGCATTCTTAATGGAATTAGTAGAAACTTATGGAATTGATGTTATGCTGATGGTTGATAATCCATGCTGTCCAAGATAACAAATCCTGGCTTTAAATAATCTCAAGACAACCATAATATTTAGAATACAAAATAGAGCGGGAAGGATTGGAAATAGCAGTGATTACATTAGAAAGGCATTGTCATACACAGTATAGAAATTAGGGAATCCTGACACTTCTGAATTTGAGAGAAATAGAGTTGAAGAAACATGTAATGACCAAAAGTGACATAAGGTTGTGTTCTACAAAATGCTTATAATTTTTCATTTTCCTAATTTATATATTTGTAAAAAAAAGTCATATCATTTCCTAATTTATTTGCAATATGATGTGGGTTTATGTCATATGATGCGGGTTTATGTCATATGATATGGGTTCATATGTCATAGGATGTGGATTTATGTCATATGATATGGGTTCATATGTTATATGATGTGGGTTTATGTCATGTGATGTGGGTTTATGTCAAATGATGTTGGTTTATGTCATATGATATGGGTTCATATGTCATATGATGTGGGTTTATGTCATATGGTGTGAATTTATGTCACATGATGTGTTTTTGTCATATGATGTGAGTTCATCTCAGCTGATGTGATTTTATGTCATATTATATGGGTTCATCTCATTTGATATGGGTTTATGTCATATGATATGGGTTCATGTCATATGATGTCGGTTTATATCATATGATGTGGGTTCATGTCATATGATGTGGGTTTATGTCATATGGTGTGAATTTATGTCACATGATGTGTGTTTATGTCACATGATGTGTGTTTATGTCATATGATGTGATTTTATGTCATATGATATGGGTTCATCTCATTTGATGTGGGTTTATGTCATATGATATGGGTTCATGTCATATGAAGTCGGTTTATATCATATGGTGTGGGTTTATGTCATATTATGTGGGTGTATGTCATATGATGTGGGTTCATGTCATATGATGTCGGTTTATGTCAAATGATATGGGTTGCATACAAAGTGAGAAACATGACATTGAGGTGAGAAATGGGACGCTTATTTTTTGATTAAGAATAATGCATGTTTGTTGAGAAGAGCAAGAACAGAAAATGCTTTTTAATGAATTTGATTTTTCAAAGGAATGAAATCCAAAAAGTGCAATATTGTGCAATACACTATATGTGAAATTATAATATGTTTGCACACAGTAATATATAAAAAAGCATATGTGTATATGTAAGTGACTATTTATATTGTAAATAACATGTGATATATAAGCATGTGACTTGATGACGGATAAATGTATGTCTGAATTTCAATCATTGGAAAAGCACTCATCAACTTCAATAATACATGAATCTGGCGTCTTTCGTTTGATCGATATGTATATGAAGAGATTTTCTGGAAATGTAAATTAGAATATTTCCTTTCATTTGCTTGAGAGGCTTAAAATTATATGCTCTGTATTATATGGTCCAAATTATTTATTGTCATTGATTTTACAGGACTATACGTATATTATAAAGTGTGACCACCAACAATCTATTAATTTAAAGTCACTGATATAGTAATAAACCATGAGAAACAGAATTCCATAATTCAGAATGGTCCTTGAATAGAGAAGAAATACCATGATTATATACTGCTTATACACAATTGCTATATGAAATGTTCAAAATGCATTGAGGAGGACTATCTAACACTGATGTTAACTTCTTCCTTCTTCTCAGTTTTAGTTACTTCATTTGCATCTCTAGGCCTTCAACATATGTGGTATTTCAATGAATGGGCCATTTTAGCTGATTGCAAATTGCAGTCTACTCATGATTCTAAGTTTTGAGCTCTGTGTGAACCATGTCCTCCAAACAAGGGGCTCAGAAAATATGTTATGTTTTTAGTCATATGTTGAACATATACGTCCACTTATAGTCTGGAGTAGATAATTCTGTTATCACTGAATACCATTCCAACAAGGTTATATTGATGGTCAGGGAGAAATTAGATTGATCAGAAAAACTTTGAAAATTTAATTTGTAAACCTTAAATTCAGCACAATAGATTCAATCAAGAAATTCTTAAAAATGGTTCATGGTTGTAATAAAATGGTAAAGTATTGCATTAGAATTATCAATTGCTTTTTAAATGAGAACAATTTACAAGTGATGCAGTTATATTGGTATTATTAACCTGTTGGTTTTGTATATAGTAGATACTACTCAGTGATCTCCCCACAATTTTTTCTCAGGTGGGTGCAAAATGTTCATTTTCACAATTCAGACCAAAATTGGTCAAAATATGCCAATTTTTCATGATTTTTCTCATTTTCAAGTGGGTGCATATGGATTTTCAGGTGGGTGCAAGCCTATTTTCAAAATCTCAGGTGGGTGCTGCGCCCACTTGCTTTAATGCTGGGGAGATCACTGCTACTACAGTTGATTGTGCTAAAGTATAAATTACTATAATTGATTGTGCTAAAGTAAAAGTTATTGTAATCAATTGTAGTACAAATTGCTGTCATTGTGATTGATTGTGCTATAAGCTATTATAATTGATTGTGCTAAAGTACACATTACTGTAGTTGTGCTATAGCATAGACTATTATTGATTGATATTGCATGATGCCTCTGTTCTGCATGTTATACTACAGTTTTGTAGTATTTTATTTATTTATACATCGTGCAGGTACTTCAGATCTGGATTATTTCATCAGAATCATGGTTGTCGATTCTCCAAGCTGTCCCTTTCTTATATAATGGTTGAAATCATTAGAAACTCAGAAATGTTAATTATATCAAGGCAGTAAAATGAAGTTAGAATGAGATATTTCTTTATCCAATACCAAGGATGAGATTGTCTTTTCTAATTGAATAATTAATAAATACATAATAAAAATAAGAAATGATATGTTTAGTGATGTTATGTTGAAATAGTAATGTATTTGAGTAGAAAATGGCAACTTTTGAGAAATGAATCTCTCTAATGGTACTATATGGTGCCATTTTGGCTACAGTATTGTACAGCTTAAATACAGTATGCTACCGTTTGATACCATAGACTAACACAGAACAAAGTTCCTTTGTCCCCGGGAGTCAGCATATAAAATTTGAACAAAATCCATCCACTGATATTTGAGTTATTAAAGATTAAGTTTTTATCGTACCTAATAAAGGTACGATATTGTCGTCAGCTTGACGGGCGGGCGGCGTCTCACTTTTCAGCTTGTCTACAGGTTTCCAGCCAAACCATTTAACAGATTCATCTGAAATTTTCAGGAATGTTTCTACGTATCAAAGTTAAGAACTGATTAGTTTTTGGGCATTCTGGGTAAATTTTAAGGTGGCCATTTTGGATTTTCCGTCCTAAAATCTTCACTTTCAAGACTTGTCTACAGGTTTCCAGCCAAACCATTTGACGGATTCATCTAAAATTTTCAGGGATGTTTCTACTTATCAAAGTTAAGAACTGATTAGTTTTTGGGCATTCTGGGTAAATTTTAAGGTGGCCATTTTGGATTTTCCGTCCTAAAATCTTCACTTTCAAGACTTGTCTACAGGTTTCCAGCCAAACCATTTGACGGATTCATCTGAAATTTTCAGGGATGTTTCTACGTATCAAAGTTAAGAACTTATAAGTTTTTTGGCATTCTGGGTAAAATTTAAGGTGGCCATTTTGGATTTTCCGTCCTAAAATCTTCACTTTCAAGACTTGTCTACAGGTTTCCAGCCAAACCATTTGACGGATTCATTTGAAATTTACAGGGATGTTTCTACATATCAAAGTTAACAACTGATTAGTTTTTGGGCATTCTGGGTTAATTTTAAGGTGGCCATTTTGGATTTTCCCTTTAGCTTAATTATTCATCAGTTTAAGTGGTGCAATTTCTATATCACCCTTATGTATCTAATAGTTATGCAAACTAAAATATGTTGCCAGATAAAGAAAATATTAGCTGTCCAAAACAAGAAAAGATATTTCACTTTTTGTGATTTTATAACATGGGGTCTATTGAGAATCTCCCAGAACTAGCAGTCACATTTAAAAAAATTGAAGGAGCACGTAAATTATCGCCACAGATTTCAGACAGCCATATGTTGGATTTTGTCTGTTTTCTGAGGATTTTAACAGGTGCATATTAGAAGTGTCACACCGACCTGGAGTCGACCCGAATCTCGGATGGGAAGGCTCGAGTCGGGTCACGAACAAGTACTTACAAATTTCGGGTCGGGTCAGAACACTCAGGAATATCGTAAATTATCGTAAAATTGTTCAAAATAGCTGGAATATTTCTTGTATACGTATAAATTACAAAAAGAAAATAATATTCAGTTCTTCTCTAACAATTTAATGCCAAGTATCTATAATTTTTCCTTTATCAAAGTACAATATGCAGGCTTAAACAGTCTTATAATGTGCCGTGTATTCAGTATTCACCCAGTTCAGTTTTCTCGTGACCCGACCCGAAATTACCCAACCCACAAACTTTGTAGCTCGACCCAGCCCGAAGAATAACTGACCCATGACACCTCTAGTGCATATGTTAGGCCAATGCATTACCTACAGGTAAAGTACTCATATAGATAAAATAATTTGGACTTGTGACAGGGAAGGTCCAAACAACCCCTCCATATGTTTTTCTGAAATATTGTCCTGCATTTAAACCCCTTCCACCCCTGCTTTTAAAAAAAAATTATCATCGAATATGTTGCGTTTTCAGACAAAGTTAACCCCTTAAAAGGAATAATGCATTCCTTTTAGATAAAGTGGAAAATAATATTTTCCGTGCTATTTTCCCATAGGGAAAACTCATGCGATCCATTGCTTTCAGCTTAATTTTGGTCACACATAATTGAAATCATTAAAACCCCTGAAGGAATTCATTATTCCTTAAAAGGGGTTAACTGTGTCTTGCCTAGGTGTTCTTGCGGTGTTAGGGAAACCCACATTATGTTTATGGACAAAAATTTAAAATAAATAATGGGCCAGGTGATTTTCAAAATAACCCATTAATTAAAATTAAATGTTCTTAGTTGATTGATGTCACAACAGAAACCTTACGAAAAATTTCCAATGAACATGCGTGACACATACAGGATTCGCGTGACAAATCCGAACAAATTGCGTCCGGTTTTTTCCGGCGTTCGTATTTTTACCGTATCGTAAACATATTTCGAAAAAATTTCTACAGAAATATTTTTGCTTGACAATTACCAGGTAAAATGCGTATTTTGCGTGACATTTTCTGTCACGCAAAAAAAACTGGCGTGACTTCAAATTCTTCAGCAAATGCGTGACAAATACGCAAATTGCGGGACAGTTGACAGGCCTGCATACCCCTTTAATGCTCATGACAATAATAAAGCAATTCCCAAGTCTTTAAACTCTTTAAAGTACTCTACAGGACCTTGGATGAAGACAGGACTCAAGAGG